AACTAGTTCCAATGACTTTATGACAAATCTGTTAGCCTAATGGATTTGTAACCGATAATCTCCTGGATTTGTTGCATATCTGATAACCCAGTGGATTTGTTACATATCTGATTATTCAGTGTATTTGTTACATATTTGATAATTGATAATCCAGTGGTTTTTTTTTTTTTTGCTTAACTGATATTCCAGTGGATTTGTCGCAATATCGCTAATCCATTTTTATCGATTTGTTTATAGACTTATCCCGAATAATTCAGTGAGTCTGTTACATGCCTAATAACACAGTGGATTTGTCACATAATTTATAATTACATATTTGCTACATAGTAACACAAAACTAAGTTGATATGCTACTTACCTCATATTTCAGTGAAAATTGATTAATCACATACTGATCATCGATTTGATTCGTTATGCCTGGTAGTACGATAAAAGTTTAATTAACAACATTAATAATTAAACAGATTGGTTTCATAGGCCTACATGATAATCCCGTTAATTTGATACATATCTGATAATCTACTGTAAGCTTTTCGTTGGACCACTGCGTACCTTGTAATCCAATGAATTCAGGTGCAGCAATTACCGCTGCGCCTAATTAACAATGTAAAAAACCTAAGCAGACGTAGTGCAGAAGTTTTGAAGGGTGGCGCCACCCTAGACAGTGGACGTGATGTATAATTAAAGTAGCCCTCGCCGTCTGCACATTTTTAATGCGTTTTTTTTTTTCTTTCTTGCTGATATAAATATATGGGTTAAAGGACCAGGCATCCTACTTTTCATTACAAGATTGATATACTATCGGGCATGAAAATACACTTTACACAAATACACAGACACACACAAGTACACATACACACACAAAGTATACAGACACACAGACACAAATACACAGACACAAAAACACAAAGTACAGAGACACACATACACAAATACACAGACAGACAGACACACAGACAGACACAAACACACAGACAAATAACGGAGACACACATACACAGACACAAATACACAGACACACAGACACAAATACACAAAGCACAGAGACATACATACACAAATACACAGACACAAATACACAAAGTAAAGAGACACATATACACAAATACACAGACACACACAAATACACAGACACACGCACACAAATTAATAGACTGATATACAATCATGCCTGAAAATACACTATACACAAATATACTGACACACACAAGTACAAGCATACACACATAAATACACAGACACATGTACCGTACACACAGTTATACAAATACATACACACACATGTGCCCATGTATAGGCCTATACTGTATAATAAATACTGAGGTGTTAAAACCCAGACGCCTTCACTGCACCAGATAAGCATTTCCTATAGAAATACACATCAGTAAGGAAAGGTCAGAGTTGAGATGTCATGGGTCAAAGAGTTTCTGTCAGCGCTTGTTGTGAATAGGAAAATATTTTTATAGAACTGATAAGAAATGGTAATACACTTAACTAATGTTAACGTGTGTGGCTGGTTTTTAAATATTTGGTTGGGGTGATGGGTGTCAGGGTGATGTGTTATTGGTGATGTTACTGGTGTGTTTGACGGGGTGTGTGTAACAGGTGATGTTAAGGGTGTTGTGTGGCAGGGTGTGTGTTACAGCTGACGTGATGGTTGATGTGTTACATGTGATGTTACTGGTGGTGTGTGACAAGGGGTGTGTTAGGGGTCATCCATAAATGACTTCATGCTTTTTGAACGATTTTTACCTCCCCCCTCCCCACCAACACACATTATCACTAAAAGCCAGGACCCCCCCCCCCCCCCTCCCTAAAATGCCGTCACACCTCAGCCTACACCTCTCCCCCCTCAAAATTGCAGTTGAATTTTTCATAAAACATCGATATTTTTTCCAAAATCTTGTCTGAACTATGTCGACATAGAGTATTTTTAATCAATCCCTATTACCATTTATTAAAACCGTTTTCTAAAACGTGAAATAACGGCCTAAAACTCGTTTTCTAAAATGCGAAATAACTTCTAAAACTCGTTTTCTAACATTACTTTTTTATAATGCAAAAGTGTGACGTCACACTATCTGGAAAAAAACCCCTCCCCCACATCACAGACCCTCACAAAATTACGCCCCCCCTCTCCACCCTCTCCTTACGAGTGTGACGTCATTTATGGATGACCCCTTTACAGGGGATATACTTGTGGTGTGTGACAGATGTTGTGTGACAGATGATGTGTGACAGATGATGTGTGACCATTGATGTGTGGCACGTGTTGTGCGACAGCTGCTGATTTACAAGCGATGTCAGCCAAATGATGAGTGGAGTAGGCCTCCTCTATCTAGACTTGACCGTTAATGAGCAGTGTTTCTTTCAGACTTTTTTTCTCCGGAGTGGGGATGGGGGGGGGGGGCACTTGAAATTTTCGGGGGGGGGGGGGGGGGACTAAAATTTCCGAGGGGGGGGGAGGACACTGTTAAAAGTGTATATTTCTATGTAATTTCCATTTCATTCGGGGGGGGGGGGGGGGGGGGGTGGGGGGGGTGGTAGACTTTCTTCGGTGGGGGGGGGGGGGGGGGGGCGGAGCATCACCGAAGAGATGCCTGAAAGAACCTTAATGAGGCAGATGAAGTAGGGTTATCTGCGTCTGTTTTCGAGTTTTATTAGGAGGTTGTCTTGCAAGTGTAACACCCATCCGCATCAAGTATCGAACCGGGTCGAAATTCGCGCTGTCGCCTGCTCTATCGCTAGACCACGCAATGCTATTTAATATTTGATAATAGTGTAAGTTTGCTTTAGTTTCGGAGATTTAAGGAAAAATATTGGCTGGGTTTTTTTTTCCGCATCTTATTATTCTTAGATAGGGCCTAAATAAATAAATGTGTGGATCTTTTTGTAAATTGATACGCCGGCCTGTTATTAATTTAGTTTTTGTTTAAAAAAATTATTTTAGAACTAACTTAGGCATTTTTTGTGTGTGTACATGTTTGTTATTTTTATAAGCATTAGCTTTTATGATTTCACTAGATTTATATCGAGATTAGGGACGGAGTGGTCTAGCGTTAGAGAGCTAGACTGCTAACCCGTAAGTCTGGAGTTTGTATCCGGGTTCAAGTCAGTAGACTATCCCTGAGTCCACCCAGCTCTGATGGGTACCTAACTCACGTTAGGGAAAGTAAAGACGGGGTGCATAGATCTGACCGCACTATCTCTTCATATATCGAGGTCACAGAAACAGCTGAACTCTACTTCACTTGCCCCATAGACCGCCAGAAAGGGGAACTTTACTTTTATATCTAGAATAGCATAATTAGTCCTATTTCAAATAAAATAAAATGCTTTAGCAAACTTTACTTTTTAGCTGAGTTATCTTTAAATCGTTTATTTGTTTCGATTTCAAAATATTATTCCATAGCTTTTATCATTACATATTTAACATTACGCGGTTGTCATGGGGACGAATTAAAAAACTAGTCAACTCTCCCTCCGGCAGTGTCAGATTCTACAAACTATGAAACTCAAATCAAAACCATTAGATAAACTATAAACTAACAGCAGTAAGTTCCATTTCAAATCATAGGATGCATTATTTTTCTTGTCAGTTTTATTCTTTATTAATTTGGATTGGATGCAACGCTTAGAACAGATTCTAGATCTAGCAAGTTTGCAAAGCATGCGCAAGCTGAAAAAGCTTACCTCATCTAGTCTAGATCTAGATCTAGTCATTTATCGCTAGTCGCAAGGACTTTACTAGACTCAAGACAAGGAGGCTTTCTCATTCATAATTCAATTATACTCCGTATTCCCTAGTACAGTGGTTATTAACCTGGGTTCGATTGAACCCCAGAGGTTCGATGAGTCAGTGTTGGGGGGTTCGGCGGAAGTCAAGAGTAGTGAAGACACACACCCTACTCTTAAGATTTACGTTCGGATTTTGTTAGTGCGTACGGTAGAACTATTAAGAACTTGATTCGGTGAATGTGCATATGAACTGGTGGGGTGCGTTACCTTCAAAAAGGTTAAGAACCACTGCTTCAGTCCTATCCCCTATCATTAGCCCCATGTCTTTTTTTTTTTTAATTTAGTATTCACACATGTAAAAGAAAATTTTTCTTTAAATAAAAAAAAAATGTTTCTATATCTTTCGATGGGGTGTGGGCGGTAGACGTGCTTCGATGTAAGGGGAATGGGGTCTGCGCCTCCCCCACCCCTCCCCACTCGAAGAGGTGCTTGAAAGAAAATAGAAAATCTGCTAACGGCTTGAATATTTTTTATAGCAAAATGGATTCCATCATCATATGTTTGCCTGATTATAGTAAGAGCGAGCGTCTATTATTTGCAGTTTTTTTTTAAGTAAGGCTGGCGGCTACCTGTTTGAACGAGTGATATTGTTTTTTCCGATATCCTAATCCTAGCAATATATTGCAATAATATCCTAGCAATAATATATTGCGTCAGAGGTTATAGCAAGAGACTGAACGCAATGGCGCCAGTGCTTCTTCCAGACTTTTTTCTTCGGGGATTCACTTGAAATTTTAGGGGGGATAGGGGGAGGGGGGGAGGCGGACACTGTTAAAAGTATATATTTTCTATATAAATTCCATTTCGTTCGCGGGGGGGGGGGGGGGGGGGGGTAGACTTGGAAGAAACTCTTAATGACGCTCATTTGTTGATGCCATATGAGTGCGTCAATACGCGTTGCGCGATGATGGGGAGTATATTGTCTTGTTGTATTGACAACAGTTTCATAAAAACCGTTGGGATTCGAACTCGAGACTTTGGGACTAGCAGTCGTGCTCTGTACCATACGACCACGCCATTTAGGCCTAGTTTTACCTATATGGAAAAAAAAAGAAGGGAATAAAATCTATCGGATAAAGTTTTTATTTTATTTTTAAACCTTAAAATATTGGTGCTTTAGTTCAAAATTAATGTTAAAAATATTTACTCCTATGTAGCTAAAAGAAAAAAAACGTCAGAAAACGAAACAAAAATTGCAGCTTGTGTTAATGAATTTATGCTGACCGATCTGAAAATTGACCCGGTAAAAAATCATGCCCAACTTTTGGCCAATCTGCGCTTGCCGGAAGGAGGAGCTGCTGACCGTCCACCAAATGCCACATGTTCTGAAGGAACCGTATATTCACACGGGTTACCGCCCTTCCGGCCAGTCATGGAAGTACTACCTCTACAGTATGCTTTTCGTAGGTTTGGAGTTACTGCCCATTATTATTTTGTTTTTGGTCATTTTTAATTTTCTGTGGTCAATGGCAGGGCTGTGTGGGGCGGTTAGTTTTATTTGTATAGTTAAACACAACTGTAACTGCGATGTCAATAAAAAAACCAATCTTCACTATATGGTCTGCTGAAAAGAAATATATGTATATTGTGTTTGTGTATATATATATATATATATATATATATATATATATATATATATATATATATATATATATATATATATATATATATATATGTATATATATATATGTATATATATATGTATATATATATGTATATATATATGTATATATGTATATATATATGTATATATATATGTATATATATATGTATATATATATGTATATATATATGTATATATATACATATATATATATATATATATATATATATATATATATATATATATATATATATATATATATATATACATATATATATATATAAGTATATATATATATATATATATATATGTGTGTGTGTGTGTGGGGGGGGGGGGGTTATAGAGAGAGAGTGTGTGAGTGAGGGTGTGTGTGTGGCTGCGTGTTTTGATTTTGTTTTACTAATAGTTTACCAACAGCAGGGTTAAAAAAAAGTTTGCTTTTAACTTCTCAGCTTCACAACGAAAGTGTGAACGTGTGGACGCATTTCTTCGGTTTCTTTCTGATTCTGTTCAAGACCATCGACAACCTGAGTGACGTGGATATCCTCAACGACAAAACGTCCTGGCCAGTCGTGGGCTACGCCGTCTGCTGTCTGACGAACCTCATCGTCAGCACTGGGGGTAGGGACACGTCATTTGTTGAGGGTGGTAATATTCAGTTGCGTCACATCTCGGGGGTGCAGTCCGCACCAGGTGACACCCGAACTAGTGACGCCACTGGTAATATTTGTTTATAAAAAAAACCGAAATTGCTTCAAAAGACATAACTTACTGTATTTGGGAAATTAATGCAAGTTTAAAATTTGAATTCAAACCGACATAAACACCCCTCCCCGATATGTATAACTGTGTTAAAAGGTAAGCACGTCTTACTTTCTACACACACATTACATTACGGCAATGAAAATCAATATTTATTGGAAGAACAACACGGATTATTTTGAACAATTATTTTTTGACAATCGTATACAATGCCGACCTATACAAAAGGTTGAAGTAGAGTTTATCTGATTGTCTAGTCAGCACGATTATCAGCTGTCTTTCCTTGCCTCAATTTAAAGCCTGTACCTACTCGGTGTAGTTGATTTAACGCCGCTACCCTTTTTAGATCTTGTCGAACTTTGAAACTCGAACCTTGGAGCCAAGCTAGAGACTCTCCGAACCTACCACAGTCTCACAAATTTTAATAAAAGTTTTATCCCCCCCCCCCCCCCCCCCCACCTCCCCCCTCCCCAGTTCATCTTCTACATTCCAAATCCCGCTGGCACCATTACGTCTTCTTCATGATGGACTACATGGGCGTCACCATCTTCTGCTTTGGGTCGGGGATAGCGACGATGTTCGCCTGCTCCACCAAGATGTACTTTGACGCCATGTTCCCGTGGTTCTTACCCCTCAACGTCTTGCTCAGCTGGTTCGCCTTCTTCACCCTCTGTATGGCCAAGTTCTGCCTCACCCACCAACACGTAAAGCGTTTTATGTTAGCTTGATGATATTTAAGTAAAATAATTGAATATCAATTGTTAATTAACTTATGCATTATGTATGTTCTTCGATTTATTTAAAATAGTCGCCATTATGGAAGTGTACAGAACTTGAGATTTTTTGCCAGTAGTAAATAGTGCATACATTACGGCGTTATTATATTTAGACGTCTTTTTAACGAAAACACATGTGAATGTGTGGCCAGTAGGCAATGACCAATATCCAAGCAGATTGTACTCATCTCGACAAAATTAGATAACTGTCACTCAAGATGGGCTAGGGAATTATAAATACATGAGCGCGCAGAATTACAATAATGCTCTCTATATTTCGACCATAGCAATAGATAGAACTATTGACAAGTAGTTTTAAAATGTCGTCCAAGATATATACAGCCAATTTTACTACTCCATTTCTATTTCTATCCGCTAAACATTAAGGTTTCAACTAGATGTAGATAAGTGGGAAGCATTTAAAGACTTAATTAAAATAGGTGTTTCCTGTTAAGACACCATCATCTTTCCCGTTCAAGATACATGGGGCAGATGAAGTAGAGTTCATCTGTTTCAACGACCTTCACATACAGGTTGATGGTGTGGTCAGCGCTATGGCCAGCCACCTAAGTTTCATTAACGTGAGTCAGATACCCTTCATAGCTGAGTGGACTCACTGATGTCTTTCAGACTCGAGTCCGGGATCTGAACTCGACGCTTTCATGGCAGCAGTCGTTAGCTGTACAATTCGACTACGTCGTCCCTTATTAAGTAATACACTGAAAATACGTAAGTAATTAAATGCCCAACCCCAATAATAAAATCTTGAAAAAAAATTTCAGAGAAAAAAGAAAACCATGATGACGGCTGGCGTAGGGCTCCAGATAACGTTTATCGCCACCCCTCTCCTATCCCGCTACTACGAATGTCTCGCGGCCGACTCCTGCAGTGTCTGGTCCCTGAACCACCTAGCCCTCGTCCTTATCATGGCCGTCCTTTGCGCCATCACGTTCGTCAGCAAGATCCCAGAGACCTGGATCCCGGGGAGATTCGACTTCTTCGGCCACGGCCACCAGATCTTCCACGTCGTTGCTGTCATGGCCATGTTAGCGATGCTGCGGGCCATGGATATCGATATCCACGTTCACGGGACCATGCGAGATCTCGAGCCGAGACTGGGGGATTTTTTGCTCGCTTTTGTCGCGTTGCTGGTCTTAGAGGGCGCCACGCTCTGGTATTGTATTCGCTGCTCTGTACTCAAGTGTGAGAAGCGAGATGATTCTCTAGAGATGGCGTGTGCTGAGCTGGCTAAGGATACCCCCACAGAAAAGAAATGCCCAACAGAAACCAGCAGCAACTTAGCACTTCCCAAAAACTCCGATGAAGAAACATTGTTACGTGGTGAACATGGAAATTCAAAGAAAAACGACTGATCATCCGTATATTTTAAATAAATTAAAAAAACACGGAAATTCAAAGAAAAACGACTGACCATCCATATATTTTAAATAAATAAAAAAACATGGAAATTCAAAGAAAAACGACTGACCATCCATATATTTTAAATAAATTAAAAAACACGGAAATTCAAAGAAAAACGACTGACCATCCATATATTTTAAATAAATTAAAAAACTTGCAGTTTCATGCATTGTTTAATTTTTCCGAACAGTTTTTTTCAAACATTTTTCTCCGGTAGTGGAGGCGGGAGGGCGTTTGAAATTTCCGGAGCGGTGCTTGAAAGAAACTCTGATTGCGAATCAACGCAAATACTTTAATAATCATAGCTGTTGGTTATTTTATTGTCTTGTATAATTAAATAATGCGCTTACGCTCCTTTTAATTCGCTTTGAAACTGTAGCCTAAATGTCAATACATGTTTGCAAAATATTTTTCATCTATAATTAATGCTCTTGATCATATCTGAAACAGAGGAACGACTAACACAATATGATACTTGGGAGTAGTTTAAAGTATATTAAAATTAAGCTTTGACTTTCACCCTATATCCAATAGTTTACCTTATTTTAATTGTAAAAAGTAAACCAACTTTACAAATATCTTTGTTATATACACATGTATGGGCTTATCTTTCCCCTCCTTTTCCGTTACTTTGAAGTTTTTGTACCGGTGTTTAGCAGTAATACTTTTCATATCTTTCTCATCATACTTTTGTGTGTATTATATGTTGGTTATATAACAATTCCTTGACTAACTAATATGTCTATACCCCCCCCCCCCAATTTTATGTGAAATATCTAGAACTCTCCCCAATCACCCCCCCCCCCCCATCCCACCTACGAAACACGACACTATTTGGTAGACCTGCTACAAACATTTTTTTTTAATTTTATGGGGAATCTTAGAAGATTATAGAATTTCGCTTTTATCAAGACTGAGACCCATATTGCACGGACGCTTATATAATATGTGCAATAGGCCAACACGATCCTTTTCCTAATGTAGACGATCCCTTATTAGGCCTAATCAATGTTTCTTCCAGACTTTATTCTCCGGGGGGGGGGGGGGGGGCGCGGGGGCGAACACTGTTAAAAGTTTATATTTTCTATTAAATTCCATTTCGTCCAGAGGGCGGTAGACTCTCTTCAGGAGATCCCTGGAAGAAACACTGGGCCTAACATATTGGCCTGCACGCAGTGGCGTAGCGAGGTCGGGTGTCACCCGGTGCGGCACTTAATGGTGTCACCCCCTCAGAGGCGTAGCGACCCTCCCCCCCCCTCGAACTTTTGATTTGCACCCCCCCCCCCTCAAACTTTCGATTTGCACACCCCCCCCCCTCAAATTTTTCTCTATATATTTTACTATTTTTTGCCTTGGTGTCACCCCCCTAAATGGTGTCACCCGGTGCGTTCCGCACCCCCCCCCCCCCCTCGCTACGCCTCTGCCTGCACGACGCCTTACATTTCTTCTTACAAAAATGGGAGCAATCTCTTAATCAATACGTACATAATATTTTATGTAATCCTTTACACAGTAGCGTCACAATGGGAGGGGGAGGTCGGGGGCTATGTACCGTATTTGGGGACTGACACCCTGAGTTACCGCTACGGTTGACACTCGACCTAGTGACGCCACTGCTTTAATATAATATTTAAATGTTCTTGTGTGCTCACAACATCCAGTCTTGATTAAACAGGGGAGATAACTACGTGACCATAGGTCAAATAACGTGATGTTACTTTTGTATTAAAATGCTGTTGTGTTCTTGCAGCTGCAATTGAATATGAAAAACTCACATGTATAAATTTCAAAATGCGAATGAACTATTGATTGAATTAGCTCCTAGAGATTAATCTCAGGTAATGACAATCGATAATTTTGTATGATGTGCAGAGGCGTAGCGACCCCTCCCGGCACCCGGGGACAAACTTTCAATTTGGCGCCCCCCCTCTCTACGCCTCTGGTGATGTGCCTTTCACGTCTTTTGATTTTTTTTTAAGAAGTAGATCTAGATCTACATTCATACCAAATAAAATGATTTAAACAAAGAACAATATTAATATAAATAGAATCAACATTAACTTAACTCACATTTCCGTCGTAAAATGAAACTTGAAGGTAACGAAAAATATATTTTATATTATTGTGAAAAGCTTGGAGAATGTTTAGTTTACAGCTAGATCTAGTGTTTAATAATAATGAAATATGTAAAAAGCGAATGCTTTAATAAGTAAAAGTGCGATATTATTATTAAGTATTCGGTAGGCCAACAACCAACAAAATGATCTCAATGATGTGTTTATTATTGTCTGGTTCATAATCTCAACACAAACTTTACGATATTAGGTAGGGACTACAGTAGTAAACTCACAGACACTGTAGACTATATATCTAGAGATCTGTGTGAAAATGCTCATTATGAAAATGCTGATTATGTGATATTTTAAACACTTTTCATTGAATTGCTTTATTCAGTTTATTGGTAATCTATCGTTTTGGGTACGTAAAATCGCCCGCGGCTAGAAATGCGCGAAAAAGTTGCCTCACTGTCAAGGCTTTAATAGAAGTATATTGTGATATATTTGTGTCAAATATTATAGATAAATGAATAATAAACCTAAATCAATGGCTAAATATATCAATATAGACCAGAAATTAACTTTAAATAGCAGTGTTTGCGAGCAAGATTTCCTATATAAACAGCAGCCATTTGTAAAATAGAGTTGCCTTCCCCTGAATCTGGCGCTTTAAGTTTGCAAAAAAAGAACTTAAACAAGATGGCTGCTATAGTAAATGAGCATGGTTGCATCTGTTGGAAACATCGCTAGTCTTCATTTATTACTGAAAAGTTTCAATTCAGTTGTTTAAAAACAGGTACATAAATGAAACAAGGAATCATTTTTGTATTTTTCAAAACATATATCCTCCTCAAAATGTGAAATAATTATTAAAATTCAAGGAGTCACCTGTCTTTCACATTACTAGTCGCGGGCGATTTTACGTACCTAAAACGATAGATTACCGCTTTATTTTCTTTACTTCGTCGTGTAACTTCTTTTTTATAGCCTGCGCTAATAAAACAAGAAAGTCAGGTAACTCTGGTACTCTGGTGATAAAGTCAGCCGGCATGTTACTGATTGAGGAACCGATATTTGTTCATGTTTTTATTAGGAATATTGATAATATTAAACTATTAGATGCTCTATAAATCAAGATAGAGTTTGTATTGTTTAGGTTTTTAAGATCATAACTCATTAGCTTGGCTTATATACTATATACTATAGGCTTAGGCCTACCTAAAAACTTAAAAAGTTACAAATTTGATCATCATCATGCATTTGTTGCCGTCTAGATCTAGTACTGCGCACCTGAGTGTCAAAATATTTTACAAGGGTTTTTAAAATTTATCAACACATTATCAGTCATGTATTTTTAGATTTGTGACCTTGCCTTAAGCCTTAATGTAAAAAATGCCAGTGCATATTAAATATTTCTTAGAACTTAGCTGTTGGGGCCCCAGGTTTGTCCACACTACTGCCTAGACACTCAGTGGCATGCTGTATGAAAGCCTTCAGTTAATCACCCTCCAATAGTGAGGTAGAACACCAGGTGCGCTTTCTGGGGCCACTGTTTAAACTACCTCAGGGGCACCAAGGGCAATCCCTGGTTCAGTTTAGTAATCAAATGTATTGGCCCACTGTGTCGTTAATATAGGGTGCTTTTAAAAACAAATGTAGACACCATAATGTTCATGGGAGGCATTCTGGATAACTACCTTGAACAAAAAACAGTTTTTTCAGACCCGTTCCCCCAACAAAAATGGCAAGCCAAAGGTCGAGTCGGTAAAGCTCATGGTTGCTAAACCGAATAGTCTCGAGTTCAAACCCCCGGGCAGATGAGGCTCGTTAGCTGGGGACAGCCACTCTTCTAGGAGAGACAACTCCAAAATAAAACAACTGCTGCCTTGTAGTTTGTTCTTGGTTGGACAAAGGCTATGGAAGCAAATCCAAAAAGAAAAGAAGGCTGAAATCGGAGTCAATGGCCTCAATGGCGCATAACCAGAAGAAGAGAAGAAGACTGGCAAGCCAGTATAGAATTTTTTTTTGCTGATATAGCAATTGAAAACCCCTCTCAGCATTACTGTTAGGAAAAAATTGTGTAGCACTATTGTATTGCCTTGCTAGCAGCCATAGAACATCAAAGAATTATTTTAGTATTTCTTACAGAATGGCACCAGGAAATTTAGTATCACCATCACCTCTACAAGAACAGTGCTGCAGAGCCATTAGTTTGTGTGCAGATAAGATCCCAGAAAATTTATTAGAAGGTCAGTAAAGTAAAGGCAAATTTAATTTATAATACAACTCAAGTTAATCTGGTAACAATAAATACAATTTTGTTAAAAGTAGTTGTACAATAATGAAAATGTTGCCCCATTATGTTATGTTTATCAGAACTGAATCGCCCATGTCTCGGTTTACTTGTGGAACATCTGTCCATGTTTGATCTACTCAGATATGAGAGAATCCTCCAAAAGCAAGGTAAAACAAGCTTCATTTACTAAACCAAGAAATAATATTACAGGTTTAAGACTGATAAAAGGAACAGGATTTTATTATCTTTTTCTCTATTTATCCTGCAGGCATTGATACACAGACGGCTTTATACAAGCTGCAAAGAATATTGTTTGCAAATAATGAAACCTATCCAATAAAGTCAACAACTTGTCCACATTTGTTAGATCTATTTCCTTGTGATGGCTGGGGATGGGGTCTATCTCGACTTCTGTACAGAAGAGCTATAGTTCAACTCATAGAAGAGTATGACAAACGAGAGGAGCTGACTAAAGGTCATTGTGTTATTTGCTAACATTTGCAAATTTTAACAAAATATTAAGTGTATTTGGTGGAATCTCAGTGTCTGTAATCTTGTTTAATATTTAAAAAAATTAATTTTAAATTTTATGATTTCATAGTGTCAAGTGTCATCTGACTTACTAATCATGTAATTGTAATACTAATAATAACCTCTAACAAAAAAATAAATACTAAAAGCTTATAAAAACCATTGTAACATCTTTATTTCATCATATTTAAGTTTCTGGTATACCATTTTCTTTGCAGAAGTACAAAAACGATTGGTCGAACTCCACCCTTACCTGCTGGATTTATTTTGTCCAATCAACACAAAGCATCGAGATAAAATTAAACAAAGAGTGCTTGAGTCCGACGACATGGTGGAAAAACTTGCTGCTTTGGCAGCCCGGCATATTATTTTCATAACAGTTGACAACAAACTATGCAAGTTTTTACTCAATAAGAAATTTGAAGATATTTTAAATGGTTTTTGTGAATCAGTACTGGTGATCTCCCTTATCTTGAAAAGTTCAGTGGCCCTGATTAGCTTTATAAAGACACTCAAAGAAAAGGTGAAGAAACTGGAACGAATCTGCATTAATGTAATAAGGAAAAATGATTTGCTCTACTTTGACTCCCTATTGACAATATGCAGTGGTGTAGTAAGTTATTACACAACAGCTGAAGGAAGGAGGGAAAAAGAAATTCTTCATGCTGTTGTCAATGAAAGTATTGTCCAGAGTGCTAGAGAAAGGGCAGAACAACCAGCTGAATACCAGTCTATTGAGCAGGATCTATTCAAGTAAGATGACCATATTCATGAACAATTTAAAAACACAATAGCCTATATTTAATTTTTTCAAAGATATTACTTTTTAGATTTTCGGATTTACTGGCTTTAATTTTGGAAATGTTGCTTTAATTTTTATTTCTTATTTACTTTACATTTTTTAGCTATTCAAAGTACAGATGTTTTTTTAATTTTAAGTTCGACATTTTAAAAAAAATATTAACTGTATGTTACCGTACTCTTTTAACTGTGTCAGTATTTATTAACCTGTTTATATATTTGTTTCTCCCTAAAAGCACACCAGTTGATGCTGAGTTTGACCTCATGGATGATGCAGTGTTGTTTGGCACGCCATCTCCTCCTTCTAAATAGTGAGAATGTTTTCATTCAATGTTTCTCTGTATGGTGCAGATTTGTTAGGCTTGTAACTTAAAATCAGAATTCAAGGACATCATTTGACAATATTAATTTTAAAGGCAATTTACTAATTTTTGTTAAAGTAATTCCTGGCAGATGGGGCTTGATTGTTGGGGACAGCAACCCATACGAGAGAAAACTCTAAAATCAAACAACTGCTGCTATGTAGTTTGTTCTTGGTTGGACAAAGGCTATGGAAGCAATTCCAGAAAGAAAAGCAAATAGAAGTCAACAGCTTTTATGGCGCATAACATGTTTACACTTAATACTTAAATCCCAACAGTACAATTAAGAACGAAAAAATATTATTATTTGTTCAAGGCCTAACTGCTCATCTAATTTAGTTTATTTAGTTTATTTTATTAATATACTGAATTAAGAACGAAGAAGAAGATCTAATTTAGTACATTTTCTCTATTTAATACCAAAAGTCTAATGATTTAAATTTAACCATGTTCAGGAAGAACCAAAGTTTTTGTAAGTTAACTAATAGTTAAAATGAAATTTTAATATCACTTTAGTTTTGTACTCTTTGTTGTCAATTATACTGCTGGTTTGTATCAGTTTTCTGTGTCCATCAATAACTTGATTTGCTTTACGATGAGGTTCAATTAATTTACTATTTATTTCTTAACATTGTTTCATTTGTTATATGCCGCCATCTAAAGACTTATTTAACACATTTTTTTAAAAATCAGTGACAGCAATGATGGGATGTTGAAAGGAGATCTTAAGTTCACCAATTTAGTAGAAAAGCAACTGTATGTCTCAGTGTTGAATCACCATCTGAGGTACTGGCTCTCTCTGAGGGAACTGCATTTAGGGGGTAAGTTTTAAATGTTTTATAATTTTGCTACCAATTTGAGACTTTAATTAGTGTTTTTTTTTTTATGAAACAGTAATTGCTTAAAATTGTACTTAGATTATGTATTAGTATGATTTATAAATCAGTCTTTTATAAATAAAGGCAAAATTGTAAAAAAACAACTATATATATTATTACCACTCTGTATTACAATGAAACAAAAAATTCAGAGTGGCTTTTCTAAAAAGAAGTGTAAAAAAAAAAGAATAATTTTGTGTGATTGAAAACAATTTTTTCAGTACCTGACTTACATCCTAAACTAGTGGAAGGAATCTGTAATCTGCTCACACGTCCACAGTTCAAATGTTTCACGTTATCTTCTGCTGATTTCTCACCGTCTGTTATGGATGACATCTTGAGTACAGTGGCAACTAGCAGGTTGGTGCCCTGTTTAACAGTCAGTTTTATGTTAAGTAGAGTTCAGTACCATGTTTTTATTCATATGGTTGATAGAACAGAGGAAGTTGAATTCGCCCATTTCTGTGACTTTATGCATTGGAAAAGATTATTTAGTTAGCACTGCCCAGCCACATTAACCTTTTTTGACTCTAATCAGGTATGGTTGAACTCACCAGTGTCTTGGTGAACTGAACCTAGGATTTAACTTACATTTTAGTTATGACTGTGTATAGTGTACCATCGAACATTTGACTTTTAGTTTATTTATAATTTATTTAAAATGGACTGAACTTTTTATTCTTTAGTATTACAGCATTATCAATAATTTTTTGCTATGAATCAAAACTTTTTCTAATCATTAAAATAATTGCTTATACACCACATAAGAAGCTAAGACTAATTAAAGAACTTTTTTCCCTAAGAAATTCTAACCCTTTGGATAAGCTGATGTTTGTAAGCATACAAGAAAAAGTTGACAGCATAGCAGAATTACTTGTTACAGATCATCTTCGTGGGAAAAGTAAGGTTCTTTTGAATACTTATAAACATCTCATATTAAATCAAGCAGTTTTTTTTAAATTTGCAATTCAAATTTTAGTTAGATGTTATCCTAACATTTAAATAGATAAATAGAAATTTAACCACAGGATAAAACATGTTAAATTTTCAATTTAAATACATTTTATATATTTTTAAACAGGATGAAATATATGTTTTGTATGGTATGTTTTATTGCTTTAGGTGAAGAAGAAGTTGAAATATTTGTGAAGCAGTTTGAATCAGAGAGAATCGCAAAATGCAGAGGTATTCACATATTTCCTTGTACAAAAATCACTTTTATATCCAATAAAAATTGTTACAATATTAGACATTTATTAACAATTTTAAAAATCCTGACTTCATGAAGTACAAACCAATGTTTTTAAGTATGAGAAGTCCAGAAATCATAAATATATTTATAGTTTTTACATCATTGTTTTTAGTCCAATTAATTGTTTGGAAAACATTTCTATGTAGATTTTACTGGAACAAAATTATTGGAGATCTTTCACAGTACCCTAGGAGTCAAAACAGAATGTATTCTTTTGGGATATGTCTTAAGAGATTCAGCATTGATAAATGTGTGCTTCAGTAACAGCATTTCTAGGCTTTTCATACAGTATCATTTAAGCTATCTCAGGTCTAAAAGTAAGTAAGACTTCAGTATTTGTTAATGTGTGGTTACTTACTTACTTAATCCTCATCACTCCCTGTGGAGTATAGGGCAGCAACAAATCTCTGCCATTCCACCCTGTCCTGGGCGAGCCACTTTAGTTCATGCCAGGTTTTGCCAGTAGCCTGTACTTCTTCTTCCATCTCCCTCCTCCATGTTCCCAGTGGTCTTCCTCTATTTCTCTTTCCGGGTGTGTTCCACTTCTTTTTTTGCTCATGCATAGGACATGGCCCAGCCATCTCCATCTCCTCGTTCGAACTTCTGAGACAATGTCGTTTAATCCTAATGTTATTTAATTCAAAACTTACAATGAAATTATTTTAAAAAACTCAATTTGCTACATTTTCATAAGTACTATTGATTTAATTTTGTTGTCAGTTTTAAGATTTTTCTAGATTAATTAGTTTCATTTATGTTTGCAACATGTTTATGTAAGCAAAAAACTGATTTGTTGGGTACGATTAGTAGGAAAGACTAAAAACAGTTGTGATTTACAATATTATTGAAACACAGTTGCAAAAACACATTTTGCAGAGGGGATTTTTTTATAAAGACAAAAGTTGCACAGCAACAGAGCAAACAATACTTGTAAACTAATTAAAGATTTTTTTTTCCACCCATTGTTTGAACAGATCGGCAGTTAAACATGCTAATATTAGAAGACTGGTCACTGTTAAGCTCAGCAAGCTGCAATGCTTTGTCTTCATTGCTGCTCTCAGTTTCCTCTTCATTACACAGCCTGTGTCTGAAAACTTGTCTGAATTCTCCAAATGCTGTAAGATTCACAGGTAAACATTTTTTTAACTATACATAGAGTAAGTGGGAGTGTGGTGGCTATTTACATCAAGTGGGAGTATGGTGGCTATTTACATCAAGTGGAAGTATGGAAGCTATTTACATCAAGGGAAAGCATTTATAATTATTTAAATAAATCTTTTTCTTTTACAGATGTTTTAGATGCAATATCAAAATGCAAGAATATCAAGTATTTGGACTTGTCAGAGAATAATTTTGGTTTGTAACAGCTTAAAATTATTTTCCTAATGTATTTGCCTTTTATCATCACTTATTTTTTACATTCTTCTTAGGAGTGCAATTATACCCTGGCCAAATTATATTGTTAATAAAACGAAAAAAATAGAACATTTATGTGTTAAAAATTATTTTTTTCCTTTTGTACTGAAATCAGCTGTAATTTGCAACATGTTAAGTTCAATAACTAACTGGCCCTAAAGTATGTTTTTAAATAACACATTTTAATGTTTATTTTCTTAAAAATGCCTCTTAAATTTAAATACATAATTATAACAATTTTTTTTCTTTCTTTTTAAATACAGGTGAAAGTGCTATTCCTTTTCTAACAGATATTGTTGATAAAACTCAAGTTAAAGAACTTTCACTGAAGTGAGTTTTGTTTAATAAAATTACATTTTTAAAACCCTCTAATGTTAAAGATGACGGTGAGCTTAACATTTATAAAATATCTCTTTATGCAACAATTTGTATAAACATTTATTTTAATTAACTTTTCTTGAATTATAGTAGCTCTGGGGATTTGAAAAAGGGGGATAAATGTAGGCATACAAGTAAACAAATCTTTTATTTTTATTCTACAAGTTGTTCTCTTATTATTATTTTGTAATTATTTATTATTTTAAATGTTTATTTGTATAGCTATGGGAGGGACTTGAAGGCAACCCCCCCCCCCAGCCCATATATTTATATATGCATTCAGCAACCACCCTCCTCCCAATTCCTCAAATCACAAGAGTAAAATATGCCTCTGGTTAAATCATACCTTATAAAAGAAATACAAGCTGAAACCTGTTTAAGTTATATACAGCTGGGTGTAAGGATTCTACCTAATTTATTTCTTGTAGTTTCTGTTGACTCAACTCTGTGACATTGGGTCCCCATTGAGAGTTAGGGATAAACTTTAAAAATTAGATAGTTTTCTTATACTTATACTCAAAAGAATGCTTTTTATTATCAGTCGTGGATGTCGCCTACCTTCTTAGTCTTTAATAGTTATTAAAGCTACTTAAAGATTGAAACAAATTCTTTTGATATTTTTTATTTTGATTTGTTTTTGCCAATTCCGAGTAACATTTTTGAAAAATAATTTACTTTCAGGAGAAATGAATTTTCTTTTGAAGCTGTCGTTTTGTTGCTAAAACAAATTTCTGCACTCAAGAACAACATGCTAGAGATAGTAGACTTAAGAGGGAACCGCTTTTTTGAATGCCACAGGAAACGGTATGGCAATCTACTTCAGAGTGTTGCAAGGTATGTTTTGGTAAACTTCGGCTCTTCCCCTGAAGAAGGAAGATGACAAGCACAGGATCACTTCTGTGTTGCATGATGGGAAGTCTTGTAACACTGGAAGCATGTCCAGCCAGCCTCTCTGTAAGTGTAACAGATGAAATGTTCTCTGGATTATATTAGCAAATTTTCTTGCTAATAATAAGTTATTTACTTTTTATTGCTCTGTTCATGCATTCTTCCATTTGAAAAAAACAACATTTTATTTAGTTTTGTATGCTAAATAGAATTTTATACTAACAGTAAGAGCAATTTTTTTTTTTCAGTTTGTGTATTTCTTATTGTTCTTTAAGTTTTAATTAAAGAACTAAAGATTTTAACATTTATTGTTTTTTATTTCATTTTGTTTAAAAAGATACTAGTTTCTTGAATATTTTTCACAATTGGTAGTACAGAAAGAGGAGTTGTTGTGCTAGTCAACTCGAATTAGGTATTTTAAATTTGTTTTTCTTTTAGTTGTTTTATAACTGAGTAATGTTTTGATTACAGCCATCAAACCCAGTTTAAAATATATTTAAATACAAAATATTTTTAGTAACAGTAAAGATTGTTTCTTTTTAAAAAATTATGTATAAAATGCATCTGTTAAGACTTTTATTTAAAATTCCAATTAGATGAACCAAGAAGCTTTAAAAGTTTATGTTTTTAATATATTATGAAATCTTATTATTAGTAGTAAGATTTTTAAAATGTTATTCTACAAGCTGAGCTATTTTTATGATAAGTTATAAAATATTTCTTAATACCTTACGTACTACAAATATTCTGGATCTCAGTTTTAATGCATGTAGTCTAAAAGAAATGTTAATAGTATTATATTATAGTAAGTATTATCAAACAGCCAGTGAGTCTCCTATAAAAAATTAATCAATCTCAAGTAGCAACAGTTCTATCAAACCTAAACTTTGCTCTCCTGAGCACCTTTGCTCCCTAGTTTTTAAGTACCGAGGTAATAAAGCTTTAATAAGAGTTTTTACAAATATGAAAAAAAAAACAACATTCTAATTTTATATACATGTGTATTGTAAATAAACTTCTTAAAATCCATGCAAATTTTAAAATGTGTAATTGTAACTTGAAATAAATCAAGTCATTATTTGACATAGCTCATTTTATAATGATTAGGGTAATATAATTTTATATAGAGTCTATAATTATTGTTTAAAAAGTGTGCAGTTTGTACATCTTTAAATTCAGTGTGAGAATAAAATTTCTAATTGATGAGTGTTTCTTGTGTTCTGCGTCTGTTATATAATAATTTTACAAACTTTTTATTATTATTTTTTTCATTTTTTATAAATATTTAAAAATGTTTTTAAATTTTACATTTCCAAAAATATAGCCACTATATATATATATATCTCACTCTATATACATACTATGTTTACATATTTACGAATATATAAACACCATAATGATTTCAAGATGTAATAGGCCTATACATCATAGATACATAGTTTATAGATATGTATCATTTTGAGATCCATATGCCAATTCTACAAATCCTTTCTCAACTAGAAAAAAAAAAAAAACATAGGCCATGGCCCTAAATGGAATTTTAAAAAAAATGATTATTTAAACTAATAATATGTTTCACATCAAGAATTTAATTAAATGATTCTAGTTGATAAAAAAGGCCAAGTTCAGTTGTTTTCTAAGACAAAAAGTATATATAATCTTTTGATAATACAGTTGTATGTTTTCCTAACAAAAAAATGGCTTGCACATGACCCTTAAAAACTCGCCAACAATGCCATGTTTATTACGATAAATACGGTAGTTGAACAAGTTCCAAGTGACCTTCGGCAGTTCTTGACTTTTTAATATTAAAAAAAAAAAATCGTATTGCGATGAGTCACTGACGTATTTTTAGCCGACCGTGTTTTGATATTTTGTAAGCATAGGAGCGCGCGGGAATTTCTACCCACTGATCGTAACTATTGATTTTTTTCCCCGCGATACTCCGCATAATTTTTTCTCGATACTTTGTGACAATTTAATATCTATGGCGACTTAATTAACAAACGTTGACGGTAGTTAACACGATTTCGTTTTACTTTCAGTCGGACTCGTACCGTATTTTTTTAAAAAATCGTGCAAATTTGATCTACATCGGTAACAATAAGGCCTCCTCTGATCAAATGAACTAGACGCCGCCAAATACTAGCCGTGTAGATTGTTCTATCGTGTGTGTAGATGACGTGTCAATTTAAGCCAATAAGAATCAAGTATTTTATTAATCTAAATTCTAATTAATTTATTTAGAAGTCCTACATAATAAATAAGACTAAATATCGTGTTAAAGCTGCTCGTTACATGAAAAATAAATGTAATCGTTACAAAAATCGTACAACAGTAATCTGAAAGGAGTCTTAGACCCAAACAAGCGTATCGATTTTATCTCTTCTTTTTTTAAAGCGGCTTTCATTTAAAATAAAACTAGGTCACTGCTACATTCTCTTTTTTTCTCTTTTATTGTAGCACGTTGATTCCCTCCCTTTCCATTTTCCTATTCTTTACGTTGTTCGAGACTGTTGCCTATAAACAGGGTGCCGCTCTTGTTCGCTTTTCTTCGTGTCCGGGTGTAATGGGACAATAGCGGTAGGCTGCCTATAGCTACAGGCGTTGACCTGACTTAACACGTGAACTCAGTAGAACGGGGTGAGGCTAACAGCTTGTAAGCTAGGAGGGAAAAAAAATAATAGTCTGGTTTTATTTTTCACACACGTGTTTGGTATTCAAAAATAAAAAGCAGCTTTTAGTACGGACGGCTTATGTATTCAACAGTAAAATGTAGCCTGCTAGCTGCTACTTATTTAATTTTTGGCGTAGATTAGTAATTTATGTTATGTTTGGTAGAAATTAAATTTTTAACTCCAATTATTTTATATTTTCCATCTCGCCTTTTAGTAGTTTTAGAGGGCAGTGTCACTTTAAGTAGATCTAGGTGTTTTGTATTAAGCTCTTCTAATATCTATTTTAAGTAAATAATAGCGTCGTAAAGAATAGCCTACTTATCAGCAAGTTGGACATAAGGCGCCTTAAATTCAGATTGGAATCTAGTCTAGATTCTATGCCTAAATGAATAACAATGGAAGAGCAATTTACATAGACTTTTTAAAGTGGTTCGGTCTTTGATTTAAAAAAAAAAAACGTTATTGGAAGTAATTGTTATTGTACTTTAAATGGTTATTTGAAAAATGGTTTGTAAAGAAAATTACAGAAATATGTAACGCAAGGGACACTTGTTAACGTTTTGTTGGGTAGAATGTCCGTATTATTCCTGGATCACTTCTTGGTTTAAAAAAAATACATTTGTAACTAAAACTTTTTCAACTAGCTTGTTGCAGGAAACTGGATTAAAAACTTTATAACCAAGACTTTATTAAATAGCTGACTAAACTTACTTGCAGGAAATGGATTTTTTTAAAAAATTGAACGGTCTATGGCCTATGCCTACGAGGATCCCAGCATACATTGTTTAAAAATAAATGATGTTAATTGCTAAATAAAGGGTTGACATATTTTTAAAATCTCATTTAATTAAGATCAGAAGAAAATTGTTAATCGATCAGCAAATGATTTTAAAGTGTTTTCTTAGCAATAGCATGAATACCCTGATTACTAACAATCCCAAAAAGAAGAAAAATAACAGGCAAAGAATGAAGGGCTACTCTATGAAGTAAGATAGCTACGCCAACCATCATTGATTAATACGCACTATACTATAAAGAATCATTACTCTTTAAGATATTTTAAGTGTTTTTTTAGAATCCTTTTTGTTATACTCTACCATGCAAATCAATTTGTCACTGTGCTTCACTAACTTTTTATTTGAAAGTTTCAAAGAGGGGATAATTAGAATACACAGTAAATTAGTCAGGACAACTATACGTGTGCCCTTACGGCAAGTGCCTTGTGTTCATGTCAGTACTTAAAAAGTGTGTGGAAATTATCTTAGTGACATATGCAGGGGTGTTACAAACTCCCCTTCACTGACCCGCGAAATGATGGCTGTCTCGTGAAATTGAGCCATTGGCGCTATGATGTGCTTGTTTTAAATTGTTTTCACTTTGAAAAAAAAAATTGTGAACTTTTATTTAAATTTTACCTAGGCCTAGATCTCAAGGCCTACACATTTTTATATGGAAAATTAATTTGAATTTCCTGCAAATGACTTCGTCCTGCCTGTGCTATAGAGTCTTAACTTATCAAAGTTTAAAGCTATGTTCTAATATCCATTACCACTTGAATTTATATGATAAGAACATTTTGTGGATAAAAAAAAGGAACCATCAAATAAAAACACCTAAATGTGGTTTTAAAGGACTTCTTTACATCATATGAAAACATCCCTACCAGATGTTATAATTAATCCTCTGGTTCATTCTTAAAAATGGTCACCATTAATGTAGTGCCATATTATAAATTATTTCTGCTAAATTTTATTTATTCTTAAAACTGCAATAAAAGCTTTATTTTAATTTACCTAAATTACTTTAGCAGAAACTACATGAAAATAAATTATAGATTTTCATTTTCTTTAATGTTAATTACTATTATACTTCTAATGATAAAAGGAATCAGGTGTTTAAATAGCTGATTTGAATCTCATTAACAACCTCAGCACTTTTATTATAAACTACCAGGATAGTTCAAGAAAAATACCTTTGTTGTTTTAAAAGTTAATCCTTCATACTTATAAAGCATGGAGTTTGAAGTGTGCATTGGTGAGCAATAAGTACTGCATTTCTTTATACAAACACAACCATATGCATATTAAAAACAGAAATATACAACAGACACTTGTTTATCATGTTATGAATATTATTATGCAGTGTATTTATATCATCATTTAAAAACATGACATTCAATAAAAATTGTCTAAAATATCACATAATCATTATAAGCATTAAAACACATTAACAAGAACCCAATAAACAAATACCGATGTTATAGTGAGAGGCTTGTATCTTACAATAGTCTATACAACATGAGAGCAGAAAAAAGATGGGAGACAAGCGTGAATTATACTTGTGGTGGTCAACTAAACAGATGGTTTCACCACACAAGAATAGTATAGTTTGTAAACAAAAGGTTTCATAATAAAAGATGAACTTGAACACTTTAAGCAGCATAGGTTATTATCATAATTTTTCTGTTGAACCAGCGAGAGGGCAAATTATATTCTGGAATCAGCTATATATGTGGGTCATAGTACATTAATTAAAGGAGATATCACCCCCAACAAATAACCAAGCCTGTCTTTTCTCAACCTGACTACAAATTACCGCTATTATATCAGTATGGAATTAAAATGTATTAATTCGTTGATTTCACAGGGGTTTGTTTACAGGGCAGAGAATGGATTAATGTTTACTAGGATGCAAGGAAAAAATTACATCCAACAGAAATTATACAAGCACTATTAGGATGTTAGTCAGAGATAATAAGTAAAGCCTACAGTCACACTGTGCAAAATTAATATAAAAAAAAAACAGTAGGCTCTACATACTATATGACTTCATCAATTTGTATATATTGGATCAACTGTATAAAATAGAAGTGCATTTTATAAAAATAATATAATAAAAAATCTGTCACAATCACACAGAACAATAGTGGAAGCACCCAAAATTTTAAAATTAAACTACCTTTTCTTTTTGGACTAAGCCCTAGATCTAGAATAGATTAGATTTTTTTAGATCCATACAAAATAACTCAGCTTTTAAAACAAATAATATTAAACCAAAACAAAAGCATAATCACTAATCAGGCATAATCACGTTTCTGAAACAAAAATTAATCCATATTATTGAATGGGTAATTAATTTGTAAATAAGAACAAAAATATCTCATTCTTTTTGATGAATTAAAAAATTCACGGGAAAATTAGCACAAAAAAATGTAAACCTAATTAATTGCTGTAGTGTTTTGCTTTTATTTCACAAATAGTCAAATATTGAGCTATGTGTCGAGTTAATCAAAATGCCATGTTCTGTGTCATTATTTGACAGCCGCTATTTACATGCTCAACAATTTGTTGTTTAAGTTTCATCACCTGATCTCTGAGACTCGTTGCTGTTGTAACTAAATCATTATTTTGTCCTTTAAGTTCTTTTACACGATCTTCCAAACGTGAAATTCGTTCTAATTTTCGCGTGCGACATTTTCGAGCGGCGACTCGGTTCCGTGCTCGTTTACGCTCAAGCTTTATTTTTTCCTGAGATTCCATGTTTATTGGTGAAAGTGGAGGTGAAGAACTTAAACACGGTACAGTTTGTGGTTCATCTTTAATTTGCGGTAACCTTGCGTCGATTCCAGCAGATGATACGGGTATATTCGCCTTAGCTGTTGGTATAACAGTTTTTATGGGATTTACGGTAGATGGCCCTCTGCCTATAGGACCGCCGGGCAAAGATGTTGTTGTTGACAATTCGTTTGCAGATGCAAAAATAGGTACGGCTGCAGATGTTGGCACTGTAGCGCTCTGTGAGAGTGCAGTTGGTACTGTTAATGTAGTAAAAGTTCGAGTAAGTTCTTGAGTACGATTTGCCGATAATGCACCACTGCTTTGAAGTTCGGCGAGAGCGTCAACAAAACCTCTTGCGTAGGCCTCCTGTTCCTCGGTCACAAATTTAGGAAATATAAACTGGGTCGGGGTTGGTGTTGTTGTCACCATACCATTTGCTTGAATAATCATCTTTTCGAGCTCAGGCGAGGCCAGTTTCAGCATATTAAGATCTGGAGACGCTAATACTGTTGCAAGCTTTTTCTGTTTAGTCGCTGAACTAGAATTAAAGTCCAAAGTCATACTCCGCTTTAGTTTTTTCACGGCTGAGTCTGGGCCGTCCGTGTCAGAATAAAGCGAATGCTCCATCCTGGACTTAGAAGTAGATGTTCGTAAATCCAGATTGAAAAAGGAAACGCGCGTCAAAACTGACTCGCCGCACAATTGAAAAAATAATAATGAGTCACTTGGTTTCGGCTGCTTTCCGATAGGAAGCCGATGATGTTAGTCACACCAAGACGTGTTTCTAGAAGAGATCAAAGTTGTAATGATAGAATGCCGTTAAGAACGGTCTATATACGGATGAGTCACTTAGCTATGTTTAGCGAATTACAGCATTTTCCTAAATGCTGATTGGATAGAAATGATATCATCGATCACGTGGCACTACTATTTTGAGCCAGCGGAAGCTTGAAAACTTAAAGAGAGCGCATAGAGTGATGTCGTCTACACATGGTTTATTTTAAGGCAAGGATTTCCCCCACTTTGACCTTTGACAGCACACAGGAAGAGCAGAATTTCGATTTATTTTGCTTGAACACGCATAGTGTGTAGACGTCTAGAACACTAGCAGACAGCTAGATCTAGAATCTAGGCTCTATCTTTATTAACTAAATAACTAGGCTTATTAATAATTAATAGGTCGTTACAAGTTCAGTAGGCCTATAGAAACATAAACAAGTAACAATCGTAGTTGATTAATTTTAATTTTACTATTTAAAACGATGAAGGCCTAAAAAATAAAAATACCAGTGTAGTGTGTAGGCACTAAACTCTAAAGTTAAAGTCTAAAGTCTAAACCTAAAATGGTTATTTTAAATTTTAGGCCCAACCAACTGTTAAGAATTAGAGATCTAGTCTAGCTAGAGATCTCTACAATTAGGATTTAGATCTAGGCCTATAGATTATTTTTTAGTAAGCTAACAAAATAACATATTTAAATTAATAGATCTAGAATCCTAGATCTATATTTTAGTGCTTAAACATAGATCTCATAAAATTGAAAATGAACACAAATTCATAAATTAAAATTATGATAATTTAATAAAAATAGGGCCTATAGGATAGGCCTAGATCTAACCACTAAACTAGATTAGATCTAGTTCTAGATTCTAGGCCTATAAAATAGTAGCCTAGGCCTATCTATAAACATAAAGTATAAATTAAAATTAGAACTAGGCCTATAGGCTATCTTTAATAAATGTAAGGACAAAGTACAATTGTAAATTTTAAAAATAATAAAATATTAAACCTAATAGTTATTATAAACATGTATAAGCTCCTATACTAGAAAACAGAAGCCAAACATTATATTCAGTATGCAATTTCTGGATGGGAAAGGGGTAGGGACATTTTTTAAAAACTTTATTTGAACACTGACCTATATCTCCCTCCCCATTATCACATACCATCTTAAAAGTCCCAACCCTGGCAACAGCAGTATGATGATTATGTACAACTCCTAATATTTTAATATTTTTTGGCTCATTGGAAGTAGAATTAGAATATTTAATGACCCCATTTAGGGTTCTCTAACATTTGAGTTATATAATGTTTAGTTATACCCACATATTCATAAAGAGAGGTGGTAAAGCCATTAACATTACTTTAACCCTTACTGATAGGGTACATACTTGTGTTATTGTTAGGATCACTGTGTGAAACAGAGTTATGATTATGAGTGTGTCATTATAGTTACTAAATATATACTTAAATTTAAGGTGTTTCAAACAATGAGGTGCAAACCTTGTCTAAACCAGCCCATTGATCACATAGATTGCAGTATATCAGTTAGGATTGGCATAATTATCTAAAAAAAATAGTGGAACAGGTAGTTTAAAAAATAATAACTGGACAGGCATGATAATTTAATCCAGTGTGGTCTATACATGTATTTGTTGTTTGTTTTTAAAGATAGTTTTTCCATTTTTTGTTACACATCATCATCAAGAACCAGCCTTCCCCTAAATGAACTTCATAATGTTTCACATTCCCCCTAAAAAACCCTAATTGTAAAACCCACTTCACTTACAGACATGTGAAATCATTTATAGACAGTCTTAAGAATTTTTGAAATGGTGGTTAGACACTGCATTTGATTCTCGAAAAAAAATTTTTTTTAGGATAATCATATGCGATGTAATGGAAAACAATGCTTCGACCCATAAAAATTCCTTACTATTGTTTTGATCGTAATTAGAACTACCAAATTTAAAAACAAACAGCTTTTTTGTTTTGTTTGTACAGTTTATTTTTGCTTTTTGGGACAGCAGCTATTTGGTGCTAGAAGAAGCTAGATATTTTTAGGATGATTAAATTTTCTAAAAATATTTTAATAGGCCTACATACATAGAACATTTTATTGGGGGTTTGATTAAGATTTCAGAATTCTGCTTAGTTAAATATCTATTTATCTGATATCTCTTTGGGTTTTTTTTATGTTATACCATCTCTTACAAAAAGAGGAAAAAGAAAACAAATCTACATTTTATGATTGATTTTAAATACAGTTTAAATGTAAGATCTATTTTAATTGCTCTTAGTATTGTTATATACATTTAAATGCCAAAGGCTTAAAAACACTACGGTTAAAGCCTGTTAAACAATCTTGTTATCAGTCATTTAGCAGGCCTAGATTAAGTTGTCATCCATTCTTGATATATATGTTATCTATATTTAATCTTTAGTATTTGAATTCAAGTTTAGATTCATTAGGATGTTTTAAAAATAAAATTGTAATCTCTTGTAAACAATGGCAGGCTAACAGGCCTTGTATGACCTGGGGAAATACCCCCTCTCTCCTAGTGCCAACTAGTCATAACTGCATGACTCATCTGGGTGTTTACCAAAGATTCAGCTGTGTCCTAGTTTCAATACACAGTCCTGTGCTGGTTTTATAGCAAACCTTGTTAAAGGGAATGTCACTTAAAATCACATTTATTACACTTGATTTGCTTCCCTTTATATGAAGCTAATATGTGGAGTCCTTGTCATTTACAAGGAAGATATTTTTTTTTAAATACATAGATTCTTAAACATATTTGCCAGGCACTGTATTCTGGCTTAGATTCTATATAGGCCAAGGTAACAGAATAAAGCTACTATTTTTCTCCTTTTGTTGGTCATATGTATTACCTCAGCATTTCATGTATATTTATATCTTTTATTTCGCAATGCTGAACATCTGTAGATCTATATGTTGTAACAAGCTCAAAACTAATTTAAAGTAAATTGAAGAATTACTTATTAATATGTAGCTGGTAATTAATAATGACATCTAAAAAATAATTTTAGTTCAAGTATACATTTAAAGTAAATTAAGGTCTTTGTAGTTTTTTAATTCTGATTTTTTTTTACAATGAGTCACAGACATAAAAAAAATCGTGGAAAATACTTTAGCCTACTAACACACATTTGTCTTGGGTTTTCTATAACTCTTACTCAGCTAGGGAAGAATATATCATCTTCAAAATGATACGAAGCCTATAATTTAATTTAATTTTAGAAACCTGTAATATTAAGTTAAGAATACATTATCAATAAATACTTTTGGTTGCAGTGTCTAGATACTGAACACATAATTTTTTTTACTAAAACAGAGATGCAAAAACCAAATAGTTTTAAGAAAACTATAAGAAATCCATTAAAAAAATATTTTCTATTTCACATTGTGGTTATCTGGACAGTTACACTTGAGTGATACCCCATACACTAGGCATTCAAATCATGAAAACCACTCATAGCCTTGGTTGGATGATAGAGCTTTCGACCACTAGCCCAAAAGTCTCCAGTTCTGTACCTGGGCTCAAGTCCACCCAGCTCTGATCGGTAGCTGACTCATGTTAGGGAAACTCCATATTTCATGTGATGTGCATGAACGGGAAATGATAATTGTATCCTAGACAGTCAACTCTTGATACTTAACTATTAATGTCCTACATATGGGGATGGGGCGAGGGCATTGAACTGAGTTAGATCAATTAAATAAATCTTGTTTATGGGAATGATCCTACTTTGCATTGTTTTAGCCCCCCTCCCCATCTATACAAATGCATTAGACATGTCGATAGATTAGAGATTTACAATTATTTTATTATGATTTCTTTCTCACTAAAGCAACAAAGACTGCTGCCTGGGTAAATATTTTGCTTACAACTTAAATTGTTTACAACTGTCACAATCAACAAAGTGTATAATGGATTGCTGGCTGTGCTGGCTTTTTAAGTATTTTTTCTCCTGGGATGGGGGGGGGGGGGGCTTGAAACTTTCAGGAGGGTGCAGGTAGACATGCTGTGTGGTAGTGGGGGGGGGGGTGTTGTCAATCTTCCCCTCCCCTTGAAGAGATGCCTGAAAAGAAAAATTAATTGCTGGTGAACTTGAAAAATTAAGTGTGATCTGAATGCATACTGATTGCAGTTTGACTGGATGCTGTCAGCAAGTCCTACTTTCAGGTTCTCTTTTCTTGATGTTACAGAGTTACCCTTAGTTCAAAGATGGCATCCTCGTCTTCAACTCCTGGTGTGAGACTGAGCCTTTCTTCTCTGTCTCAGGTACAGAGCATGCTGGACACTGATGGGGAAGATGATGAAAATGATGGGAGAAGAACAACTTCTGATACATCGTACTTAAATGCTGAGGTAGTCAATGGAATTTAAAAGTTTTAAAAATAGAAATTTACTTTAGGCTGAAGTTTATAATGTAATATCTGCCAATGAACACATTATACATTATAAAATTCTGGTTTTTATTTTTATGCATGGATAAAATAGGAATACATTTAAAATCACTTTTTTAATTTGATTTCATTAAGATTTAGCTGCTTGAGTTATAAATTACTTTTTTGCCCTTAAGAAATATTACTACTGGCCAAATATTTACTTTAGCTTTCATTGTGGATTCTTGCATCATCATTATTGACTCCTTAACCCATTCTAGTTTTCATTCTCAATAGAATGGAATAGAGCACAAGATTTCTATTAGTTCATGTACATAGATTGTCTTTGAGATCACCCTGATTTGGACCTGACTCTAGTCTCGGGAATAAGAGACTATTGAGCTAATCTCACAATCCCATCTTAGGCTGAGATTCTTTTTAAACTCTTCTTTGCTTTATAGACCATCAGATCTCACAGAATACTTTACTTTCTTTTCAACGGATGTTTGATTGGTGTAGATCAGTTTCTACATCTTTCATCCTCTTGTTTGAGCACTTAGCTCAGGCTTTATATACTAAAAAATGTCTGATAATTTCAAGTAGTCCAGCTTACAGCCAACTGAATGATCCACATCCTTGAGCCTGTATACAAAAAGTTAGCTGGAGTGTTGAAATAATTTCTATTGAGTAAAGCCCTCCACTAGACACTTGTGTCTTTCTTGTAGTGGAAAAAAACACTTAAGAGGGTGATGTCATACATCTTAGTTGTACTAGATATCTCATCTTTGGTACTGCTGGCTCAGTTGGTCTTCATTGCATTGAGGTTTAGGGTTAGAGTGGATTTCTGTCTGTAAAATCAATATGATAGATTAGTAGATAGATTTAGGATGGTTAATCAATAGATTAATAGATAGATTTAGGATGGTTAATCAATAGATTAATAGATAGATTTAGGATGGTTAATCAATAGATTAATAGATAGATTTAGGATGGTTAATCAATAGATTAATAGATAGATTTAGGATGGTTAATCATTAGGCCTACTGATTATTGTTTTAACTTTTTGATTTCAAAAGATCAAAAAATTAGAATGCATGCAGTTGTAATCAAGACTAGATCCCTCATTGAAAAATCATTTTAAAAACATATTCTTCCAAATACAATTAATTAAAACATTGCTGTATTCTATTTTATTAACCATGTTTAATTAAAATTAAAATATTTTAAAGGTATGTTAATAATAATGCCAACTATTTGTTATGTTGTTTTATTAAGGTATATGCAGCAGTAATGTGGCATGGGGGACAGCTTGGTGTATGTTACTATGACTTGAACAGTTTACAGATACACGTCATGCCGGACACCCTAGAGAGTGATGATTTTTCTTTAGTTAAGCAAAGTATGATTTTAAGTTTTATTCTTAGTGAAGTGTGATTTATCCTTGGCAAACATATTTGGTTTTTTTCTAATTTTGGTTTTTAGAAATACACTCTGTTTTATTTCTTGCTAATAAACTTAGCTTCAAGTCCTTGCCTCAGTACAACCTTATTTAATTGCATTTAAAATTTTAAAATAGTTTTTTTATTTACTTATCTTTTCTGCTAGTACTTGACATAATGTCAAAAAGTATAAACATAAAGTTGACAAATCAACCACTGGGATTTCTTTCTGATTTTTAAGATATTTTTTTTTCTGTTGGTCTGTTTACCTTATTTTATTTGTGCACACACAAAGCAATTGTGTATATGAAGTGTTATATTTAGTGACGAAAATCAATTACTAATTTCTTTTTTTAGTTCTGCGAGAAATCCAACCATCTGTTATCGTTCTGAGTGCATTACAAGACAACCGCTTACTGACCTGTTTAAAACAGTTGGGTATGAAGTTAAAATGTGCCTTTAGTTTTACATCCTCATGTGTCATTCCAATAAAACCTTTATACACAACAACTTAAATCATAAACACAGATACACTCATCGTTAAGTGGACTCTTGAAATAGTGGAGTATGTTATATTTTAAACTCTGACTCATCCAAACTAAAAACCACTTAAGTCTTTCTACCTAGCAAAACAAAAACACGATTGAGCTATTTTGGTATATTGGGCATTGTTTATGAAAGCAATCAAGTTCTACATTATTTCTTGATGAGTAAAAAGAAAATGCACCAATCCTTCATCCATAGTATACAGTATCTTCAATCTAAGATCTTAATTTAAACATCAGTTATTTCATACTTCTTTGTTAAGTCAACAAACAATTCATGCACTATTTTTTATAATATTAAATGACCTACATCCCTGATCACTTTAATTAAAATGTAATCAAACAGTTTCTAACACAAGATCAAGTCCAGGAATCATCAATGAAGCTTGCAGACTGGAGTTTCTACCTAATTCAGATTTCAGTTAGTAATCAGATTTCATTTAACCTCTGACTTGAACTAGGTTACTTCTGGATTCTAATTGTTCTTGTTTTTTGTCTTAGAGCTGTGGTAAAGTTTATGATTTTGTGACCTGGTACATGGATTATGTGGTTAGTTGTTTGCTCAGCTGCCGTACTTTCATAAGCTTGAGTCAGAGAACAGTCAGAAATATGTGGGCTTGTAGACAACCTATGTATTTGCATATCCTCAAATCACTAATTTGCACAGAGCACTAAATAACATTTCTATTGAACATGACATTATTGTTAATATGGAGTTAGCTTTTAAAGCTCCTCATCATCTTTTCCCTTTTGTGCTCAAGATACATGAGGCAACCACAGAAAGCTAGGTTTTAAATTGCTTGTCAGTAAAATTATTTTAAAAGTATGTTGTATCGCTTATACTAACAAGTGGCTAAATTACGGTTATTGTTACTAGCTGAAACCTTTTAAACTATTGATTTTTTTGTTGCCTCTAAAAAAACTACAACCATCTTTTAATAAGAAATGAAATAATTGATAGTTGGGGCTAACTAGATTGTAGTTGAAAATTTATTTACATCTTGCTTGAAAATTGTACAGTTATTACTAAAAAAGTTAATTGTTTAATTTTTTAAATATGTTTTTATTTCCTTTAATTTGTTTACACTCAACAAAATTATCTATTTTAATTTTATGCAGATAATGATTTCATATAGCAAGTTACTATTTTGACAGCTCACAATTTTAAATAATCACAAGCTGTATTCTTTCCATTCCACAAAATGTTTGTTACAGGCATTAATTTTTTGTTAGCTTTGTTTTCTTAAATTTTAGATTATGAGGTAGGCAAGAGGCGCATTCTTGCAATCAAGCTCCCTTCAATACCCAACCACTACACAGAGGATGAGAGGAAGGTGCATTTTTCATCTTTAGTTTCCTTTGAAAGAACCAATATGGTATGGTAATATTTTTTACTTCACCCACAATTAATAATGGTATAGGTATTAGCTAACACTGACTTCCATATAAAAGAGTTAACAGTTAAAAATTAGTATTTAATACAGTTACATATTTCAAGGACCAAAGCTTTAAACTATTTCATTCATATAGACGCACTAGAAAGTAAAGAAAAAGTAGTTTTTTGCTAAGACAGTATGTAGAGGCCATGTGCTTGGGTAGTCAGCACTGTACTCAAACACCTTTACTTTCCACAAATAACCAGTCAGCCAAGTCTAGTGCTGTGGCACCAGAATTAGACGGTTAAGCTAAAATTAATGTAGGCTGCTTTTTCACTTACTCAGGGCACCAGTGTTAGCCTAAATAATGCAAACATCAACAACTTATCCATATTTTAAGCATTGGACAAATGCTAATGAAAAGACTGCCTTACTTGTACAGCAGCTGAGCAAACACCAGCAATAAGGCTCAAGCAAAAATTTTGATTTTATAGCTTTAAACATTCACAATCACAGTCATGACATTGGTTTGTATTTTAAAAGATAAATAATTTCAAGTTATATTGATATACTTGACGCTATATTCATTGTCTAGATTCGATCTATTGGTGGTCTCTTAAAATATTTGGACAAGACGAGGGTTGGAGTGGAGCTGGAGGATACAGACATGTCGGTGCCAGTACTTGGCTTTAGGCTACTCACTCTGTGAGTTTTAAAACAAGCTTAACAAAATCAATCTATTCTCATACTGAGTATTCTTATCCATCCTGTAAAAAGTTTCATTTAAAAAATTAATAGGCAAAAGTGTAGATGATATAATACTGTCATTTATTTTTAAAAACATTTACAAATTTTCTTGATTGAGGTTTTTTTTTTTCATAAAAAAATCAAATATATTTTTATTAGTTGCTAGGCTTTTGATTATATTTTAATTAATTTTTTTTTATCTGTCTTGTCAACCCTCAGAGAAAACCAAATACAGATTGACGCTCCAACATACTGTGCTCTAAACATTTTTCACATGGAATTTCATCCATCTGTGTACAAATTTGGCTCCAGTAGCAAGGAAGGATTGAGCCTGTTTGGTAAGAGCTTCTTTATACTGAACCTGTAATTTAAATGTTGGCACACTTATATTAATTATTATGCTTTAAACCAGGGGTCTCCAAACTCTTGATGCGGCCCGCGAGTTCCTCTCATCCGGCCCGCGGAGATCATTTTGTCCACAGAAAAAAACGTTTATTGGTGATGGCTGAGGAACTTTGCCCAGAAAAATCAAAGACATGCCTAGAAGAAACTGGCCCCCGAACTGAAATTTGATAGTCAATGCGGCCCTCGGACTGAAAAGTTTGGAGACCCCTGCTTTAAACAATGTGATTAATTGCATTATTCAGATATTAAGTTACTATGGTACTAAAAGTTTTAAATTCATGATGTGATATATAAGATATTTATTTTTTAGACAAAAGGCTATAATTAAAAAAGCCAGTAAAAGATTTTTTTTTTAAATGTTAGCTGCAGTATTCTCTTCCAAAAAAAAATATTTAAGTTTGAAATAAACATTTTATATAGTTTTAATTAATAAAACAATAAGACTGATACTTGTGATTTTCTTGAACAGTTTAATATTCACATTATATTTGTTTTTGAAAACATTTCAGGAATATTAAATAGATGCAAATCTTCTATTGGAACTAAAATGTTAAGGTATACATTACCACTTGTTTCATGAAACAGATTATGTCCAGTAAAGGAACATTAGAATCCAGTGAAAAAAAGGGGTGTTAAATTAATGATAACAAACTTTAAACTAATATAATTTGCTATTAAACTCAATCACCAGCCAAAGTATTACAATACCCTTAACTCTAATTATGTCCCTAACAATACTAAACCTGATACTGGTAGTTATATTAATATTATAATACTATTAATTATCTTTGAATAATAAAACGTTTTTAAAGACTCCATTGTTGAACACTTGTAGTAGGAATAAATATGACAATGATAAATTGTTATGTTTGTTAAAACATATTGTCACACATTTTGTATGGCACTTCAACAAAACAAAATCCTTTTGGTAAAGTATACTTAAAAACATTTTAAAGACTCATTAAAAAAATATTTTTTTGAACTCAAATTTTAAAATTTTTCTTTATTCCTATTTTTCACTTTTCTGAAGTAATTATAGACCATGTATATTTTTTTTCTCTAGACAATGGTTTTTAAGACCCCTGAGAAATGCTATGCTTTTGAATCAGCGCTATGATGCTATTTCATTTTTTCTGGAGCCTCGCAATACAGAAATCGTAAATTGTCTACAAAGCAGTCTTAAACACATCAAATTCATACCTGTAAGTTTTGTAGAGTTAACTAAACCCTAGAAGCCTACTGCATTTTTAGTCTCATTTATTTTACTTTAGTCCAGCTGTATTGATTTTATATTATATATACACTAAAAACAATCTTACTTGGTTTAGATAAAAGTTTCTTTTTTTCCATTGTTATAAACATACAGTTAAACCTGCCTTTAAACGTGAAAAACTTTTTGGGTATTACAAATAGTAACAACTGTTGATATGTAATATTAATTTTATGTTTGACGAGATTTCCAATTTATGCTTTTCCTGGTTTAGACAGGTTTGACTGTGTATACTTCACTATAATGTCAATTGTAAAAATATGTTCCCAATCTCATTTATTTTAGAAAATACTGTCTAGAATGTCCAAAGCTCAAGCTACAATAGGTGACTGGGTGGCTTTGTTTACAGTAAGCTGCTTACCAGTTTTTTTTTACATATCATTTGATCAAATTTTAATCTTTAAAAATAGTATAAAGAATATATATGTTTAAGGTTGGTCTTAAAATATTTGTTAAAGTGAGAAATCCTATTGCCAGTTTATAGTGGATATTTTACATTTTGCCCTTCCCAGTAGTTAGTTAAAACCTACTTATAAAATGTTATATTTTGATATTTCAGACCATTTACTACACTGTTTATATTGGTGATCTATGCAAAAATGTAAAAACTGGAGTGGAGATATTTAAAAAAGTATGTAGATATGTCATGGTTTTTTTAAAATAGGTAGATTTAAAAATAAAAATATTAATCCTTATAAGATGAATTTGTTATAGATAAAGGGAGGCTACCCATAACAAAAATGAAAACTTTAGCTACTATATTTTTCATTAAATATCCAATAGGTAAATATGACTATCACAGATGATCTTCATCGTTGTGCAAACCTCATATGTAAAACAGTAAGTATGGACATATTTTAAAGAAAGTAAAATCGTATTGTAAATCCCTTGAAATTGTTTTTAAAATCCTGGATTTTTTCTGTCAGTGCACATTTTTACAAATAATTTCCACAAAAGCCACAAAATAGGACTAAGATGATACTAATTAGAACTATGAACTGGATGATTTTCAGATTAATTTTGAGGAATCAAAGCAAAAGAAAAGATTTGTTGTGCAGCCAAATGTAGATGAAACTTTGGATGAAAGTAAGAATTATTTAGAATAAAACTCAATTAATTTATGTGTTTAGTTTTTGAAAGTATTTTAATATATTTTCCATTTTTTTCACTTTCACAAATGTTAAAATAGTTCCTAGATTCTTTGACTATTTAAAAACTAGGCTACATAAATTAATAAAAAAAATTTTTCCTCAAAGAAAAGCGCACATTCAATGGTTTACCAGATTTGATGACTCATGTAGCTAGAGAGGAGCTAAAGTCACTGAGCAGTGAAATTTCTGAATGTGTCGTTAGCTACCTACCTCAGGTAAGTCTAAAATTACCGAACCATGACATTTCTGAGTTCTTAGCTAGCTACCTCAAGTAAGTCTTAAATCACTGAGCCGTTAAATTTCTGAATGCGTTGTTAGATACCTACCTCCAGTTCGTCCAAAATGATTAAGATGGATGAAGTTAACCAAGTCTTCACCATATGCTGTGATTTACCAACCTAATGACGTCACTCACTGAGTGGTGGGGGTGGGGTTTGACTAATGATAATTATGAGTGGGTGAGCAGGGGAGAAGAGAGAGCTTAAAAAATGTGACAAAGCAGTTTTCATATTCCTTAGAAGTACAAATTGTAAAAAAGTTCATTTTCTTTAGATTTTCGTGCAAAATTTACATACACTGCTTAGAATTTTATAATACTAATCTTACAAAATAATATGAATTACGGTAGTATTTTTTTTGTACATTAGTATTGTTTTTTACATTATAATTTTTTACCTTAGTATTTTTTTGAAATGTTGATAAAGCTAATTTGTTTTGTAATTTTCAGATTGGTTACCTGCTTGTAATTGACATGCCAGAAGGCAAGGAAGAAAATGATGATCACACAATAGATGGCCTTGAATTTAAGGTATCAGAATACTATATCTTACATTTAGTTTGTTATTTTTTCAAGATGTATTGTCATCCATATTAAATTTTAGTGCACTTAACTGAGTCACATAGCATTAGCTTGATGTTTCAGTTTGCATCCAATAACCAGTTATTTTACAAGACTCCTAAAACTTTGGGTAACTTGTTCAAGTTAAATTTTTAAAAATTAAAAAATTAAATTGTTTTATTTTCTGTTGAATGTTTATTGTATTTTTTCTCATTTGAAATTGTTTTTTAAAAAAATTGAACTGTTTATAAGCATACATTTTGTTACTGTTTTTGTAAAGTTAAAACTGATATTCTTTGAAAGGTGTTGCCCTTTGTGTTAAATCCACCCCTATGTAGCTGTTGAGTTTGAAATAGAAAGAGTTATTTATTCTATTGTTGTTATAAATGTACTAATTTTCATCGCTGCAAAATCTACAATTTCTGTGCTTGTTTTAAACTAATTGTTTTATAATATTTCCCATATTGTAAAGTTCAGTTTTATGTGTTTTTAAGAACTAGTTTCCACAGAATCAAAATTGAAACATTCATATCTGAATTTCTTTCTTTTTCACTGTTATAGAGCTGGATACTATACTGGGAGACACACAGTTAGACATTATAGGTATGTATTCCAAGAAAAATAGTCAATCATTATGACTAAAATCTCAAGACCTGCTTCTGACTATTTTAATTATTATTGAATTAGATTAGTCAAGAAGTATAATTAATTTGGTATATTACCATGTACTGATGAAGGTATTAATTGGATGTGTGGATTGGCAAAGAAGTCACAAGTATATAGTTCCTAGTGTATAAAATATAACAACTGACAAGCTCAAACCATTTGTGCAATAGAACTAGATTTTTTCTGATCAAGGGGAGGTTAAAAAAACAACAACAAGCAGCAAGACAATAAATTTTCCAACTAACAAGCTTCAAACACATTTTTAAGGATTATTAATTAAATTCTACCACTTTTAAATAATGCACAGTCTATTTACTAATATGGATTGCTTCATGTTTCATTATTTGAAAGTATTGTAGTATTTATATTTTCAAATTTTACTGCAGAAATGGAGATCAATATCATGCACCGTCTTCAAACTGTCATTCTGGAAAATACTCAAGTTTTACTTGATGTTACAGAAGTGATAGCTGAATTAGACTGGTAGTTTATTTGATTGGATTATTTTCTTTAATTGATTATACAAGCATCCATTTTTACAATTTATTTAGCTTGAAAATCAAACAATATAGTAATTGTGAAATACTTTCCCCAAATGTAAATACAATAGGGTTTATTATTACTTGTGATTTTAAAACACTCTTCAGCTTAATGGCCTTGGCTGTGTGTGCACAAGAGTTTGGTTATGTTCGACCTAATCTTGTCAAAGAAGATGTGATAGATATAAAAGCTGGGAGGTAAGAAATATCACACTATTTAGCTTCACACAAACATAACACATTGATAGAAATGTGTAAAATGTAGCCTACAGTGATAATCTAAAACCAGATATATGTACAAGAAACTTCAAGACTTATAACCTTGTACCTCTTCTGTCTTGTTACTTTAGACACCCATTACAAGAAACATTAAGACTTATAAGTCTGTGTATCTATTCTGTCATACTACTTCATACACCCGTTACAAGAAACTTTAAGACTTATAACCTTGTACTTCTTCTGTCATGCTACTTCAAACACCCTTTACAAGAAACTTTAAGACTTACAACTATACAACCTGGTACCTCTTATGTCATGCTATTCAGACACCCATTACAAGAAACTTTAAGAAACTTTAAGACTTATAACCTTGTACCTCTTCTGTCATGCTACTTCAGACACCCATTACAAGAACTGTGCTGTTCTCCATTTGTTCCTAACCATGCAATGATGGGGGGAGAGAGTGGAAAAATTAAACTTTTAACAGGACCTAATGCATGTGGGAAGAGTGTTTACCTCAAGCAGGTGAGTGCATTCTAGTCTCCATTGATAACTAATAGGAACATTTTGTCTGTAGTTGTTAAGATGTACCTATTATTGTATTGATAACTAACAGATTGATTACCAACAGATGCATCAGTGCATAAAGTTTAAAATGTCTTAAATGGTCTTGTTGGGAATTGAAAGTGGTGTGTGTTAGAGAGTATGCAGAATGAGGGATTGTTTGTGTGGTGCAAGGATCTCAGCCTGTTTGTTGTCATTGAAAGTTTTGTTAAATTGTGTTCCTGTGAGTTTGTCTAAGTAGAAAGTTGTAGTTTTGTGTAATGGAGTGGAAGGTTGTATTAGCTGTGTCACCCTTCTTATGCTGCTAAGTTCATCTCATTATCTTTTCCTGCTTGTTCCCAAAACACATTGACAGATGAAGTAGAGTTCACCTGTTTCAATGACCCCCGTATATAAAAAACATAGTACGGTCAGCATTATGCCCAGCTGCCTTAGTTTCCCTATTGTGAGTCAGGTACCCATCAGACCTGTATGGGCCCTGGGACAGTCCTACAGACTTCAGCTGCTAAGTTACTAAAGCATTATTTAAAGCCATCATCATCTTCTCTGTCTACCTTGGTGAATAATTACATTAAAGGAAGATTTTTCTCACAGCTTAAATCCCAACCCCTAACCTTTTTTTTCATGATTTGGTGTGTACACACAAATTGCAGACCTTATGCTATCCTTAATATGTGTAGATTTTGAAACATCCAAATCGACTGTTTTCTCAAAATTCAAGATCATACTTCATTGTTTATTTGGATTGATTTATACCACTACTAAATTCCCTAGCTATGTTTTTCTTCTACTAATTGCCCTTAGGATTAGTTTTTTATCAAACTTATATTGGTATCATACTTATGTAACACTAATTGTTAATGTTTTTTCCACAGGTAGCACTGATTGTATACATGGTCCACATTGGTAGCTTTGCACCAGCCGAGCAAGCAAACATTGGTCCCATAGATCAAATATTCTCCCGCATCAAGACTTTTGAGAGCATCTCGGAAGGGATGTCTACGTTCATGCAGGAAAATATGCAAATGACGGAGGCCTTGCGATTAGCCACTGCCAACTCACTAGTCATTGTAGATGAGTATGGCCAAGGCACAGAATCTGTACGTTTCATTCCAAATATAAAAACTTACATTGTTTTTATAGACTTCTTATTATGTATAAAAGTTAATTACTTTTAAGTAGGTTCAGTACATGTTATAATTTGGTAGATTTTACAGTTTTGATCAAATTTATTAAAATACTACATAGCCAATATGTCTTTTAGAAGCTATACATTTTCCATTTTAATGGAAAAATCTTTAATTATTAAATACTGTGATAATGTGAAGGAAAATAAGCATATTTTACATTTTTGTTGTTAAAACACATTTAGTGGTAGTAATAATTATAAACACAAAATAACATTAATTAATTAAGATTTTTCTACTATCTTCTCATTAGACTGATGGTCTGTCCCTGTTAACTGCTATCCTGAAGTTTTGGATTGCCAAGGGAACAACCTGTCCTTTTGTGCTAGTCTCCACACATTTCCACAGCATTATCCACAAGAAGCTTCTCCCTTCTACTGCCCAGCTTCAATATTTGGTGAGCTTTGACACAATCATTTATCAGATTGCTTCCCCTCACTCAGTGGCGTAGCGAGGTCGGGTGTCACCAGGTGCGGCACCTTAATGGTGTCACCCCCCAGAGGCGTAGCGACCCTTCCCGGGGACAAACTTCTTTCAATTTGCACCCCTCCCGCAAACTTTTGATTTGCACCACCCCCACCCCCCTTAAACTTTTGATTTGCACCCCCCCTCAAATTTTTCTCTATATTGCTGTTTTTTGCCTTGGTGTCACCCCCCCTCCCCCCTCACTACGCCTCTGCTCTCACTTTATTCCTTCATAGAACTATTTTATTTAAGCATCCATTTTGTAAATATACATGTACGTTTATTTAATATCTCACAGACTCTGGAAACAGTGATGAACAATGATGAGTTAGTGTTCCTGTATCAAATCAGGGAAGGCCACACCAGCACCAGCTATGCATGTAACATTGCAGCTCATGTAGGCATGCCAGCTTCAGTTATACAACGAGGCAAAGAGGTATTTTAGACTATTCATCTTTCTATCAGTAAACTGCATTAGATATCACTGCACCTTTAAAGATGAAATATATTTGATAAAAATTCAATGAGCTGTACTGTCTATCAATTAACATAATAGACATATCTCCTTTATTGGTGACATTGTATTACTAACATTTTAAAAATGTATTGTGTTTTAGGTCTCTGATCTTCTTGCTCAGTATAAGTCAGTACCTCACATGAGGGACAGCGATGCTAAAAAACAACATGAGAGGTAAGAACTTTGCTAACTTTTAAATGAAATCCATTACATGTTTACTATGTGCATTGTAACAAAATCTTTGATGCTACAAAATTAACTTTCAATTAGCTCTAATCCAGATGCTGGTTCATCTTTTTTTCCCTGTCATTTTTTATAGCTATGAGAAAATTGTGGAAGCCTTTCTTAAACTTGACCTAGACAAAGATGACTTGCAGGGTTTTCTGAAAGACTTTGTGCTTAAAACAGTTCAAAATACAGAAGAGAATATTTTACAACCTGTGCCCAAATATAATGAGGTATATTGTTTTTTAACAAACATCAGAGCTTAGAGGTTTTTTTTTTTGTGTGTGTGTGTGTGTGTGTTATTTATCGATTTTAAAAGAAAAGATTTGTTATACTTTTAGACTAAAGTTATTTCCAACCAATAAAATCACATAATATTATGGAGGATTTAAATTGCTGTGAATGTTAAATATGTATGTGATAGATTTTTTTTATAAAAGAAAACATATTTCATCGCATTCTGAATTCCCATTTAGATGTTTATTAATAATTGGTTTCAGGTTCCACAAATTAAAGCCACACACAGGGACAAACTCAACAGTGAAGGTGTAAAGAATTCACTACTCACTGGCCCAGATGTTGACCATACAAGGAACACCAACCCCCCTGTTGTATATGTTGATAAAATTTGTCCTATGCTGCCTGCAAGCCCACAATCAAAACAAAGAGAGCAGCCTCAACCCAAGTCAAGCGAAGATAAATTTTGTAACAGTGAAAAGTCACATCCTCCCAGCTTTAAACCATTGACAAATTTCACACCAAAGTCTGTTGTAAATTACTCAGAAAAATGCAATGATAAATTAAACAAGATAAATGGAAAAGTAAATGACAATTTTAACATAGTTCATGACAAAAATCATGATAAAACCAACATGATTCATGAAAAAACTCAAAACTCTAACTCATTACCAAACAAAAATCATGAAAAATCTCTTGATAAAACTAGAATGATTGGACATGCAGACTTGTATGACAAACTGAACTTAATTAACACAAGAGCTCCTAATCCTTTTCTAACAAGCACCCCAAAACTTCCTGACCCCCAGCAGCAGACTTCACATCCACAAAAAACAGAACCAACAAAAAGTTCAGGTCCTCCAACTGAAAAAAGGAAAATAGACATGAGGTTTCTCTTTAACAGACCCAACAAACGGACAAAAATAGACCAAGTTCCTTGCCCACAACGCAAGCAAAGTGAGTTTATGTTTGAGAGTAAATCATTAACTGCCTTGAAGAAAGAAAAACTGAGTGAAAACTCTGAGAGTGAAGGGTGCTGTGATACATCAGATGATCAGTGTCTGAGCTCCAGGTATCCTAGCACCACAGAGCTTAGCACATCCTAACAAACATCATACCATCTTCAGCACATCCTAACTAAAAAAAAAATAATCCTTTGTATCAGTGTAATAGCTTTAGAAATGAGATGTCCTGGCACCTCAGATCTCCCATTCTGAACATTCTATTGCACATCTGAACCATAGTACATCCTAACTCTAACACACACATACATCATAGAAATGGGGCACTGTAAAGTGTGTTTTTGTTTCACACCAAGGGGAAAACCATTCTTTGTCACTGTATACTTAACATTTTTCCTAATGTAAAGGGAGACAACTTCATAATTTATAATTCCACAACCATAATTTATTTGCATTGATCCTGTACAAAAAAAAAATTTAAATTCATTAAATTGTTTATAGATGTTATGAGATTTGTTTGTAACAATGTTACCTCTTGGATTTCTTTGTTTATGTAGCTCACACATTGAATTATTTTTGTTGCTTGGGTTAATACATTAATTTAAATCTCCTCTTGTTTTATTGTTTTTTAAATGGGGTTTGGATGATTATGATTTATGTGTGGATGAATTTAAAACCTGAAAATTTTGGTTTGGGAGTCAATACATTCATAGTAGTAGATTTAGTAGGTTACAATTATATTCCTTAGAAATAAGGTGAAATCTTTCTGTTAATGGATAGACATTATGGACCTACCTCTTACACTATATAAAAGATTTCCATGAACAGTCACCCCTCTTTATTAGGGATAAAGTTTAATTATTTGGAAATCCCCCCCACAAGCCCTGACTCAAAAATTTGAAACTATTAAAAACTGATTTAAAAATTTTAGCCCAGCTTTTCTTATTTATTTTTCCCTATCCCAGTATTAGATCTAGATCTAAATCTAAATTCTTTCAGTTTGACAAAAAGGTTACCCAAGGTTACTCGCACTTTAATGGTTCAAATGTGCTATAGTGGGTTGCTGCTTAGGGGTAGTCTAGCCATGCTATCCCAAAAACATATTTTTTAAAGCAAGTAGAGTTAATTGTTTCGATTTCTAGAGTTCGAGCAGTTTCCCTTAAATAAAGGGATATAACCAATAAATAATGAAATGATATCAGCTGTTTGCCAGCTAGGCCCTATGTAAAGAGAGATAACTACAATTTTATTTTTCAAATCGTCTTGCTTCTGAGGCATGGAAACAGCCCTAGCCGGGCCTAGCTTGTCGTAAGTAGTCTAGACTCTTTCTTTAATCTAGTAGATCTATATACTAATAATAATATAGACTAGATCTAGTCGGAAGAAGATATCTATTCTAGATCTATAAGCTATAAGGGCGTCACGTTTTTTGACGGTTTTTTAAGTTTTTAGTACCTCCCTCGCCATCGTCACAAAAAGTGGTAATCTATCGTTTTGGGTACGTAAAATCGCCCGCGGCTATTAATGTACGAAAACGTTACCTCATTGTCAAGGCTGTAATAGAAGTATATTGTGATATGTTTGTGTCAAATATTATAGATAAATGAATAATAAACCTAATTCAATGGCTAAATATATCAATATGAATATACTATATAGGCCAGAAATTAACTTTAAACAGCTGTGTCTGCAAGCAAGATTTCCTATATAGTAGTATATAAACAGCAGCCATTTGTAAAATAGAGTGACTTCTGCCTGAATCTCGCGCTACATGTCTATAAAAATAAAACTTTAACAAATTGGCTGCTATAGTAAATGAGCGTGGTTGCATCTGTTGGAAACATCGCTGTGTTCATTTATTACTGAAAAGTTTTAATTCAATTGTTTAAAAACAGGTACATAAATGAAACAAGGAAACATTTTTGTATTTTTCAAAACATAAATCCTCCTCAAAATGTGAAATAATTATTAAAATGTAAGGAGTCACCTGTTTTTCACATTACTAGTCGCGGCCGATTTTACGTACCTAAAACGATAGATTACCCAAAAAGTGATCTAGATCTAGAATCTACTCCTCAAAAAACAAAAAGTAAAAAAGCCAGCACAATTGAATGAGCAGAGATAATCTAGATTCTAGATCCCGATCAATATTCATTTGTAGAAACACCCCCTTAACTATTAAAGTTCAGAACAAATATATACTTTATTTTCACAAAAATTAATAATAACTCTCACTCTCAACAGGACTTCCCCGGAAAAGTACTCAAAATAAAATGATGTCATTGGTTCTAGAGTAAAAATATTAATATAAAATATAGAATTTAAAATCCCCTGCCATAAAAAATACACAATAATAAATAAATTAATAATGGTGTCCTCAATACTTGGTAATAAAGTCTTTAACATTGCCACCTAATTTATTCGTCTAATCTTAAAAGGGGTCATCCATAAATGACGTCACCCTTTTTTGGACGATTTTTACCTTCCCCCTCCCCTCCGTCACACGTCGTCACAAAAAGCCAGACCCCCCCCCCCCCCTAAAATGACGTCACACCTCAACTTACAACAGCCCTCAAAATTGCAGTTGAATTTTTTTTAAACATCGATATTTTTCCAAAATCTTGTCTAAACTATTACAATTTATTAAAACAGTTATCTAAAACGCGAAATAACATCTAAAATTCGTTTTCTAACATTGCTTTTTTATAATGCAAAAATGTGATGTTGCAACATCTGACCCCCCCCCCCTCCCCCCCATCACACATCGTCACAAAATAACGGACCCCTCCCCCCCCTACGAGTGTGACGTCATTTATGGATGACCCCAAAGTGGTCTGCGTGCAGTTTCTTTCCAAATACTTTATTTATTTATTTTTACATTAAACAAGTTGCCTATCAGGACTCTGAAGGACACTGGGCAGGTGAAGTAGAGTTCACCTGTTCACCTGTTTCTTTGACCTCAGCATATGAAGAGAAAGTGTGGTCAAACCCATGCTCAGCCAAAATCGTGTTTCAAAAGACAAAAACATGTTGTCTGAGGTGTGACATCTTTTTTAAATTTGTGGGTCTGGCTTTTTGTGACAAAATGTGTTACAGTAGGAAGGGAAAGGTAAAAAAAAAGTCAAACAACTGTTACGTCATTTATGGATGACCCCTAAAACCCACAATTTTCTAAGGATAACAGTTAGGCCAGTATCAAAATTATAATTAATAGTAGACTAACTGTCTGGCCTAACATACGTGTTTCATTATTTAGATCAAGATCAAATGAACTAAGAATTAAGAAAGTAAGAAAAATATAAGTTATTTTTGTCGCATTACTTTTTTAATGCAGCAATGAAGTTTTAAAATAATCATGGGGATGCTCAGTATTCAATAAGATAAGTCTCTTAACATTTATAGAGAGGGTTGAAAGTGTTAAACATATATTCTTCTGGCATCTTATTTAAGGTAACAGCTAATTCAACTATTGTTAACAGAAAGGCCTACAATATGAATATTTAGCCTTTTCCTGTCAAACTTATTAAACACTGTTAGACATTAACCTTAGTCACTTTGTCCTAATCCTAGATATTTTTTAAATCTCTGGCTTTGTAGGAAAGTACACATAGCTACTTTGTGTAACACTGAACCTTGGGTCTGGCTTTATAAGCTCATTTATTTTACCATGCTTATTTCTCTTTGATACCACAGTTTGTTACATTGTCCAGTCCAACTGATCCTGTTTTAATTTAAACTGTAGTTTCAACATTGTCTCTAAATTCTGGAAGAAGATGAGAAGAAATGTACAGTGCTCTATGTGCTCAAGAAGATGCTGTTCTTCAAAGAGGTTAATTAAACATTTTAGGAAGAGACATCCAGAAGTAAACATTTTAAAATGTTGTTTTTGTGAGTATGTAACACACGATGATACCTTGTTTAATCACCATAAGCAATATAGCCATCCAGAAGAGAGGTTTGCTTGTGAGTTTTGTGAATTCACAACAAGGAAGTGGAATCGTTTAAAGAAACATCACACTAAACGCCATTTTGCTCCACAAGTAAAAAGCTTATCAAATTATGATTCAGGAGAACTTTTTAATTATATGTCATCAGAAATTTCTGCAGACTGCTCAGCAAATCAAGTATCAACAATTTCCTTCTCTGGGTGTGCTTTTGGAAATTCAGAAGTTAAAAACTCAGTTCTAGATAAAGAACAAAATCTTTTAGCAGTTAAAGTAATCACTAAGGGTCATTTTGGTTTGTCAGAAAATAAGAAATTGACTAAAGTCAAACCCGACAACCAAGTGACTGGTCCTTTACCACAAACTTCAAGAGAACTGAAGTGCAGCTGTGAGGGTTTAAAGCATTGTAAAATCTGTCAACAAACAAATCCTGACAGCCAGACAACTACCCAGCCTTCAGACAACCAAGTGACTGGTCCTTTACCACAAACTTCAAGAGAACTAAAGTGCAGCTGTGAAGGTTTAAAGCATTGTAAAATCTGTCAACAAACAAATCCTGACAAGCTGACCCAGCCTTTAGCTGAGTGGTTCAAGTGTGAGGATTGTCAAAAAAGCTTTGAGTATTCTTTACATTTGACATATCATCAATTGGTGCACACACCCCAGCGTTGCTATATCTGTGGCAAGTGTGACAGATATTTCAATGAAGCTGAAGAATATGATCAGCACTTATATAGACACTTTTTACATAGACCATTTCAGTGTGAAATGTGTGAGAAGGCTTTTACTAGGAAAGATAGTCTTACATTGCATATGAGGCTACATACTGGGAATCTTGTTTACAAATGTAATTTGTGTAATTATGCAACAAACTTACAGAGTGTGTTGTTAGCCCACAACAGATTTCATTCCAATTTAAAACCTTATAAATGTCATACTTGTGATTATGCATCTACTTGTACAAGTTCTCTAGTCAAGCATATTAGAATACACTCGGGGGAAAAGCCATTTTGTTGCAATTTATGTGATAAAAGATTTAGCCAAAGGACTACCTTACAAAAGCACCGGAAAACTATTCATCTGGTTTAAGTTTTGTATTTAAAAATAGCAGATTTTTTAAAAAGCTATATCAAACGTTTATAGCGTGTGTTGTTCATTATGATCTCACGCACTAAGCTGGTGAGTTCCAGACTTTTGTAATGGTGCATGCAGCATTTTCTAGGGGTTCTGGGGAGGGGGGGGGGGTTTACTTAAGAAACATGACAAAGCTCATACTTGTTTTTTTTTTCTAAATTAAAACCAATGACCAATTCATTCAGTTTTGTTAGAATTATTACTTCAGGGGGGGGGGGGGGGGTATATTTTAGGTAAGGGTGGTGCATAAATTTTTGTGATGATAGTGGATCTGGGAACCTAAAATTGACTAAATGTTGTGACGTATTTTTTTGAAGACCCCTAATTAAACACCAATAAAATAATATTTAAAGTATATCTAAAATTTCCACTGTATTTACATTCATATTTATTTTGTTAGTAAAAATAATTTATAAAAACCTTTTGTTCTACTTTTTTTATTTAACACATGTTTAAAGGATTTTAAAAATAACTTTTTGCTAAGGCAAAGAGGTTGAAATAATATTGTTTTAGTTATATAAGAATGTTATATTATTTTTTATGGGCTAGTTTAGGCAATGTAATGATCTTTGGTAGTCATGAAAGGGTTTCTGACGTTGGCCAGAACACTATTTTCCAAAATGGATAATTTGCCCAAAAGACTATTTTTCAGAATGGTTGATTGCCTTAAAAATATAAAGTTGTCAAAATTCACATCCAAATTTTCTTACTTGCATACTTTTTAATAATGCAGCAAATACTAAAACATTCATAAAAAGCTCTAGAAGTCAGTCTACCTTTTTTTTTTGCTGTTTATAAAGAATAGAAAAGGATAGGTGTGTTTTAGGACGCTTCCTTAATTGCAAATAATTACATCTTAATCCTAATCTAAAACAAACTTAAATACCTATTCATTTCTCTGGCAGAGCTGAAATATATAAATATATATATTTATATTTATATATATATATATATGTTGAAGTCTTTTCAGAAATCTTTGAAACATTTACTGACATGTCTATTTCTTTTTTGTGCCACAGCTTGTTACATTGCCTAGTGCCGTGGATCCTGTTTTAAACAACACACTTTCACATTATCTCAAAGATGAATGAAAATTTACAATGTACTGTGTGCTCAAGGAGATGTTATAATTCAAAGAAATTAACCAAACATTTTAGAAAGCAGCACCCAGAAGTGGAATTGATCAAATGCTGCTTCTGTGATCATGCAACTCCAGAATCTTTGTTTGCACAGCATAAACAAGACTATCACCCACTGGAGAGGTTTGCTTGTAAATTTTGTAAATTCACATCAAGGAAGTGGAGAAGTTTAAAAAAACACCATACTAGTCATGTTACCCCAGAAATAAAAAGCTCATCAAATTTTTATTCAGTAGAAATCCTTAATTGCAAGATTTCATCCAGAATTTCTGAAGAAAGCTCATTGAATCAAACATCTAAAATTTCTTTACCTGAGCATGCTTTTGGAAATACAGAAGCACAAAGCTCCATTAAAAATAAAGAAGAAAATCTTTTAGTTGTTGAGGGAATACCCAAAGAGCATATTGGTACGTCAGAAAATAAAATAATTAACACTGTAAAACAAGACACCCAAGTGACTGGTCCTTTACCACAAACTTCAAGAGAACTCAAGTGCAGCTGTGAGGGTTTAAAGCATTGTAAAATCTGTCAACAAACAAATCCTAACAGGCAGACAACTACCCAGCCTTTAGCTGAGTGGTTTAAGTGTGAGGATTGTCAAAAAAGCTTTGAGTATTCTTTACATTTGACATATCATCGATTGGTACACAAGCTCCAGCGTTGCTATATCTGTGGCAAGTGTGACAGATATTTCAATGAACCTGAAGATTTCGATCAACACTTGTTAAAACATTTTAAACACAAACCCTTTAAGTGTGAAATGTGTGAGAAGGCTTTTACGTTGAAATGTCATCTTAAAGTGCATATGAGGCTACATACTAGGAATCTTGTTTACAAATGTAATTTATGTAATTATGCAACAAACTTAATGAGTGGGATTTTAGATCACAAAAGAGTTCACATGAATATTAAACCATACAAATGATTATGCTTCTGCTTCTCAAGGTGCTGTTGTGAAGCATATTAGAATACACTCAGGGGAAAAGCCATTTTTTTGTAATTTATGTGATCAAAGGTTTACTGTAAGGACTAATTTACAAAAGCATAAGAAATGTATTCATTTTGTTTAAGTAACTATTGTAACATTTGTATTTAGAAAGAACAGTTGAAATTAAAGCTAAATTTTGTAAAAAATTTCAACCTAAGTTCAATTATTTTCTTGCTTTATTTCTGATGTACGAGTAATTAAAAATAATCTTCTGTTGATATTGCAATTTTGTTATAGTTATAATCTAAATTTGCATTTTTTTTGTTAATAATTTTATTTCTTAAAAGTTAATGCTTGTTTTTCATTATTGATTGTTTATGGCTTACAATTACTAAAGAGTCTAAGATTCTTTTCTTATTAAAATCATACAACAATTTTTTTAAAGATATTTTCTTATTTATTTGTAGCCTAAATTAAATGTGTAGATTTTATGACAAACTGGCTCACACACAATGTCTTTTAGGCCGGTCCTCATTATTTTATCTATTTGCTATTTGATTATTTATTATTCTCAGAATGCGACTTTCTATTTTCTTGTGTTTAATTTCCATTAGTCTAGTCCAGGGGTCTCCAAACTTTTCAGTCCGAGGGCCGCATTAACAATCAAATTTCAGTTCGGGGGCCAGTTTCTTCTTGATTTTTCTGGGCAAAGTTCCTCAGCCATCACCAACAAACGTTTTTTCCGTGGACAAAAAGATCTCCGCGGGCCGGATGAGAGGACATCGCGGGCCGCAGTTTGTAGACCCCTGGTCTAGTCTACAGCATAGGTCAGCAATTAGCGTATATAAAGCCTCTGCTGCCATGGGTACTCTAGTGGCGATTTCTTAATCGTTGCTGCTGGAATGGAGTGTGTCTGCTGATACATTTGAAATATTGGACCTCTTCTTGTTCCACTCCATGTCTTTATCGTATTTTTAGTTTTCTTCTTCATTAGCTTTGTTTTACCAGATTTGGCCTTATTCTTAGACCGATTCTTGTATTTTTCTCCTGAATGTCTTTTAATGTTTTTAGTTTCTTAACTGTCTAAAATGCAATACATCAGCTTAAAATGAGCTCTTCAATTATTTTTTTTTTGTTCTACTAAAGTTAGCGCTAAAGTATAGTTCTAATATCTTCCATAATCGTTCAAAATATAGTTTAAAATGTATTTTAAATGCTGTTCCACTATGGTTTGCAAGATACATATTTGGTCATTGCACGATCAATTGGCCCTGAAGGCAGCTTGTCCTTCACGCAAAATTCCACCTAGTCCTATTTTCATCCTCTGCAGCAAGACTCTGTTGAAGATTTTCCCTGGCACTGACAGAAAGTTAATGACCCTCCAGTTTTCACAAAAACCCATATCGCCTTTCTGATGTATTTAATGTAAAGAGAGATACCCATTCTCTGTGATTTGGATACTCCTCTATTTGGTTGGAAACCCTTTTAGTATTTGTGCACATACAGTTTGATCAGTTTTGAGCATTTCTGCATTGACTCTCGGAAACTTGTTGCATTTGGTATTTTTAAAATCGTCTATTATTTCCTATTCAAGAATTGGCCCTTTTGTTATTTCAATGTGTAGTGTACTGTAAGCCCATGTCTGTGAAGAGTGTAAAGCAAGCCTCGTCTTCTGGGTCTAGCCTGTTCAATATCTCTTCAATGTGTCTTGCCAGATTCTTTAATTTATCTTCTTCTGTTGTTAAAGTTTTCCCACTGTGATCTTTGACAATTGCAGGTTTGCTTGATGTTCCTCTAGTAAGGGTGTTGTTAATCTTGTAGACGGTTCTACTATCTTCTTCATCTGCTTGTGCTTGAGCTTCTTTGGCTATTCGGTCTACAGCCTCTTTTTATCTTTTCTTACACTTCTTTTAACCACATTGTTGAACTTTCTGTACTCTTCATAGTCTTTTGCTCTATTTTCTACTAACGTTTCAAGCTATTACTTGCAACTTGCCTTCTGTCCTCTTGCCGATGAGGTTCCTAGTGGCATTGTAGATTAATTTCTTCCTCTCATTCTTTCTGCGCCGTTTTACAGTTTTGCTTGTGTGCTGATAACATCCATCTTCTGACAGATTTTTTAATAAACGAATCTATTTTTTTAGAATATGTGAAAATATTATATATCTATAACACCAAATTCTGAAAGTTTTTGAGAAACCGGTAATAAAGTAACACTTTCGGTTACCGGAAATGACTCAAAGGTTGATGAAAGTCTACGTATAGCCCTACTAATTTATACAATTTCCTAACCCATGGAAAGAAACACATGCAGACAGATTGCAAAACTGGGTTTTTCCGAAGCAGGAAGAAGTAAAAAAGTCAAGAAATGTTAAAATCTGGATATCGATTTTTCTCACATTACAATAAGCCTACTTCCTCCTTTAGGCATTCTCCGCATGCATATGAGAAAGTAAAAATACTTTTAAATAAGCTTGTGTCTTACGTAAAACGTGCATGATTCACACGCATTTTCCCGAACATCAAACCTTCACCGATATTATTTAGGACATTACCCCCGAAATGAATCCCCACCCCACTTTATTGAGAATACTAGTCTTAGTATAAATGATAACGATGCGCTGTAAAGTCAGAAACCCAGCATTTTAAAAAGTATTCTGTCGAATGTCTGAAATGGGCATATATAACCTTATCCCTAAACTTAACCCTATCCCTAACCTCAGCGCACCCTAACCAGGTCCCAAACTCTATCCCTATTTTTAGGATCATTTAGTTGTCGACCGGGGGTAATTCATGTCTTATTGCAGTTTTTTGGTCAGGGTACTTAAACTGCCCGGGGGGAGGGGGGAGGACAGGATCTGCTTTACTCATACAGACCTTTAAGGTCTTTGTTTGGGGATTAGACCACACTACTGTCATAATTCTTTAAAAATAAACAAACTAGAAGCTACATTTAAAATTCATTTTTGTATAGTATTATTATTATTTTAAGTCTTAACTTGAAACATGTACTAGTCTTTATTTACAAATACAATAAGTAAATTTGACAACATTGCTGTCACTTTTGTTTTTAGACAACACCTGAAGTTGTTATAAATTCTTCTACTCGGGGACGCGTGGTTGGAATAGGCCGACACTCAGGGCTATCACTGCCAGTTGAATCTACATGTTAATGTTAGGTAGAGCCTAATAAAAATGGTTTCTTTACTTAAACTCTGGATGATCGCAGTGTGGGAAGAGAGTAATTAAGGGAAATCACCCCCCTCGAATCGTTTTAGGCAACTGTGATCTAGAGGTGTCGTAAAATACGGGCCTTAGTTTGGTTCTTAAAATAGCGTGTGTGGTCTGCATTGTTGAAAAAAGGTGTTAGGGTGTTTAATAACCCCATTTGGACACCCACACCCCCAAAATGACAGCTGTCTTACGTTTGGTGACGGCAAACTCCTGTCTCTTTCAATGATTTAAGTTTCTAAATGGTGACTGTCATAAAACCGCCATTTTACCTTCTCAAAAACGTAGTGGAATATATAGACCTATATAGATCCATAGGCCTAAAATACTATATATAGCAAGGCTATATATATATATATATATATATATATATATATATATATATATATAGTATCCAGGACACTTTGGGCCGCTATACTATATGTGTTTAGGCCTATTTATAGGCTTGTATGAAGGGCCTGTATTAATGGGAGATAATTGAAAATACACTCTCGACCCAATCCTGGCTACGCCACTGATTGCAGGAACAGCTGTAGGGATATTATATTTTAAGGCTTATAACTATAACGTTATAGAGCTGGATTTGTGCTATAAACATTACTATCGCTGGTTGTAGATTTTCGAATACAGGTAGGCATGTTCAGGCAATGCCTTGTTAGTTCTCCTCTAAACTCGAATCCTAACGACCTTTTTTTTTTTAGATGTAGTAGAGCCTATATTTTTACCATTACATCAAGGCTACTATTTTAAAAATTATAAAACGTTTCTTCGTTGCTTAAAAAAAAATACAATGTTAGACAAGAAAAAACTGTTGTTTTTCTCTTTCAGCGAGTCGGCCTACCCCCCCCCCCCCTCCCCCCCACCCTTTTATTCCACTTACAAGCTATGCTGCGTATTGATTGTCTATTTCCTACCTTGCCGTAATAAGTTCTATTGTTGTGGTCGACCTACACTATATTTCTTCACATATTCCGTTATTGTTTTTTTTAAAGGTTAGTGACATAGGCATAGGCTGTTTAAAGCCTATGTCACCATCTGAGACTTGAATAGGGTTTCTTTCCGACTTTTTTGTCCGTGGGGGGAAGATGGCAGATACTGCTAATAGTATATATTATGTATGTAAATTCTAGTTCATTCGGGGGTGGGGAGTGTAGACGTGCTTCGACCCCTCTCTCGAAGAAATGCCCGAAAAGAAACATTTGACTTAATTATGTTAAAAAGCTTCAACCCCCTTCCCCCACCCCAACTAGTTCGTTCCTTCTTCTTCTTCTTCTTCTTCGTTCTTAATTTTTGAATGATAGGCAGTATTGTTGTGTTGTTGTTTTTTGTTTTTTGCTTGGGGGGGGGGGGAGGGTGGAGGCGGACACTGGTTAAAGTAGGCTTATTTGTTTCTATATAAATTGTGTTTGCATTGGTGGGGGGTGTTGTAGAGTTGATTCAGGGGGAAGGGAAGAGATGCCAGAAAGAAACTCTGCTCATAGACTGGTTTAGTTAAATGCCGGGACGTCGTCAACTCGTCATAGACTCTAGCGTAGGTTAAAAATCAACTTACCTAGACAAGAGTTGAAGAACTAAGCCCATACAACCAAAACTGCCTGTTAGTCGACCAACGGATTTTTCTAACCGACTGCCTGAAATGGCTTAGTATACCTGTTTGCGTTCAATGTGTCACTTGTCTATCCTTTTATTTGCACTACGTTTACATTGATTTAGACAAAGTCTGATTTCCAAGCAATGATTCATCGTTTGTTGGGGGGAGGTCGTAAACAGTGTATCTTCCAGACTTTTTTCTCCGGGGGATGGGGGGGGGGGGGGGGGGGGGCGGACACAGGTAAAAGTATATGTTTCTATATAAATTCCATTTCGATCGGGGGTGGGGGGGTGGAGCCCCCCGAAGAGATGCCTGGAAGAAATTCTGGTCGTAAATGACATCCCACTTATAGGTCTGGGGCGGTTTAGGCTTGATTGACGAAGGTACTATGATACGCAATGTAGGGACGGGCGCTTAAGCAATGTGACGGTGTGAATATTTTTTAGTTCTTAAAAATTATGAAAAATATTTTGATTTCGAGGGACAAGTATGAGGAGTTATTAACATCAACAAAATTGTTATTTATGGTGTACCCATTACAACCGACCGGACAAGATTTGTGGCGCGGCAAAAAATCCCACCCCTACCCTGTCTTAAACTTAGTAAGTATATTACTGTATATCTGTATCGTTCCAGAAAAAAAAGTTCTGGTACGGTATGAATAGGTGGTCTATTTTCCAGCGCATCACATGAGTTCTATATCCTCAGCTATCATGTATGCTATATAGAGTTTTAGTCAATAAAATAGTAGGGCCTACTTAATACCTAACCACTGAAAATAGACGTGTATGTCTACAGTTTTATAAGAGAGTGATACGAATTATTTCTATTGCGTCGTCAGTTCATGTCTTTGTCAATCCTTTGTTAAATAAATAGGCCTAGAAAGTGGTGTATCCTGGAATGTGACTTTTTTTTTCACCTGGTGAAAAAGGCCCCGCCTCTTTTTCCACCTATAACTATAACCTTGTTGATTACGTCACTTCCTTTAGATCAGCCATTTTACCTCATAGAAGGACTTCATAGCTTCCTCTTATGTTGATAAGGATTCTAACTTGTGTCCCACTAGTGATTAAGAACAATTAAGGACTAACATTGTGATATTTTTACACTTCGCATAACCATGCCTCGGTTCTTTAATAGTAAGAAACATAAAAACGCAGGTAATGAAAACGTATCAGATAATCACAATGTAGATACGGCAAATAAGAACAGCAGAGATTCGCCCCACCCTAGCGATGACACGACTGGAAACGAAGCCAATGGTGGTGGATCAAAGGCACCTAAATCAAATACAGATCAACTACCTTCACAAGTCCCCAGACCTAAACTTGTTTTTCACTGCCAGCAAGCTCATGGTAGCCCAACAGGAATTATTTCAGGATTTACAAACGTTAAAGAACTGTACCAGAAAATAGCAGATTGCTATGACATACCTGTGTCAGATGTAAGTCACTGTTGTACTGTTGTGTTTTATTTTTATTCATAAAATACAAAATACTAATCCAATATTTATAATTTAGATCTAGAATCTATAGCCTTTCTAGACTTAGTTAAATGAATAAACATTCTTCAAGGATAAATTCTTGTGGAAGTTAATTTCATCCAACCTAGGCCATTTTAGTTTTAGTTAGGGTCTATAACTTTTTTCTACTTAAATTGATGAAAGATTCATTTTAGTTCATTATGTTTTTTCTGTGTGTTACATTTATCTATAAATTTAAAAATTAAATAGCCCTGTTAATACAATGAATGTAGTATAGATATTACTTTTCTCTTTCAGATTTTGTTTTGTACTCTCAACACACACAAGGTTGATATGACTCGGTTGTTGGGTGGTCAAATTGGATTAGATGATTTTATTTTTGCTCATGTCAAAGGTCAGCCAAAGGAGGTGGAAGTAACAAAATCAGAAGATGCTCTAGGGCTCACTATTACAGATAATGGTGCAGGCTATGCTTTTATCAAACGTATAAAGGAAGGTAGCATAATGGACAAAGTGCCTTTTATAGCTGTTGGTGACCACATAGAAAAAATCAATGGAGAAAGTTTAATTGGGTGCCGTCATTTTGAAGTTGCAAAAAAATTAAAAGAAATCGCAAAAGGATCAGTTTTTACAATACGAACTGTTGAACCTATGAAGTCAGGATTTTGTAAGTATAAAATAGTTTCATCAAATTTTAAAAAAAAATTAGGTTTAAGCTTTGAAGATATATATTGGTGTTTTCTGTAAAATTGCTTTATAGTTTGCTTTATTTTGAAACTTTTTTCACCTGACCTATTTAAATTTTTTGTGTGCACAAATTGAATATTTAACAGAAAAAAGTATGTTAGAATAGTTCTATGCAATTTCAACAACTAATACTATGCTGCTAAAGATATAACTGATTATGATTTCAAAACAATATTTTAATTACATTTTTAAAAGCATACTAATTTTTTAACTAGCCTACATTATAAAAAATGTATTAATTATAATGAATACATAAATTCCATAGCAAATATTGGACCCTCAACTGGCAAAAAGGGCAGTGGTAATCTAGGCTCAGGCAAACAAACGCTTCGACTGAGATCCTCCGGACCAGCCACAGTAGAAATTGTAAGCCACTTTCTTCAAATTATTATTAGGCACCATGAATTTTAAAAATGTTTGAATACGTATTGCAAACTGGTATATTATTTACCGTCTTTAAGTTTTTGTTTAATCTTCTATTACTACATTATAGGTTAGAAATCTTTATAATTCCAATTATTTTATTCACTGATGTGATTGTCATTGCTATATACATAGGCTTATAGAATAAAAGGCAAATTGTTTTTTTTTTTTCAGCCTGATGAGGTTGTCACTGTGGCTACAGACAAAATAAATAATTTGTTGGAGTCTTTTATGGGCATAAATGATACAGAATTAGGTAAGCAATTTGTTTTCACATTCTTTTCTTTTGATTGATTGATAAGTACTTTTAAAGTAAAAGAAATTCAGTCTTGTCTGTTTTGTAATACAACTTTTCCTAAAACATTTAATAATTTGAGCTGAGCTGTAAATGTTAAAGTAAGGCTAGAACTATGCTTAAAAATTTGTTTAGGTCTGTAATATAAAATTATTTTTTAAATATTTTTTTATGGTTTTTTAGCAATTGTAACAGTAATACAGTATGATTATTATTGGTCTTTGTAGTTTATTGTAAACGTACAACTAAGTATTTTTGTTTGATTTACAGCTTTTATTTATACATATCATCTTTTTAACAACACCATATTTACATCTTTCAGCTCAAACAATCTGGGAGATTGGCAAAAAGGCTAACAACCCAAGTGATTTTGCAATTGGTATTGATGATTCAGAACTTCAAGTTTTTGGATTTACAGATGATTTTGTTTTTGACCTCTGGGGGGCAATTTCAGATGCCAAGAGTGGTCGATTAAATCAAGTATCTGCAGATTTCAGTGAACAATTTTAATGTTTGCTGTCATATTTTTTTCATGTTTAAACTCATCTCATGCGCTGTAAAAAATGTTTCCCTATCCAATGTTTATATCATCCTGTACATCTCTACTATACTCTAATGGACCCAAAGAAAAACCATACCATATCCACATATTGTTTCCAGTGAGTTGACAAACCAAGCTCTAGGGTCCAGACTTAAGCATGACATATCCTGGTGATACTTAGGTGCCATTGTAAAGCACACAGTGATAGTAAGGGAGTTAAAATGTAGTTTTCTTCAATGTTGTATTTTAATGACGAGAAAAGTATAAACATTTCTATATTTCCTTCACACATTTAATTCTGATTAAGTGTACAAGGTGTTCTAAATTATAAGTTCCTTCTTTAAACATGTTTCTGAAACTTTATCTCTAAAATAATTTCTAAAGTTGTTGACTACTGATACCAATGAATCTAAATAAGAAACATATATATGAATAATAATAGTGATTGGGGAAAATATTTAATTTCATCTCACAAGGTAAATACAATTTTTAAAGTAGATTTTAGTGGATTGTATATATATTTATATGTATATATAAAGTAGATTTTTGTTTCTTGGAGCACTAAATGCAACTATAAGAAAATCACTTGCATCTTCAAAACATCGATTTCCTGTTTTTCTTGCTAAAGTATTCTTTTCACAATTGTTATGACAAAAAAGTTAATCCCAGGGTTGTAATAAGAAACTTGCTTTATTTTTGTTTTGTTGTGAATCAGTTTTGTGTGACTTAATGTGATCTATAGATGGATTTATTTATATATATATATCATATATATCTTTGATTTGATCTCTTAAAAAGGTTTACACCAGAAATAAATTATTTTATCTAGATTTTCCAAACCTGAGATAAATTAAATTATTATTGACTAGATTTTTCAAGATTTAGTGTATCAAAGAAAAAAGTAAACCAGCAAGTTAAGAATTTTTATCTCGTATATCTGTGATCATGTGATTACACTGACCCAAAGTTGTGAAAATAGAAAGTTTTCATTTATTATATTTCTTTCTTTACTAAAATCTAGTTGCCTTAACTTTCTAATTGTATAGTTGTGCCTTTTTTATGAAGCTTAAAATTTAAAAAATGTACAGTTTTGTTCATAAGCTTTTTTATGTTTATGTGTTAGCTTTATAGCTTAGGAATAAAAACAGTTAAAAGCAAAATAATTGTCATTTGACATAAAGTATTTTTTAATTTACTAAACCACTCTTGTATACTGTGTAACACTGGTGTTCAGTTTAAGCTGTAGACATATACTTTTTGAATACAAATTAAGGAAGTGTGCTTATTTTATTGTATTTCTTATACACAAAGTTTTAAAATTTGCACAACTTTAAAAACTGTTTGAAATGTAGTTATAAAGACAGCTGACAAAAATTGTATGCAAAATTCTGAGTTTATGTATAAAATAAGATTACTTTAGTGTGAATTTATTTTAACTTGGAAACTTTTATTAAACTGTTATTTAAATTTTTTCAATACATTTAAATATGATTTTTCAGTAAAACCTCCCCTTATATAATTTATAGTACCATAGCATATTTAGACCAATCCCCATTGCCTGTTACAATCATTGTTTATATAGTTAATTATGCTTTACTGTTGCATTAATCTTTGATATAAATATTTATAAACAACTGTCAGTGATTACATTCCACTTAAATGTTGATATATATTTACAAAGTTTATTTTAAATTAAATATTTTTTAATAAGATTTCTTATTTGTGATCTATACAAGTTTTACAAAATTACACATGTGGTTCATCACCATAACTTATTTATTGTTTTGGAGTGTTCATAGATTCCTATTGTTTTTACAATTAAAATGTTTTTGGGGAAAAAAAATAATGTACACAAATTGTTAAACAGATTTTGTGTATGTGGAGGTATAGACTTTAGGTTATTTTCCACAAAATGACTTTTACTTAAACATAGCTCATAATTATTTTATTCAATTTTAGCTGATATAAAAAATTAATGGTTGTGAAAATTTAGTCAAAAAGGGCACAAGTAATCCAAAATTCATATTGACAGGGTATACTTTATTTCTACTTCAGAAGTACAGGGTTTGTGTATGTTTTTTTAGGTTGGTAAGTACCAAACACTTTCCTTTTACTTTTTGTGAATAAAGACACAAGGCTTATTTGATATTTCTTGTAGCCTTTAGCTAAACTTGTAATCTAAATTAGATTGATGCTTTTATATACAACCATCATGCAGCTGTACCTGACATTCCCATTTTGTGTACACACAGTAAACAACAAACATTTGATTGGCTCTGTTCTTTTTACAGAGATAGTTAACATTCCACCCACCTCTGTACAGTTTTAAAGTTGTGAGTTTTATGGCCAGGTAGAGAAAGTTTAGTTTTAAAATTTCCAAGTTTCTCAATTTTTCTCCATTGAAAAACTGCACTTACTTGAGCTTAGAATTCACATAAGTTGTTTCTATCCTTATAAAAATATTAATTGATAGGCTCTTTCTATCTAAACATTTGTATTTTCATATCTTTTTATCAAATCCAAATATTGTCCTTAGTTTTAATATGAATATTGTGGCATGTGTAAGGTTGTGACAACAAACACACAAATGTACTTACATGATTTTTTGTTAATGTCATTTAAAACAGCTGAAATACATTTGCAGTTTTTGTTTAAAAAACACCCTTGTGGATAAAATACAGTTGTTAGTAAACTGGTTATCTCAGCATTATTTAAAAATAAAAAAAAATCACAACCAAATTTCTTAGTATCACCATTGAAATATTTTATGTTGGATTTTAGACATAAAGTTGTAGTAAGAACTGGATTACTCTCATTTGTTTAATAAATTAGATGTCTTCTTGGATACACTTTTTTTTTGTTCTTTCTTGTAACCTTTTTGACAAGTAATTCTTATCAAGAAAATAAAAATTGGCAAGTAAACGAAGTGTACTTGTTTCTCTATAAGTTTAAATGTTGAATGAAAATGGTAATTGTACAGAGCTCAGTGTACTCCCAAACTGAAATAATCCTGAACAAATAAATGTGACTGAGTGTCATAAGGCAAACTTAACTAGAGACAAAGGATATTCAAATAAGATAAACTAGAGACAAAGGATATTCAAATAAGATAAACTAGAGACAAAGGATATTCAAATAAGATAAACTAGAGACAAAGGATACTCAAATAAGATAAACTAGAGACAAATGATACTCAAGATAAACTAGAGACAAAGGATATTCAAATAAGATAAACACTAGAACCAGTTATATCAGAATGTATTTGTTAATATAATTATAGAGAATACATTTATGGTAGTAAAAGATCAAATCTGGATGGAAGGTAGACATCACATAAGTAGTCAGGACTAATGGCATCTAGACACTGAATTTCTGCTTTCTTCTTTAACTGAAGCAAAATATCAATCTGAAAAATAAATTTAAAATTAGTAATCAACACATAAAAACTATTATTTTAGACAAAGGGGTTGGAAAATACAGCTTCAACTCAATATTTCAGCTATATCTTTGGGGGTGTGACTAAAGTAAGGAAGTTTCTTTACTACCACATGAAAAGAATTAGTACAGGTATCTAAATGCTGCAAAACATTAATATAATGGTAGGCCTTACATTATTGATTTATTGGGGAGCTGTGTATTTCCTTATAAATGCACTGCAAACCTTTGGTTTTTTAGGTACCAAGCAGAACAAATTGATTCATTAGAGAAAAGACAGGCAATAGTTTTACATAGAGTATGTATAGGTGTGTGATAATTTATAAGATTTAGAAAATTCACAGCAGGAATGGCTCATTTTAACTATACAAAAATAGCTTCTGGCTCTCTAACTATACAAAAATAGCTTCTGGCTCTCTACATTTTCACGGCACAGTTCTATTATGTTTTAACTTCTGATACAAGTTGTGTGATTCATTCTTTTCAAAATGTGGACAACTTGATCCAGTAGGAGAGTGTGAGCTATTTAACTGAATCATAAGTTGAGTTCATGGGTTTGAGTTTGTATGCCATCCCCAGATCAAGCTGCTCCCCAGTAACTCCACGTGCTTGGGGAGAAGACACAAGAAAGTCTAGAACACGTAAGATCCTCAATGCTAGCAACATGGTTAGCCCAATGCTCTTTCAATATCAAGCTTCCATTTTAATTCTTATGAGAAGAAGTCACCTAATATTCAAATCTAATGAATAGTTTATTAAACTGTATTGAATTTAAAATAATTTAAAATTTAAAGCTTACTAAACACACCTGAGCGAGAATGCTTTCATCTTGTCGAAAGTAAGGCCTTGATCGAAGGCTGATACATTTTTGGATATCCTTCTCAGAAAGTGGGCTCAATGCAGCAGTGGGGATATGCAGCCTTGAAAATAAATATTTTTTAAAATACAGCAAAAGACTAGTAACACTCATATAAGTATTGTTAAGTACAGATGAAGTAGAGTTCATGTTTTTGAGAATAGGTTTTTATGGATGGTTTAGATAATTAGATAACATAAAAAACACCAAGTAGCTTATAGACATAAAACATAAGGTAAAACAATGACAGAGTAGCAGAATTACGTGGATTCTAATGGTTACAACCAGAAAAGAGGCTTAAGTTATATTCAAGTAGAGCAGTGTAACTTTGTGATGAATAATTTAAACTTACAATGTGACCCATTCTTGGCAAATAAAAAAAAAAAGAAATGGAATTATCACCTGTGCTTGAATACCAATTAACCATTTAAAAAAAAAGAAGAAACAACACCTTATAATCTACAATAATAAAACAAAAACACAAGGTACCTATTAATATCTTCAGGTAAAATTCCAATCCACTCAATAGAAGGTATAGCTAAATTTTTGTTGTCAAAGGCTTGATTCTAAGGGGAAAATATATTTATAATCAGATTTACATTTTCACAAAACATTAACTAAAAAATTAAACACTAAAATGTAAAGTGTAAAAGTAAAAAACATGAATGCACCATGAGGGATAATTCACTTGATTTGGTTCCCTTATGTTTGACATTAAGTCCCCCAGCTAAGTGAAGGGTCCTAACCTTTAACAAAATATCTTATGTAATGATAAGCAAACCTAACTAAAGTTATAAATAAACTGGTAAGAAACATGCCACAACACAATGCAACACAATAAATCTTCCGTTAAAACATTTGACAAAGACATCATATACATACCATAGATCCATACTTGTAAACAGCCATAATTTCAATGCCATGAGGATCACCATCAACCAAAATAAATATGGGTAGTTGATAGATGTTATAAATATCTTGTAAAAGTAGGCGTGTTGCATTATCAGGAAATCCTTTGCCCTGCAATCGAAATTTCACAATGATAATTATTAAAGCAACTATTAACACAATTAAAAGAAAATATTACCAAGTTTAAGAAACATTTTACTTACAGTAATAAGAATACTGTTTGCCACTTTCTGACAAAATTGGCAGTTCATTAGCTTTTGGAAGGTGGCGTCTTTTTCCACTACTAGTACAAACTTTGCCTGTGTCTGAATATCTGTTTAAAAAGTATACATTTTTCATCAATCAATACTTAGCAATAGAGAACCAATAATGTCTAATTAATAAGTTTAAAAAAATGTATTAAAAATATTTCAGGGCAAAATACTAGATGAATCCAAAACTAACATTAAAGATTAATTATAATCAGCTAAAACAAAATGCTAATCTAGTATAAGTTGGTAAAAAAATAGTTTTACTTTGCATATCTTTGGTATGAGCAGCTATCTGTACTCCCTGAGAAGATAGTGCATTTATCCATTATTTCTTTAAAATTTAGTTAATTATAATAGGAAACAAAAACCACTACTGTTTAAATACTGAGTGTTAAAATATAAGGAAATGATTATATATACAAATGATTAATTTTTCTCACTGATAAAGTATGCTGGCAGTCAAAACGTGTACCTTCACTGTCCTCAAATTGTAGATTCCCAGCAACTAATCCTTTACTTGTTGCTAGCTGTCCAGTATATACATCATAAGATATTATGCAATAAAATCCTTGTCTTTTATAAAATGTATTTTAAAAAATGAAAACTGATTTATGTGAAAAAAAGTTCATCATTGATTAGTTAATTCTTTTCACAAAACAAGTTCAATATGATACAGAACAAAAGATGCTCAATACAAACAAAAAAGAGCTAAAATCAGATGGCTTAATATTATAAACAATATAACTTTCAAAATTTTGTAAAATACAATAATGAAACAGAGTAAAACAAAAGTAAATCAAATTCATTTTAACAGATCAGAGCATGTTATAAAACAAAGCAAAAGAAGTAGACAAATTGTATGAACAATTCAGATGAGTTTGAAATGGTGTAAGAAGGAGATTTGAGAGGCTTGTAACAAGCAAGTTTACTTACAATATGCAGCTCCCATCGTGGAACTTTAAGCATACTAGCAATGTCATCAATTATTTTGTCTATCATTGACTGGCATGGATACAATTCTGGATACTGGTAAAATATGTCTCTAGGAATAAGAATAAATAAAATAAGTTAAATATGAATAAATTTATTTACAGGTGTGTTGAATCAGAAAATTGCAGTGAAAAAGCAATAGCTAATTTATTTAGTATAATTATGAACTTTGTGTTAGGGAATAGTTTGCTAGCTTGTCAGCTTAATTCAACTCTTAATACTTTTACCTCTGCATTTTCAATTTAATAATGCTTTCTTTTGTGTATTGTTATTGGAAATATTAATATTTTCATTTAGAAATAAGGCTAGATTCAGTTAAAGATGAATGACACATTTAAAAAAAATCAAAACTATGTAATTTACAATAAATGCTATATTTATGTTGTGTGTCCAATCTTCATAAATTACTTTAAACTAGAAATTTCAGCCAAAACCACCATAAATCAAAAACATAACTACAAAAACTTGAACCTACCAAATTTAAATTATTTCGAAGTAAATGTTAACAGGTTAAAATTAACGTTTAAAGCTTGAACTTTTAAAGCTCACATACTTTTTCTTTCTAACTACCATTAATGCTGCTTTAGATTTTCTTTTGCACATAAAGAAATTAAATCTGTTTAAAAGTTACTACCTTTTTGTGCAATATCTGTTTTCTTGTACCAACGAATAAATTATTTTTAAGATCTTTAACATGGTTGCTGAAAAAAGGCAATGTTTATTTAATGAGTTTTATTTTTTTTTATTGTGAAATGTATTACTCTATGTAATAAATATGTAGCTTGATAGAAACTTAACTAGAAATATACTTTTTCTCTATTAAAACATAAATCAATATCAGTAGAATAAAAGATATCAAAATCAGTAGAATTCTATTACCAAATTTTTTAACTGATCTGGGCTTGTTAAACTTTACGGATGTCATTGGCATATCTGCGGAGTTGTTGTCAAGACCAACTGTTTCTTCAAAGCTTGATTTTAAAAGTTTAAACATAATAAATAAATTTGATCTAGATCTAGACCTAGAAAATAAACAATTATTTATAGCTTTGCTTTTTTGTTTTAGAAAAATGTCTACTAACAAAAACAGTCTTTTGAAAAATATTTATCTTTCCAGGTTATTTATTAATTAATTAATAAACAAAAGAGAAAAGTATCTTTGTGTGTGAAGTGAACTTAGTTTAGTTATCATTTAAAAAATGTAATTTAATATAATAAATACAATTACACAAGTTCATTCCAATTTGATCTACGAGGATAATTTAAAGTTGGAGGCTCATCTTGGGAAAGTGAATTGATGATATCTAGGCAAATTGATTCAATTTTAACAAGTATTTCTTCTTCTGCTTCAGATATCAAAAGCTGCTTTTTTGACAGTGTTGAATTCATTTTCCTTAAAAATAAATTTTATCCAAAGCAATTCTAAAAATAAACAACTGTAGAATAGTGCTGAAACAAAAAAAAATTTTTTTTTGAACATTTTCGTCAAAATAATACACCTACATCTATGATATCAAACAGATGAGGGAAATGGGGAAGGGGAAGGATTCAGATTTCTTTGATGGGCAAAGAAAGGAAATTGGTAAAGAAAATGTGACTAGTACATTTTTTTTTTTGTTTTTCACAAAATCAACTTAGAATTAAAAATGTTAAGAAAAAGCCTCACATCATTTATGGAAGAACATTTTGCTCATAATAATTTTTTTACTTTCCTACAATGATTAAATTTGTCACCAAAAGTGCCTTGTACAACTTTCATTTTGAGCAGTCCATAGGGGCAGAGTTTCTTCCGGGCATTGCTTTGGGGCTGGGGGGGGGGGGTATTATTTATTTTATTACTGCCCATCTATTATAGTGAAAGTATTGAAAAATGCTAGATCTAGCAATCTGCATGGGCCTTGAGCTAAAGTATGCTTTTCTTCAGCTTATATGACTATATGTTATTATTACTATTGTTATTTTATCATTTTTGTTAAATATAATATATTATATATATATATAATATATATAGACTATATATATATATATTCAATTATTAATCTATATAGTATATATAGTATATAGTAAATCATAGTAGAAAGTCTATATATTTATAATTTTATAATATTTTATATTAAATTTTTTTTTATATAGATCTAGAAAATCTAGATCTACTAGTAGTAGAGGTCTAAGCTAAGTTCTAATACAATTCTTATAAAAGATCGAATTAATTATTCTATATCAAGATCTAGATCTGACCTACTAGATCTATACATTATTAAATCTAGATCTTTATATAATACATAGGGGGGGGGAGCTTAAGGTTAAGTCAGATTTGGAAGTTTTACAAGTTCACGAATCTAGCAGACAACCACTGAAAAGCCTTGTCAGATTTTTAAAACATTGTATGCTAAATAAATATTTTAATAGGCATATATCTACAGACACAAGATTAAGATCTAGATTAGATTCTTAAGTATTTAAAAAACATGATTTGTATTTAAATCAATTTTCTTGTTACTTGTCCTAAATAATGTAGTTTATTATAATATGAGCAAGGTAAAATGTATTTATTGTAAACAAAAATTATTCTGTAGTTTTTAAGCATATAAATAGTTCTAGATCTACTAAAAAAAGGTAGATCTAGTCATTGGTAGCCCAGCTAAAATAATAATAAATTTAAAAAATACATGCACGAGATGCACGCTTTCGAAACTGACTATCCAAGGGGTAGATGAAGTAGAGTTAATCTGTTTCTGTTGCCACGGAATATAAAGGGGTAATGTGGTCAGCATAAAGCCAAGCTATCTTTACTATTTCAAATAAATGAGTCAGGTATGCAGTCTTGAATGCAGTGTTTCTTTCAGACTTTTCCCCCGGGGATACTTGAAAATTTCGGAGTGGGTGGGTTGGTGGGTTGATGGGGGGGGGGGGGGGGGGCGGATACTGGTAAGGTGTATAATTTTCTATATAAATTATATTTCGTTCGTGGTGGGAGAAGGGGTGGGGGTGGAGGAAGTGCCCCTCCCCCGCCCCAGCGTAAATATGCCTGAAAAGAAAACACGAAATAACGGTTGAAATTTTGAAATTCATAGTTTCTAACACAACTTTTTAAAACGCGAGAGTGTCGTCACACTACCTCGTCGCCTTAAGTCTGTGATGTCGTTTATGGACGATCCTATTCAGAAGAATATATAATATAGGCTAAAAAAAACAACTTCTGATGATAATAATATTTAAATTCATTATTATTTATAACTTCTGAACAACTACACTTTTTTTTTTTAATTTTTATTTAAGTTTTAAGGCAGGGAGGCATATGTAATAAGATAGTATTTATTAGTATATGTTTTTGTTTCCCGTAAGTTAGAATGACTTTTTAAATTGTTTAAAAGTATGTTTTAATTTTATGTACATCTAGATCTATTTGTATGTATAGATCTAGTAATAGTACAGTAATACCATTCTCCCCCACTGCGGAAGCTAGATAAAATAGTATTCATAATTATATTAATGTTATTTTGTGGTGTTTACAGGACTTCCAATTTTTCGGATTTTTTCCTCCATTTTAGGTTATAGGAGGACCCAATTTCGTTATCATTTTTTAATCCTGATGTGCTATTTCACACACGTAGATCTAGAGACCAATTCTAGTCTGGAATTTAATCTAGTACTTTAAAAAATATTAATCCAACCTGTAAATGGCTAGATCTATAATTTCCATCGGTATACTATCTTATTTTCAATATGTATTGCATTATAATTTCATCTCTTGATACCGATGTCAGTTGGAAAATACGTCGTTTCTGCAAGTTGTTGACGTGAGCAGCGGTGAGGAAGCGAATCAGTTTGAGACCGAATTGTAAAGTCGAATGTGGGTGTTTCCAAATTTCTATTGAATAAATAAATAGGCCCTAGACTCTATATCTTGATCTATTTATTTTTGCTTTAAGATAAACAACGGTACTAAAATTTATATGACGTGAACAGCTGCTAACCAGAAATCAGAAATAGTCTGAAATAGATCTAGATTTCTAGATTCTTGTTCTAGAATCTAGAGACTTAGTGACTAGAGTCTAGAGAGAGAGAATCTAGCTTTTTTCTTGAGTTTTTGTTAAATTCCCTTTTTTTGCAAACAATCTAGAATTCTAGATCTGATCTAGATTCTAGATCTAGCTTTTTCGTGACAAGTGAGTTGAGTGTGTAATGTGTAAATCTACCTCTAGACTCTAGACGCTCTAGATTCCTAGATCTATACGCAGTTTCCAGTTCATTATACTTCTATTTAATTTTTTAATTACGATTGATAAAGGCTCCCTTTTTTATGTTCAAATATTTGAGGTAGGCCTAGAGATTATGTGGAGTGTTAGGGCCCTAGATCTATATATAAATTTGTTTATCACACTCCAGCTAAATACTAAATAGTAAATAGTGTAGTGATCTGTAAATGGTTGTTCCTTATCGAGTAGGGGTTGGGAGTGGGTGGGTGTTTTCACTTTCAAAAGGCCTGACTTAAAGCTTAATATTTTATCTAAAGATTTAATTAAAGACCATGCAATTAAGTGAAGATCAACTGAAAAGTAGGCCTAAACATTCTCAACATAAAGTTACAAAGCAGATATTGATAAATTCTAAATTGTGAAATTAACCTAAATAAATCAACCTTGCCTTAAAAGAAGAGATGATTAAATTTTAATTTTTTTTTTCTGTGCAAAGATCTGACTTTTTTTTTACTTTAAAAAACAAGCAAACATAGAAACAAATTAATGTGTTGAAAGAAAACTTTTGTGAAAAAGTACTAAAATAACTTTTCTCTCTAAACAAAAATAGTGCTACCATGTCAGGGATGCTGTCAGCTGCCAGTGTTGACTGGGCTAATAAAATCAGGTGCAATGTTGTAGATGGTCTTCGCCAGAGCTTTCAAGATGGAATTTTTACTGACATTGAAATTGAAGTAAGTTATTTTCTTTTTCAATAAGAATGGTAATTGCGTTTTCTTGAATGTAAATCACATTTTGTTTCAAATCTCTCTTGAATTGGTATTTATAGAAATGTGTTTCTTCTCAGGTTAGTGACAGTGTTTTCAGATGCCATAAAGTTTTTTTATGTGCAATATCTGATTACTTTTTGGCCATGTTCACATCAGGCATGAGAGAAAGTGTTGACAGTCGAGTTACGATAAAAGATTTATCTGGTTCAACATTCAGGGCAGTGTTGGACTTCTACTACACATGTGACAGGTACAGAGTGTTTATTTTTAACAGCTGCTGAAGCTAATCTCTCATTCGGTCATATTTACTGACACAGATAAACTTACATTTCTAAAGATAACCTTAAGTACAAAGTGTTTATTTTAAATAGTTACCTTAGCCAAACTCTTGCTAGACCGCATGCTTAGCCTGTATGCTGACAGAAACAGTTTACAAATAATTACTCACCCACACAGATACCAGTACTATAGTTGAAATATATTTAATAAAGGCTACTTTGTGTTATGTCAGACTCACAAATGTAGTTTTGCAACAGACACTCCTTTGAATTTGGACAACCAATTCAGCCATCATAATATCACAACCAATTTATGGCAATATCAGTTTCATATGAATCATGTTTTCTCTCTAAATCCCTTTTTTTTTTATGTCTGATCTGGCAAAAGTATATTTTATTTTGTTTCATTTCAGGTCGGTTGTTAACGCAGACACAGCAGAAGACTTACTGAGAGCGGCAGGCCTGTTGCAGATGATCACCTTACAAGACAACTGTGAATCTTACTATGCAGAAAATCTGAATGTAGACAACGCTCTAGCAGTGTGGGACCTGGCCCAATGCTTGCACTGTGAGGCCCTGGCAGATAAAGCCAAACGGTTCATTCTTGCCAATTTTTTAGAAATATACACAGAACCAGACTTTTTACATGTTGATATAGAGCACTTAAATGAACTCTTGGGTGATGATGACCTACGTGTGCCTGATGAAGATTACGTTTCTGAAGCTGCTATTTCGTGGTTGAAACATGACATTGTCAGTAGAGCGAAGTATTTTAATGATATTTGTGTCAACTTGCGGCTGCGTTACATATCAGAGGACTCGTTCAATAGGCTTTTACATTTTATAAGAAATGAGTGTCACATTAAAGACAGTATTTTGGAAGGGTTCACTGAGAACAGGAGGTACTCATTCCCAGAGGCCTCCAACTCTGTTGCTCTGGATACGCCATTGTCATCAAGAAATTATGAAAACATGCTGGTTGTTATTGGGGTGCACAAAGCCACAGGGATTTTACCTACTGTACATGCTTACAGTTTCAATACCAAGGTAAGTTGTTAAATAGTTTATTATTACTTACTGTTGCATGTATTTAAATTTTTGTGTGCTCTCTTTTAAAAAAATTCAGATTCTAAATCTTAAAGCATTTAATTTTGGCAATGATCAATAGTTTTCAAAATGCAAATTCAAATCTTCTTCTTCTTCGTTCTTAATTTTTGAATATGGTGGAGGAATTAGACAACAAGTCCAACTTCATAGACAAACCGGACTGTGGTTTCCAGTTTGTCAGGTGTCCCATATAATTTTTCCCTGAGTGGGGTGGGCTGGGGCCAGTGTCTGCCTCTTGCCTGGCTATACAGAGTACAATCCTGGAGTACGTGCTCCGTGTTTTCCGGGGCCTTGCCACAAGGGCACATTTCGCTACACCCAACCTTCAGTTTTTTGTGCATGTGTTGATTTAGTCTGTTGTGGCCTGTTCTAAGTCGAAAGATTATGTATTGTTGTTTTCGTGTTAAATTGTAATAGCCGTCGTCTTTAATGTAGTGAGGGTGTGTGACAGACCACATTTGCGTTTGTTTGTGTTTAATTATTCTTTTTATTTCTTTTGGGTGTAGCGAAATTTCCGGTTGTGGTTTCTTTCCCCCAATTTTTGCCAGCTGGTCTGCGATCTCGTTACCCTGGATCTGGCAGTGGCCCGGGATCCACTGCAGCACAATTCTGCTGCAGGTATTTTTTAGCCTCTCTAGTGCTGTCATGAGTGTTTGAATATAGGACTCCGGATTTTGTAGGGATTGCAGGACTGATTTGGCATCTGTAAGAAATACAATCTGACTATTCGGTGATTCAGGGTGTTCTGACAGGAGGTTTGCTGCGTGTTCTAAAGCTTCTTTTTCTGCCCTAAATTGTCGGATAGGCTGCCTGTGGCTATTGCCTTTTCCAGGCTTTTTCCGCTTGGCCATTCAATAAGGATGCCAGCCCCGCAAATTCAAATAAATGTGATAATTTAACTCTTTATCGGTGGAATACATAGTCATTACTTAAACATGTTACAGTTTAATCATATAGAGATGTTAACTTGTTCTGCTAAGTAAATCTTGTATCCCATGAAATCATTTTCATGTTATTCACAAAGGATTGTATTATATTTCACAACAATTTAGATAATAGAATTATACCAACTTCATATTGGTTTGATATCATAAATTGATCTTTTTAATGATTATTTTTTTATTCAATTCAATTAATTCCAAGTGTTAATGAAGTTCCGTGTTTGTTTTTCCAGATGTGGTTTAAGCTGAGTTCCTTACCCTTTGACCCTGGAGTAGGCTATGCCACTTGTGTTTTAGACAATCAGCTGTACATGTCAGGTATCTCACTAAGGAAGGCCTATGTCCTACGCTATGACCCCTGCTCCAACCTGTGGGAGGAGTGTTGCCAGATGCCAGAGAAGAGACGTTACCACGAAATGGTTGTGGCCTGCAACCACGTGCATGCTGTTTGCGGCTGGAACAAAAGAGATGGCGTGTTCACCAGCATTATACAGTACCACGTGTCCGAGGACGCCTGGACCAGCCTCGGCAACCTGAGGGTTGGCGTCTACTCCGCATCCGCTTGTGCCATCTACAACACCATCTATGTATTTGGGGGTAGGGCCGACGACAGCACACGCAAACGGGACATTCAGTCTTTCAACGTGACCACTGGTCAAGCGACCGTGATCAACCAGTTTCCTTCAGCCGTGACAGAAAGTCGGGCTATTGCAATTAACTCATGCATGTACCTTGCGTTGACCAACGGGTCTATAATGAAGGTAATGGAGTCGGGAACCCTGTCGAGGCACAGTACCTTACCCAACTTTGACAGGTTCAATTTTGGTCTCCTGCAGAGAGGGAACAACATCATGGTGGTGGGCGGCGACACCCGCTATCCCTCTGGCTCCAGCCAGTTTGTAGATATTCTCGAAGTGAATGGACATGATGGGAAGGTGAGGATTCTTCACGATCGCCTTTTCAACAACGCCAGTGCTGCCGCCTGCAGGATCCTGTTGATACGCAGGGTTATCTTACCCCGCCTCTCAGTGCCAGGCATTCCTCACTAGCAGCTGAGTGATTCTAGTTGTCTTTTAAAATAATACCTTGTGCATTTTTTAGAGACCTCAGATTATACACCAAATGTTTGTACATTTTAATCATGTTGACTTTTTTTTACCAAAATGTCAAAAAACTGTAAACAACACATTTCTTTAATTGATGCACAGTATATGATTAGTAAAATATTGTAGGACTACCTGCTGTAGATTACATTTTTACCAAAAAAATCTTTACTTTAAAAGTGAATACTTTTATTATGTAATTCATACTTGTTGGTGTAAATTTTTGAATCTCACTCTCACTAAAGAATACTGTCAAATCTTACAATCACTGTTTTTGTTTTAAAAGTTGATTAGATTAATCATTGCTTTTTACTTTAAATAAAACTAATCCAAAGCCATATTGTTTTAACCTAGTCAGATAATTCAAAGGTTTACAACATCTTCACTGATTTAGACATTCAGATACATTATTATTAGGATGTAACCCATAAAAAAATTTGATAATCAATTCTTTAAGACTTCATAATTGAAGAGAAGGGTAAAGGCTGTTTAGCTAATGATGGAAAATGATTTTGTTTTAATATTACCAAATGTGTATTTTTTTTTATCATGGATGATTCCTAATCTTTGTACACTGTGTGATAAATTCATTCACTCACTAACATTATGCAAAATAACATTTTTTCATTAAGAAATATTTTTATTAATGAAATTTTTGATGAATTGAAGAAAAGCTATAAATATAAGTAATGTATAGAAATACATTTGTATTTTCTAATGATTTTTATTTTATAATTTATTTAACCAGATAGAAAAGTTCAATACTTGTGAAGACCATTCACATGTTGAATGATCCTTTGCTGTTTTATTAGCTGTGCAATATATGGTACTGAGTACTTTTCTATAGGGCTTGTAAGTCTATGGTCTCGAAATCTACTAGCTGGCAAGTACGAGAACGAGAAGTTGTGACCTACTTACAAGCCCTATTAACCTGTTGATGATACCAAACTAAAAATATAATGTGCTACAGAACTTTGTATGGTAAGGCCATACCATGATATTAATGATAAGTAAAATAAATTATTTGTGTATTACTATGGTTATTAAAGATGGTAAATCATAGGATCATGATAAAAACCAACTGCAAATCCTTGCTGATTAGGTTGAACAATTTTCCAAAGGTAACTTTTTAAATATAGCTCAATTTCCAAAATATAGCAGAAACCATTTTTGAAAAGGGAAAGCCCATAAAGAAAGTTAGAGGATTGTTATTAGTGCATAGGGAAGGAGATAACTTAAACTGCAGTGGTAACCAATCAAATTTTGGATGAACTTTAAGGCTAATTTGTTAATTTATTTTTCTTGTACTGTAGCAGATGATCCCACCAGCATGTCCTAGCTTTAACTTAAACTTTAATGTTGTATCCACACTTTTGTATATGACTAAATTTCTTTTATTCAAGCTGTTTGTGTATAGGGCAATATTCAAACATCCCATTAATCTCTAAGTTGTTTTAAAATCAATACAAGATAAATTTATAATATATATATATATATATATATATATATATATATATATATATATATATATATATATATATATATATATATATATATATATATATATATATAAACCTTGTTTGTGCCCAAGACAGATGAGGCAGTTGGAGTAGAGTTCATCTATTTCAGAAACCTTGGCACATGAAGAATATATAAATTTATAAATATGGAACAATTTAGAGTTGTAAAGAAGTTGATGTGATTACATTTTTAAAGTAGGATACTTAAAAATTTGTCAGTTATAAACTGGCATGAAATCTCCAAAGGAAGTGACATCAATGCATGTATGGATCTATAAACACTACTGGGTAGATAAATGATATGGACATTAGAATGATAGCTTGACATTGGTTGTATATTTTTATGCTTTAATTTAATGTGAGCATGTATTTCTTTTTTTATGTCAAGTTTTTTTATGCAAATTAATATAATATTGCAAGGTTTGTAACACCAGCATTGAAATTAGCACTACAGGGTCCCACTCCCCCCCCCCCCCCCCACAAACCCCAACCCTCAGACTGCATCTTTTGCCCCCTCCCTTTCTCCCCTCCCCCATCCCATTCCACCATCTATGATCCCCTCCCCCCTCCATCTCACACTCTAGGTACAAATGGATACTTGTGTGTAAAAGTTGCTCTTGTAATAACAGAACACACCCCCCGCCCTACTTTAAATCATTGCACAAGTGAATGTGTGTGTATATGTGTGGGTGTGTGTACAAGTTGCTCTTGTAATAACAGAACATCCCCCCCACACTTTAAATCATTGCACTACTGAATGTGTGTGTATATGTGTGGGTGTGTGTACAAGTTGCTGTTGTAATAACAGAACATCCCCCCACACTTTAAATCATTGCACATGTGAATGTGTGTGTGTGTGTGTGTGAACAAGCTGCTAATTTTCAAATCATTTCACCACTGGATGTGTGTAGTGTATGTCACTGTCTGAATATTTGCTGTTGTAGTTTCTGGACACCTGACTCACCCCCTCCTAATTCATTGCACCACTGAATGTTTGTATGTATGTCAGACTGCAGCAGTGTGTGTGAAGGTTTGTTGTGTTAGTAACTGGACAACCTCCCCCCCCCCCCCTGCCTTTTTAAAATGATTGCACCATTGAATGTTTGAATAGAAAAGTGTGTAAAGGATTGCTGTTGTAATAACTGAACAGCCTCCCCCCACCTTCAGCTCATTGTTTGTAACTATTTCCTGTCAGCCCCTGAACATTTTCAGGTGCAAAATAAATCTTACTTATAAAAATATTAGAAACGTTTTATTGTTTCTTTTTATTGTTTAGATTGTGTTAGGGCCATTGTTTTTAAATAGGATGGAGAATAAAAGGAGAAAAAAAACGGAACCGATAGGGTTAGCACCTATTCTAATTTTTTACTATTTAAATTACTATATAGAAAAGCGTGAGTCTCTTCCTAAATATTAGTAAAGGTATCCAATAGATACTAAAGTGACCCACGCTTTTCTTTATAGTGATTTAAATAGTAATGTATAATTTATTTTCTACTTTTTAGTGCATTATTACATAAAAGCTTGTTATTAAAACGTTTTTTTTATGAATTTTTAAAAATTTAGGCTTATTTCTTTCTATGTACAATTTCAATAACCTAGCGATCCATTCGGCAGATGAAGTTCATGTTTTTTTACCTCGACATATTAAGGGATAGTGCGATCATTTCTTTGCCAGCCGTCTCTACTTTTCCCCTACCTTAGGTATCGCGAACACACGGCTATAGAAAGGAATGAATAGTCAACCATCTTCAAAGCTAAAGGTAACTTTAGAGCAAAGCTGAATTAGTTTACGATTTAATAAGTATTCATAGTTGTTTTGTGACTTTTAAAGAGGAAGACTAACTTGGTCCCCACATCTAGTTTTACTTCACACTACTAGTTACTACTACAGTAGGTCTTTAACCCCTGGCCGCATGAATTTAGTAAAACTTCAATGGTCAGCTACGGAAGTGAGTGATGGTTCATGATTAAATCGCTATTTCAAAAAAAAAAAAAAAAAATTCTCAGAATTGAGTTGAAAAATGGACTAGGCTTCTACTAACTTACTACTTCAATTTTTCTGATGCATTGTCTTCTGCTTGTATAATGCCATGTGACAAAAAAAAATCAATCTATCAAAGACAGGCGATCGATTCAACTGATAAGGAAAATTAAAATGTATTCAGGTAGACACCATGTCTATAGAAGGTAACGTAAGACACAAGATCTTGGAATTACAGCAGGATATTTATACAAAATGAATTGAGCTATATGCTTTGTAAAGGTCAAAATGTTCCTGGAAATTATAAATTTTTTTTATGGGTCGATTCATTTTATAATTCAAACCGTCTTTTGTCTGACAATATCTTTTTGCGCAATCGATTGTTTATTTTGAAACGTGTGGATATATGATAAATTTTTAAGTAAATAAATGACGTTAGTGGAGGGGTGTAGCGACTCTTCCCAGCGCCCGGTGACAAACTTTCAATTTGGCGCCCCCGTCGGGAGCAAATATTTAATTTGCACCCCCCCCCCTCAAACTTTCGATTTGCACCCCCCCCCCCCCCGAACTATTTATAATGCAAAAATGCAGCTAAATGCAGCTAAAATGACATTTTAATTTGTTTTTACAACCCATTTTGGCGCCCCCTAAGGTCGGCGCCCGAGACATATGTACCCCCCCCCCCATCGCTACGCCTCTAGGGGTGTCCAGAAATTTTGTGACGATGTAGGAGTTAAAAAATCGTCAAAAAAGCGTGACGACCTTTATGGATGCCCACATGATTTTTTTTTCTAAAGTGTCTGATTTCTCGCCGTTGTATAAACCTTTTTTTCCGGCGATCGTTGCTCATATAAACAGTCACCAACCCAGTGGCGTAAGAAAGGTGTTGCTAGGGGTTAGGGGTGCCTCCGATCTTCACAAACACCCCTTTCTCTTATGTTAAAGCTATTGTCGACAGTGCGACATAATAGGGAGATGAAATATACGACTTTAGACTGATTGTCGATTTTTCGGACAAATGATTAGTTAGAATCGCCTGAGACTCTACCGTTTCTTGGAATACACCCAATGCTGTTATACCTTTAGAACTCTGTTTACGCAATCGGCACCGCGTAATTCCGGGTCGCTGTATCCCATACCGCCGACTCAATATAAAAAGGCCGATGCCGGAACATCAAGGTTTACATTAGTGTTGCATCTCGCCGCGATAGGCTGGACGACATCATCAGGATTAGTTGCTCGTTGTAAAGTTGTCGTAAGTTGTTAATGTTTCATGTTATTTACTTTATATTGTTGAACCAGGTTTGTGTTCCGCAACACATAGGCTTGATGGGAAAATAAGGGAACAAAAATCCTAATTTTTTTTTAAAAAAGTAGGTGGTATATAATTATTTTGAAGAAATATGATATTATATTGGGGAAAAAAACAAAGAAAATGGGCGGTGGACGCCGGTAGAATTGGTATAGCTCATACTGTCGAAATAGCAAGTGCTAAAGTTAAAACAACCCCTATCATGCACTTATGGACAACATTTAACTTAAATAAATAAATAGTATTAGATTGGCATATGTTATGAATAATATTTTATTTCCTTCTATGTTTGTTGTAGCTTATATGCAACATGATGTATGATGGAAGAGTTTTAGTAATAGACAATGGTTCCAATACGTGCAAGGCCGGCTTTGCCGGAGATGACGTTCCTTCAGTGACTTTTTCATCCCTGGTTAGCAGACGACGGTTTGAGGTCAGAGAATTTCGGGTATTGAAATAATCTCCCCCACTTTCTTTTCTGATCGCATTTATAAATTAAATGAATGTATTGGATAAATTTGAAGAGGCATTAACTAAACTCTTTTTTCCCATTCTTCTGTCCCTTTTAGCCTGGTGTTGTTGTCAACTGGGATGACGCGGAATATATTTGGAAACGCGTCTACAATAAGTTGAAAGTTTTTTCACAAGATCATCCGGTGCTACTTACAGGGTCTTGCCACAGCCCACAAGCCAGCAGAGAAAAGGTGGCTGAAATTATGTTCGAAACTTTCCGAACCCCAGCTCTGTATCTCGCGAACCAGAGCGTCTTAGCGCTGTACGCATCTGGTCGTCTAGATGGCGCTGTCTTGTACTGCGGAGAAAGCGTAACGGAAGTTGTTCCCGTTAGTGAAGGTGAAGCTGTTGATCTTGCCATAACGAGATTTGACGTATCCGGACGAGATTTAACAGAGTATTTGAACACTCTTCTTACTGAACGAATAATTAACTTTGCACGAAATTCAAATCGAGATGTTGTTCAAAATATAAAAGAACAACGTTGCTATGTAGCGTCTAAATTTGATAAGGAAATGTGGACTCGATACTGCAAGAAAACATACACATTACCCGACGGACAGGTCATAACTTTAGAACAAGAAATGTTCAAATGCCCTGAAAGTCTTTTTCAGCCTTCGATTGTTTTCCCGAATTACCTGGGTATCCACGAAGCCACGCATAATTCAATCATGAAGTGCAGTGATGTAGATACAGATCTACGACAGTACATGTTTTCTAACAATTTATTGGCTGGTGGGTCCACGATGTTCCCAGGTTTCGCTGACCGACTGCAGAAAGAAATTGCAACCCTTGCTCCGCGATCAGTGAAGGTCAAGGTAATTTCTCCAGAAAGTCTGAATAACGACAAGTCTCTAAGCCTCTACTCGGTGTGGATAGGGGGCTCCATCTTGGGATCTATATCATTATTTCCGAAACTGTGCTGCTCTAAACAAGAGTATGATGAATCCGGTCCATGGATTTTTCAAACAAATAAATTTGGCTAACCCGGTTACTGCGAACTTTCCTGCGCAGTTTTGGCTTGTGGAGACAATATTGTTTACATGTGGGCCATGTATGTGTAATCAACCACTAACAGCGCATACAAGCTAGATGGTAGGGAACATCACAGGGAACCTGTAAACCACGCAAGGTCAGTCACAGGCAGCCATGAAACACGATGGTCCCAAGCGCGGAGTCGTATCTGGATCAGCTAACTTCCTTAAGGTCAGTTTTGTGGCCTGCACCACACTCAAAGAAACACTGGTTTCTGGGGTGGTTGGTGGTCATGTGGCCCGACTGACCATAATAGAGGTGGCATTTTTAAGAGATGACCAGAATAAAAAGCAGATGCGAATAAAAAAATGAGTTTCTGTTAAAAAAAATCATAGTATTTTTCTAATTTAAATATAGATCTATGTGCACAGAGCTTTATGTAAAAATCTAGTATTGTGTTTTTGTGTAATGCAACCACACATGTATGTCCAATGCATTCATACAGGCTGTGTCAACAAATACGAATGAAAAACCAAAAATAAACTTGCGATATTGTTTATTCTATATACATAACAATATTTTAAAATAAGATAATAAATAGGATTTTGTTTAAAAAAAAAATATGATATCCATGAAAACAAAAAAAAGATGAGAAACAGACATGGCATAAAGAACTACATGCAATGTTGCTACACAATAAATACCAGGTCAACGACCAACATAAACCTATCTCTGTGTAAGCAAAGATGGTGTCTGGTGCTGTATTCATCATTTACACATAGCACAGTATTCATCATTTACACTAGCCCTTGGTGATGTATTCATTTACACAGAGTACGTTCATCATTTACACTAGCCTAAGCCAAGTAAGTAAAGATGACATCTGGTGCTCATAGCACATTATTCATAATTTACACTAGCCCTAGGTGCTGTACCCATCATTTAAACAACACAGTATTCATCATTTACACTAACCCTAGGTGCTGTATCTGTCATTAGCACCTGATGAATTTTCCATCATTTACACTAGCACCTTATGTGTTACCAAACATACAAAAACTCATCAACTAAACGAGGTGAAAAGCTCTAACTCTTATGGCAGCAGAAAGCAGAGAGATAAAAATCAGTGTACACAAAAGCCTAAACAGTGTCATCCCTGTGTCATCAAGGTGGGAATGTAAATGTGGGAACTAGAAAAAAAACTTTCATAAAAATCCTGAGGGGGAGGGGGGGTGAGGGTGGGGTTACAAGTTTGCTTAAATGAACACACCCAGAAGAATAATACAAGTAACAAAGAGAGGCTACTCTAACTTACTTATTCACTCAGTAAACTAAAAATTTCAATTCATGCTACAACTGTATGATACAGTTAAATACACAGAACAAACCACCTGCTGAACAGGGTTATACAAAAAATATTTCAAAACAAAAATAACTGCAGCAAAAAAAAAAAATCACAGCCTAAATATCTCCATTAATTGTCTTAACCTTGTGTGTTAATATTATTATTTGCAAAAAAAAAAAAAAAAAATAAAAAAATAAATAAATTAAAACTTAAATTCTTCAAGAATTAATTTGCATTAAATCTTTTAGTTTCTTTTTCAATAAATGTTGCAGATGAAATTGTTTTAATTCAGCTTCCGTTCATCAAATACGCCATTAATGTTTACATTAGCAACAGACCACCTACCACATCAGTGGATAAAACATTGTGTGCATCTAGACCAAGTGGCCATCCATTTAACTTAAGGCTGACAATAGCGGCTTATTTACAATATTTACGCAATAAAAATAGATGATAAGAAATAATATACAGCAACTTATTCAACAAAGCAGGGACTACAGAAGCTCATGTTTCTACAATAGGCATACAATCAGATGCGTTAAACAACTGACCAAATCATATAAAGCTGTTCAAACTCTGCCTTACGATGTTTAAATAAAAATCCACAAAATCCTTTACTACAATAACTTCTATTTATAAATACCTTATCTTAGTTACAAAAAATTGTTTATAAATTTGCAGTACTCTTGAATTATATTTATAGTTAAACTATAACAACAAATTTTTAAACAAAGTAAACCTCAATGATGACAGACAAAAAAAAACTTGACAAAAACATGAAGGCTATAAATATTTCAAGGGAGGTAATCATTACACCTTTGAAAAGTAGAACCCAAATAATAACATTAATTCATAAGCTGGATGGTCATGTGACATCAAGATATAAATGAAACAAAAAAAGTGGGAAAATAAATAAAACAATGTACGCTGATTAGTATAAAAAGATGAAAAAAAAAAGAACTTTTAAAAAAAATCTGAGAAAGAATATTTTTGAATTAGGAAAACTAAATGATAGCACCTGACAAGACTGTCCAATGATACAAGCAGGCAACAATGAATTGGTGTAACAACTGCTTTACAATAAATACAAATATCTATCATGGATAGGTTCTACAAAAAAATTATATGCTAAGATTCAACATTTTACTAAGCCCGTAAACAAAAAAAAAAAAAACAAAACATTTAAACCAATCCATGTTTTTAACCAATCAACATTCTGGCGATGGCTTCTACAATCACACACAATGGTCATTTACCCTGGCAGTAATGACAATTGAAGCCACAGCTTCATAAACATAGCACACATGAAGCATTTAATATCCTGAAAACATGGATTAGAGATCTTTGTAAACAAGAAAATAATTCAAAGAAAAAAAAATGGCTGAGTAGATTTAAAAAAAAAAAAAAAAACAACTCCTGTAAAGGCATTGCATGGGAAACAGACCTAACATCAAACATATTTTTCAAACATACATAAAAACAACTCACACTTACCAAAATATAGTTTTGAAACAATACAAATCTCTTCTAGCGTGAAAACTTGAAACATTGTATGCTTAGTTCAGATAAGAAAGCTTCAGTGATAAATTTGTATTTCTTGCCCTATTTGGTAGCAAAAAAATTTGTACTCAAAATATTTCAAAAACTTGATAAATATTAATTTTTATAGTCATGTATTCATTAGGCAAGAAGACACACAGCATCCAACAACACTTGGCATCCAGAAACAGATCCTAGCTGGCCACTTTGCATCCAGCGACAGGTCCTAGCTGGCCACTTTGCACCCAACAAAAGATCCTAACTGGCAGCTTGAAGCCTGGCCGAGTCTACAGCATCCAACAAGTGCTTAGAATCCATGGCCAGGGCATGAGCAGACTTGAGCATGCTCTTCCTGTAGTCGGCCAGCAGAGGTGTGTGGTAGTTCTGCTGGGCCAGACGCATGGCATTAATTAGTGAGGCCATATCCGTGGACAAAACTTTTTGGGCCATCTCCACCTGAAGAAAAGTTTTTGCATTTGTTAATTTCTTGTTTGGAGGTGGGAGTTTTTTTTTATAAAAAGTTTCAAAACAAAAAACCCTAAAAAACATAAAACTATTAAAAACATTTTTAAAAAAGGTTAAAATATTCCCATTCACATAGTAAATGTACTGCTCAATACACCTTGATGGGAAAACTCACCTGCTTATGGCTATCAGGAGGCAAGTTGGGTAAAACTTCATCTACCTGGGCTAACAGACCTCTCAGTTCACTTCCCACTTTCTGTTGATAAAAAAAAAATCACTAAGAATTCCATGTTTTTAATTTATTATCCAGCATCAATAAATAAAACGTCATGAAGATGTTATTCCAAGTTATTGGAGTTTAACATCCTACAACCAGATATAAAGTTTTTTTTTCTGGCCCCACGGTCAACCACTCACCTTCACCATCTCCAGGTAGCCTTCAGCATCAACCTGTGGCGCCTCTTTAGTCATGGTCATCACAGCGCGGACAACGCTGGTGGTGCTGTCATACACCCCATCATTCACTCGTGAGATCTAAACACAAACAGTTTCTGTAAGCAAGCCCTTCACCAACTCAAGATATTAATGCATTTTCATTAACATCTTGCTTAAGTCTGTCACAGAAAAAAATCTACCAGCTATAGACTGAGTACAGAGAATAAAGACTGAGTATAGAGAATAAAGACTGAGCATAGAGAAAACTTGAGAACAAGACTAATGAGGCAAGTAGAACTTTTAACACTACCTTGTTAGCTCCTCCTGTAAAACCTTCTGTTGAATCACTTGTACTGCTAGCACTGCCTGCAAACACAATCATTCAGTTCTTTTTTATATGACAAGGTAGAACACAATGTTTCTAGAGTATAGAAGTGAGATTTTCATCTAGATAAATGGTTTTTATGCTGCGTTCAATCCGACCCCAGAAGTTTGGTAAGTCAGTCTCAGAAGTTCAGCGGAGGTCTAGACACACACCCTCTGATATGATTCACAATCAGATTTTGTAATTGTGGACTCAAACTACTATGAAGTGTTAGGTGAATGTGCCTATGAAACTGGTAGGGTTTCGGTACATACTAAAAGATTAAGAACCAATATTCTAGATTAATGGATACCCTTAACTGCTATTCAATTGGATGCCCAACTTGGCTCAAAAACATATTATAGTTTCAACTTTGGTGTGATTGAGAGGCCTACATAAAACTACACTAGCAAAACAAAAGTTGCAGCTATTGAGTTTAAATGTATAAATTATAAAAAAAAAGTCCCATCTTACTTGAGGTTCTCTGTAAAAGTTTAGCATTAGCACCAGCCCTTATGCTGCCCACAGTTGGTGGAGAGTTCTCCTTGGTGTTGTCATGTCCCAGCTCTGGTCTGTACACTACTGGGTGGGAGTCTCTCTTCTGAAAACAGGTCCACAATTCTTCATCCAGCTACACACAAGTCTTTTCATGACTGCATTTTGTACTGCCCAAACCAGACATTCCTCATCTAACCCAGCTATGCTCTCCATTAGTTTCTATTCTACTGTATATTAAGGTGTTATCAAACTAACAAACCACATTTCCCTGGGTTAATTAAAATATAATATCCTCCAAACCCTTCCCCACAAAATAAAGCTAAAAAAAAACAACATAGAACCCAAAATACACCCCCCCCCCCCACGCCAGATAAACAAGAACAAGGACCAACCAAATTTTTCTCCTCAGCCTGCAACCATCTAGAATCTTCCTCAGATTCCTGCTGCTGCTGTTTTAGCCTCTTCTCAATGGCCGCCTCATCCACGTCTTCAATGTGTCGGTGGTGCTGGGTGAAGCCCTGCGGGTAGCAAGTTGATAATGATGCAACTAAATTGACCATTTTTCAACATAGTTGGCCATCATACTACAAAGTTGACCATAATACAACATACTTGACCATCATACAACAAAGTTGACCATCATACAACCAGTTGACCATCATACAACCAGTTGACCATCATACAACCAGTTGACCATCATACAACAAAGTTGATCATCATACAACAAAGTTGACCATCATACAACAAAGTTGACCATCATACAACAAAGTTGACCATCATGCAACAAAGTTGACCATCATACAACAAAGTTAACCATCATACAACATAGTTGACCATCATACAACATAGTTGACCATCATACAACAAAGTTGACCATCATACAACAAAGTTAACCATCATACAACAAAGTTGACCATCATACAACAAAGTTAACCATCATACAACAAAGTTGACCATCATACAACAAAATTGACCATCATACAACAAAACTGACCATCATACAACATAGTTGACCATCATACAACAAAGTTGACCATCGTACAACAAAATTGACCATCGTACAACAAAATTGACCATCGAACAACATAGTTATCTAACACAACATTATTTACTATTATACAATTTATCACTTTAAAAAACCAAAAGGTCTACAGTTATACTGCAGGCAGACTACTAGAAATAGTCTCAATCTATTGCACAAGACTGGCAGTTGCTAATGATTAATATGTTAAACAACAGTGAACTAATTCTAAAATGAAAAACTCAAGCTGTGAAACCTAACTTTAACTTATCAGTAAACAAGTTTAATTAATATCATGCATTTTTAATTTTAATAATAAAAGCAACATTTAAAAAAAAAAGCTTTTAACAGTGCACAAAGGGATTAATGTTAGCTTTAAGGTCTACAAACATGCTAATTAATACAACAGAGAAGTTTTTGTGTAATTGATAAATTGGACGGCTTCTTTTATACATTTAAACAGATGTTTTTTTTAACACATTTGCACTGCATTTAAATAAAATTTGAATACTTAAGCATACATGATCACATGATCAAAAGATGATCACAAAATATTTGTTTTGTAATTAAAAAAATAAAATTAACTATTTGTTTTCTCTTCTTTCTTTGCACAGAGCATAAAAATTTTAAACTACTAGAAGTATTTAATAAAGCACCAAGAATAGACAAAATATCAATAATTAAAACTAGTTGGCCTATCAAAAATACATTGTTACTATTGTTAACAAAAAAACTATTTTTTTTTTTGAGTAAAATTTATCAGAGTAATTTAAAAAAAAAAGAAATCTTTTAATTACAAGTATGTTAATAAAGCAGAAGTAGGAGGAAAGTTTTAAAAAAATGAGGAAAATGAAGCATGCAAATAAAACAAAAGCAAGGCAAAAAAGGTACCTGCGGAGTAGGTGGAGGTGATAGAGGTGAGAGCACCTGGTTGTTCCGTGATGTAAGCTGGTAGTGGTCTAAGGGGGGAGGGGGCGGCAGAGTGATGGTCACTGGGTCAGGCCGGTTGGACATGGAGGTTTTGTGGCTGCTGGTGAAGTGCTGTGGCGGCTGGAATGGTGGTGGTGGTGGGGTTGGGTTCGAGTGGGTTTGGTTCCGAGATGGGAGTGAAATGTGAGGGTGTGCTAGGGGGAGTGGCTGGCCTGAGTTGCTGCTCACCTGCAATAGTGTAGGGAGGGGGGATATGTCACACATGGTTTACAAACAAAAGACCATTCATCTTCAGTATTCTAAAAGTGAAGTTACTCAGTATTATAAAAGGGAAGTTACTCTAAATTTATAATTCAGTCTGCCATTAGGCAAAATAATTTTTTTTTAAATTGATGAAACATGAAGATTTTGAATTTGATTGGAGATTTTAATTTTATGCTGAATTAAAATTTTAGTTAATGATAACTAAATGATTGGTTAATGAATGAAATGAATAGAGGTTAAAAAAAAAAAAGGGCCCAGGCAAAATTTAATTAAAACTATTTTTAATCCATTAGTTCAAAATTATAATTCACATTTAAACTAAGTTATTCTGATGTCATTTCTTTATTATAGCAATAGTATTATTTTTTTTTAACAGAGATAAACTTTAAGCCATTTTCTTATTTAAATTGTGTTTTGAAAAATTATATTTAAAAAAAAAAAAGGTAACATTTTTAAAATTTTAAAAAGTACAAATAAATTATCAGAGTGTGGAAATAATTCTCCATTTAATAAAAAGATCTGCATTCTTTTAACTAAGATCTTCTGAATGTTTTATAAAATATTTTTTATTAAGAGGGATTTTAAATTCCACCAACTATTTTCATACCATCAAATAAACAGGTTTTTTAATTTCATTCTGCAGACAGAGAGTAAACTTAATTAATGGAATACATTTATTTATTACGCCAATGCCAAATAAGAATATAGTATTGGCCTGGGATCAAACAAAATCAGCTAAAGGTGCTAGTTAGAGGGGATCTATTGCCCTTAGATGCAACCATTTTTATGTCCAAATGATGGATGAGTTTTCACCCCTATATAAAACAAAAATTAAATATGGTAAAGAGGAATGAGTTATTGCCCCTAGATAAACACTATATGGTAATATGGGAATGGGCCAACACCAACTTAAGTGAGAGAACATTGCTAAAGCTTAAAGAAGTTAGTTAAGGTGAGTTCATCCTAGTTATTTTTAAAGCAAGTGATAATATTCAGCACAGATACAATAAACATTTAATCTAGATTTTTCTTGGTACAAATCTTGTAAAATAAAATGTTTATCAATTCAATTTATTAAATTTAAATTAAATTTAAATCTGGTAAGCGTTAAAATTTTTTAAAAGCATGAGCAACAGGCGCAGTGGGGGCAACAATACCTGCATGTAGCCAGAAGGAGGGAAATAATTCTGCAGCTGGTACTCTATGTGTGCCCCAGGCTGGGCCCCATGCTTGGAGTCCTGCCTGGAGGCTTGCTGTTTGGCCACGTTGACGTCAGGTGATGGCCCAGAGGCCGGGGTGCTGTGGCCCATGGGCAGGTTGGTGGTGCTGTTCCACTGGTGGGGGAGGGAGGCTATGCTGGCGTTGAAAGAGTTTCCGGCATTGATGGAGAGGTTGGGTGTAGAGCCCGTGGGGGACATGGCGAACTGTGGCCGAGCAGGTTTGGGTGGGGGTGGGGGTTCCTCATCAGAGCCATTTGACCCAACTGAAAAAATTACAGTTCTATCAATCTTAGAAATAATGTCTATTTAATCATGTATGAAGAAACATAATAAAGACGATCCATTTTTTAAATCAACCAGACTTAGGGAAGTTAGAAAAGTAAATTACCCCATGAGATGGCTTGAACTCTCCTGTTGTCTCGATGCATTTCTTCCTCCTGTCTTGTGCGCTCCTCATCAAGTATCTCACTGAAAAAATAAATGATTTATCAGGATACTGATTCAACAAAGCCTGATCTTTAGTTAGATAAATCATTAACTTGAGACTGACTCAAGCCTAATCTTCAAGTGTGGTCAAGTGCAAAAATAGAATTAATCATTGTAGCATTCTATATTTTTATTAAGGGCAATGGCACTAGATGGTACTTATTTCTTAATATAAACAAAATGATACATTCATATAGGCTTATTTAGACATGATCAATCAGATAAGAGTTGCTTTGTTTCTGTGAGCTTGGTATATGAAGAAAGTGATGTTACTACTATTCTAAGCACAATGGTTTCAGGGATATTTTACATTGCAAGCCCTGAGGATATAAACTAAGACTTATGGGTTGGCTATTGTTAGCAACCAAAGCATACTAAAGCAACACAAACTTTCCCACATCAATTTAACTTCCTATTTGTTACACACATTAAAATAGTGATTAAATTGAGATTTGACTTTAGAGAATTTAAAAAAAATTGATAAATTTTTCCTCCCTAGTGGATTATGAGCAAAAGTAAACAACTTACTAGAGCCAGCCTTTCAGATGAGCGAATGTGTGACGTTTTGAAGGCTCGTACTGCCAACAGGAACACATAAGGTTGTAGAGAGAAGGGGGACAACCACTGGGTAGAGGCAGCCGTTCCCCAGCTTCTATCTTCCCAATCACATCATTGTTCTTCACCCCCTGAAATGGCTTGACACCATACATCAGGATCTCCCAGATGCACACACCTACACATTCACAGAATTTTTTTCAAAGTCAATGTTTTAGTCACATTAAAAAAAATAATCTAAATTTTTATTTCTATGGTTTATATATATACTTAGATAAAAACAACATTCCCTTGCACTTATGTAAAAATATAATAACCAGGGCTTGTGAAAAAAAAAAACAAAAAAAAAACACCCAGTTCAAATAAAGGCAATCAAATCACTGCCAGTGTGTGTTTGTAAAAAGTGTGCACAGAGGACACACTTTTTGCTAATGTCATAGATTGAATACATTTATATATTTTCTAACAAAAACCAATTTAAAAATAAATTCAATGAGCACTTGAAATCTATATTGAACATTGGAGTATGCCCCTGGCTTTGATTATGTTTATAAAACTACGTGTGAGAGAGTGTCAACTGACCAAACATCCAGACATCGCTGGCTGTGGTAAATCTACGAAAGTTGATGGACTCTGGTGCCATCCATTTGATTGGTAACTTGCCCTTTGAAGCTAGAGGGGAAAGATACATTCAGAAAATGTAATTACAATAGCTGAATTGAACAGCATGAATTATGTAACAGAATTTAGAACACATGTAATCCTTATAGGTAAAAATTAGGTAACTAGGTAAAAAAAAAATATCTGAGATTTTCCCCAACCTTTATAATAACTCTGCTCCTCAACCCATCTAGAGAGGCCGAAATCACCAAGTTTAACCGCATCATGCGATGAGACGAGCACATTTCTGGCAGCTATGTCTCTACAAGAACAGAATAAACATGTTGAAAACATACAAAATATAGATCCATAAATATTTTATACACTTCATGATATGAAGATAATATTTTTTGGGAAATGAGTAAGAAAATTTTCCTCAGATGATACTGTGTTATATATATATATATATATATATATATACTAGCTGTATCCCGTGCTCCGCCACGGTAAATCATTTTTAAATATACCAACTTTGGAACAGAACAAAACTAAACACAACACAAACGAACGAACGCAAAAAAAAAAAAAACGAACACAACACTCATAACATAAACACAATTTAAATGCATATTGCTCACAGACTAGCACGTAGCGCCAAATCGTGCCCTTTCCGAGCGCCAGTGGACGCGTCTGACACAGTGAATGACTACAAAACAGAGGCGTTGCGACCCTTTCCGGCGCCCGGGGACAAACTTTCGATTTGACCCTCCCTCAAACTTACGATTTGCACCCCCTCCCCTCAAAATTTCAATTTCCACCCCACCCCTTAAACTTTTGATTTGCATTCCCCTCAGACTTTCGATTTGCACCACTTTTGATTTGAAATTCCCCCCACTCAGACTTTTGATTTGCACCCCCCTCAAACTTTCGATTTGCACCCTACCCCCCTCCCCCTCCCTAAAACTTTCGATTTCCAACACCCCCCCCTAGCTACGTCTCTCTTATAAAACCCCAGCTTGTCCGCAAACCGAAAGACAGAATAATAATAAATAATATACAATAAAAAATAGGCAATATTTAAAATATCCATGTTTACCTACCATATATCACTTTATCAATTCACGCATTTTTTTCCCAGTATTTTAATTTTAAAAATTTACAATTGAGTTTCATAACTAAAACCATTGAGCACCCAATGTCTATAATGGTGCGGAATAGTTGATTAAAAATTAGAAGTAGTAAACAGTACATTCAGTGAATAAAATAAATAAAAGATTGCCTTTTATCAATCCATGCTAATTATAATTTTCTAACAATCCGCATCCACACAATTTGCATTCACATTTTGCTGATTATATTATTGCAACACTAATTCCTTCTAGGAGGTCAGTAGATTTGCATTCACATTTTTTTTTTATTAGCGTGAGTTTAATTTATTTTTAAATTACCTCCCTTGTCAAAATGAGAAAAAAAAGTTAAATTTATTTGATTTTTCTACCCTAATGTTATTACATTATTAAAATGTTTACATCTTTTCAAGGCATAAATAAGAAAATAATATTTGACATTGATCCTTTTAATATATTTTAGCAGTGTGCGTGTATTTAATATTTTCTTTACGTTATGCGAAAGAGTAAAAACCTGGCGACTATAAAATATCCTTATGCCGTTATATAAACAAACCCTACTCTATAACTCCTTATAGGACACTAAAGTGCACTGAAAAGCACAGCATGGTGCGTGGTTTACTTTTATAGTCCCAAAATCTATACTTATATTAGATATATATATATATATATATATATATATACGAGCTGACCCGCTGCGTATCATACGCCGCTATTTAGTTGTTTTTTTTCTACTTTTCAGTAATTTATAATTTGTGAATTCGACAGTACCAATGCTGCCATTGAAAATATTTGCTTAAAAACACTAACCCCCCCCCCCCCCCCCATGAAAGTAGCCTCCTCTTAGTTACCTCCTCTAAGTTTAAAATCGTTTCAAACTAAATTATCTGCCCCTAATAGCCGTCACCAAACCCGTCTCTATGATTGTAAAATGTAAACAGAGTGAACACCGCTCACCAGATCATGTGGGGTGGGGGTGGTAGTGATAGTGATAGAGAGGAAGAGAGGGGACTGCAAAGGCGCGCTTGCAGCTTGTTTTCTAACTGATCCCAGAAGAGAATTATATATATATATATATATGTATATATATATATATATATATCTAATATATATAATAAGGTAAACTCTTAAAGTAAGTTTCAGAGGTGAAAACATATCTAGAAAAAATGGGACCCAGACCATGTTTCTAGAGACAACCCCCCCCCCCCCCCCCCCCCCCCCCCCCAAAAAAAAAAACAACCCCACCCAATACAACTGTTTAACCTAGTATATATAACACAGGGTTTCAACCTGAAATCTAGCCCAGAAAATACTTATGTGATATAATCTCTCTCAACTATTGAAGACGTCCAGACAAACTAAATAGTAGTTCTAACCACCAATAAATCCCACTTTTTACTTTACCTGTGCACAAACTTTTTGCTCTCCAGATAAGAGAGAGCTGTACTCAGCTGGTAGGCGTACAGGATCAACATGACCAGATCTAAACGATGTTCATTGTTTTGTAGATAAGCCCTCATCTAACAGGAAAAAAAAAAAGAATTATGGTTTTTTTACAATATAAATTAAATTTATAAAAACAAACATGTTACAACATAACTTATAGGTTTAGCTATATTAATCAAGGACAGGATGGATACAATATTTATGATTACATCAGTTATATTAAATTACAGAAAGTTTAAAATAGTGTAAGTTATAGTGGTTAAAATAATAATCAGCTACAGATGGGTAAAAATTAGAGACAGAATGGCAATAGTTATGTACAAGTGACATGACATTTTGCTTTCATTAACTAACACATGACAAACCTCCCCAAGCTTTGCCAGCTCCATAACAATCCAGACTGGGGCTGTGTCGGAGCAGATGCCGATGAGTTTGATGATGTGCGGGTGATCAAACTGTTGCATGATGTCTGCAACAAAATCAGACACTATAAGTTGTGTATGATGATACATAATGCTTTTGGGTCAACACTGTTAGCTCGCTGCCTAACAAATTGATTGTAACTTAACTAATCATTTAATATAACATATATAACAAATAAATAAAATAATTTTTCGAGATTGAAATAAATTTTCTTCATTATAAATCTAAAACATTTTGATATATATTTTTTAAACTGCTAGTGACTGCAAGCCAAACAATCCCCCGTACTTACAGGCTTCCTCTAAAAACTTTTCTGTCATGGTTTCCTCTCCATCTTCCTTGCAGGTTTTAATAGCCACAGGTACCTGCATCCCTTCCTACAATAATTAATAAACAAATTTTAATTAAAACAGGGGGAAAGTAATCACAATTACTGCCACTGATAAAATAAAAGTCACACAAATATTGATTCAACAACAAAGAGAAACAAAACATTTCTATGACAAATGGATGTAGAAGACCAACCTTGTCAAAGTACATCCCCTTGTAAACATCCCCAAACTGTCCCTCACCCAGTATCTCCACCAGTCTGATGTGGTCTCTGGGGATCTCGTAATCTCTTGCTACAAGAAGATAAACACACTTGATCAACCATCTTGCTTTCTATTATTTCAAACATTTGAAGCAAACGAAAGTCTTAGCACTATAATTTATTTTAACAAATAAAAGGTAAATAAACAGCCACATACTTAACATAATATGCTAGATAAAAAGCATACTTTAGAAATTTTTAAAATCATTATCTTTAAAATTCTAAACTAAATTTAAGTTTGTAAAATTTCCTTCACATCACAAAATTTAATGGGTTTAAATAGCTAACACTTGATCTAAAATTTAAGAAAAACTAAACATGTAAATAGCAAACTTATTTAAATCAGTTTTTGTCTATATATGGATTAGTAAGCACTGCATTCATATTTCTATTTAGTCATAATCAACTAACACTTGTAACAAACAATAGGGCAAATAGGGACAAGCTAGATATTTAAGTGAAGTGTGCTTAGTTTAATCAGCAGAGGTGGATATCAAATCACCAATTGACTCTAGCAACATCCTTTACTAAGCAGGCAAAGATGGGGAAAAATTCCAATGCTACAACAGAGTGTGTTCAATTATAGCTTAGCCCCAGGAATTGTCGCATTCTCCAGACTAAGAAAAACAGATATTACTTTTATGAATAGCTCAAGGTCAAAGTAGCCCCAAATATCATAGCCAAGAACACCACTGGGCCAGAGGAGGCTAATTAATTCCCTCCAGTCAAATCAGATTATGACTCGCTTGATGAATGGGTTTTGAGCATCTCATGGTTTTGTGCAGGTTTAAAAAAAAAAAAAAAGCAAATCCAAGGCAAACAATATGCTAACTGGCATGATGCTTTGCAGATTTTTAAAGAACTTTTGACCAAGTTCACATTTAATTTTTTGAAATCTTATAATTCTTTTTTAAAAATCTCAATGAGCCCAATTTCAATCAGAGATAATGAATAATCATTTTACTATTCGACTTAAACATCAATGTATTTTTGTATTTAATTTTACAGAATGGAAATTTAAAAAAAATCAGAAATAAATACCAAAAAAAAACAAACAAATAAATGTAAAATTATAATTAAAATAATCTGTCAACAAGATGGAGTATACGGACAAATAATCGGTAAGGATTATTTTATAAATCGATCATGTTTTGAAATAACAGTGTTCTGCTGTGTCAGAGTTGGGTGTGATTATATTTTCTATAAAAAATAAATAAAAATCACAATGCTTGCACATAACTGATATGGATTATTAAAGCCATCCATCCCACTAGAATTCATGTTTTGAAAACTGTGCTTTATATTATGTGTGAAAGTTGGGTGTGAAGCCAATCATGCCATGGATAGAAAGAGGGGAGGGCCATCCATCCAGCACCCTGGCATTTATTATCTCTAGACAGCTCATATTTCTCCATTACCTCTTGGCCAGAGGTCAGTGATAATTATTTGCAATATGTGCAAGCCCAACAGGATTTACATGCATTGTGCCTTCAATTTTCTCTGGGAAATCAATCATTCATAACATGCATTTCCTGGAGAAATAAATGCATCAAGCCACGCCCACTGTGCGAGTGTCTGTGATAAGGTTTAACACCCAGAGTTCGTTTTATTTATTTTGCTTAGGAAAAAACTTAATTTTATTTCTTTCATACTCTTTTAATTGTATTTTTACATTATACTGACAGCAGCATACATCTCTTTATACACTGCAAAGATTTACCAAAAAAAAAATTAAAACAAAACTTTGGGAACATAATTAATCAGAGATGATATGACACAAAGCACACTTATTCTTGTTAATATGCTAATTTGAAAATAAATCACAGTTTTTATGTCCATCCAGTGAATAATATTAAAATAATAATATAAAAGTTGAAATCTGACAACTTTATAGAGGAAAAGATTGTGTTGACTAGTAGAAATATGTTTCAGGTTAATTCCGAGTAAATGTTTGTTATAAATTAATGCTTTGATCAAAAGTCCACAAGTCATTTAACTTTGCTAAGTGCAATATTTGTGTAAAAATAATGAGCATTGAATTTTTAAGTTAAATAATTTTAAATGCATTTTTTCCCCTCTAGCATGCAAACATTTGAAAACCTGAAATTTCTAGCAACAAGAAGAAAATGTGACAAAAATATTTAAGTTGAGCTACAAATTGCATTAATGAATTCAATCTCCGACCAGCATTTGCATATTATCCAATCATTTATCATTCTGGTTCAAGGCTACATGACATCATCAGTTGTACAGATGTGGCATGCAGTTGAGGTGAGAAATCAAAGTTTCCATGCTCAAATCGATGCTACATTGCAGTCACGGAATGGCTGAGATTTTAATTTTTTTTTTTAATTTTACACCTGGCATGCCGTGCCATCAAAGGTTAGGGTTATCCAATGGGATTAACCACAGCAAGGCCTGTAACTTACTCTTTCTGCGAACACTTTTCTTTTTAGGTTTTCCTAAGAAAAGAGAGAGCAACCAAAGAGACATAAGCTAAAGACACCAGACCTTCTGTTTGAGTTTAATAGCTAGCAGACAGGGGTGTTTGTGAACTACAACACTGAAGTTGTAAAAATAGCGATTGCCATTTAAAGAAAAATCTAAATAGTATCAGTGAAAAATTTAAATTAAATTAAAACATAAAAAAAAAAAGTTCTAGTGTGAAAAAACCCACAGCAAATAATTTAAACATAATTTTCAATTTTTACAACCATTTAAAACTCTTTTCCAACAGCAAAAAATATTAGTTTGAAATAGAAAAGCAAAAGCATGCATGCTTTTTTATTTCATTTTAATGATCTTTTTTTTTGTGATAAAATATTGACATGTAACAAAGATTCTTTTTCTTAATTTAAGTAGAGAAATACAAAATATTTTTAAACTACTGTTGTTTAAAATTTGAAATTTAAAAACAATTTATAAATATATATAAAACAAAAATAATTTATGTTTACTTAAAGTATTTTAATAATATTTTATTTCCATTTTTGTAATACGAAATGTAGTGTCAAAGACCTGTTTATAATGTGTTAAATGAAAACAGCAACCAGTTATTAAACAAAAACAAAACAAATCAAGAAATATAATTTAGTCTTACCATCTGGTGTACTATAATCATCCTCTTCTTCAACAATCTCAGCATAGTCCGATATCCCTGCCATTCGGAAGTCAGAGAAGAAGCAGAGAAAAGTCTCATCAACAAGCAAAGGTATAAGCACTAACAACAGGCATGGAGTAAGGGAGGTAAGTAGATGGACAAGAAACAGAGTGGAACTTCATGCAAGAAAACCATGATAAGGGACATCAATCAAAATAGAATTACTTGTAAATTAGATTAAAATAAAACTGTGCATAAACTAAATAAAAGTGGATTATTATTAAATAGTTAATATTATACTCAATTTTTAAAACTTTTTAAAATAAGACTTCTGTATTTTAAGGAGAATGTAGTGTATTTTTCCTCAATAATTTCAAAACAAGCTACTAAAAAAAATAGGCCCAGTTGTAAAATCACAAAAACAAATTATTCAGTAAAAAATACAAACACAAAAATAAATAGTGCTATTTAAATATTTTGTGAATGTTAATTAAAACAAAGTCAAACCACACTAACTTGACATGTGCAGTTAGTGCATGCTCATAATTTACTTCATATTCTTTGATTAAATTTTTTTTAAAATTATAAATTTTTTTTTTTTTTAAAATTAATATTTTGTTTATCAATAAAGAATCTCTTGTTATTCCTTATTAGCCCTAGAAGTACAGTCTATGCTGTTTATTTAACATTTAATTTTCTAGCATAAGGTGAATGTTTGATTTTTCATACTACACTATGATAAATTATTTTTTATGTTTTACATCCCACCCCCCTCCCGCAATATGAGAAGGCATAAATATAATTTTTTTAAACTGATTTCCATACAACTGACTAGTACAAAATGAACACCATTGTAACAGTATCACAATGCACTTTATAACAAATATATACCAAGTTATGTTTTGATCACAAATTATTGTGTAAATATCAAAGTATTTTTGTGCTCTGTATAAATTGATCAAACAAGTTAGAAATTTGGTTTTAAAATATGCTTATAATGCAGGTTTAATTTGCTATTCTTAATTTATACAATTTGAAACAAATTTATACAAATTGAATCAATACATTTTGTATATATGACAGACGTTGAAACCTTAACTTAGAAGATCATAAAACTCTAGCATTCAATACATCTAAGTTTTTGTGGTGGTAATCCATTATTAATTTTACAACTCAGACAATTAATTATAAGCTTACTTTCATTTCCTGAAAAAACATCCTCATTTCTGCCACCTCCACCTCCTCTAGGGTAGCTAATGGAAAGAAAAATAAAATCATGGATGGAGAAAAGTTTAAAATTAAAAATTAGAGATAAGTTATTTAAGGAAATCATAGTTAAAGAAATTTTTTTTTTTAAAGTTATAAAAAACCAGTAATAGTACTGTAACCAATAAGAAGGTAAAAAAAAAGTATAACAAAGAGTTGATTTGAAAAACATAACTCATGATTGTGAAAAAGAGGACTTTTAAATATGTTATATTAAATAACTGTACACTGCTCATGTGTTGTTGTAAAGAAAAAAGGGGAGAGTAAAAAGATTGATTTATTGCCAACGGTGATGACTGATTAGCAAGATTGTCCCAAACTTTGATGAGAGTAATGTTATATTAAATAACTGTACACTGCTAATGTTTTGTTGCAAAAACAAAGGGGGAGAGTAAATTGATTGATTGCCAACAGTGATGATTGATTAACAAGATTTTGTCCCAAACTTTGATGAGAGTGATGTAACATGGAAGAGATCAATACCAGAGTGCACACCACCACAGATAAATAATGAAACAGTCCACAAACACATGGCAATCCATTACCTTTTGTACATGTGTAAATAATGTGTACTATTATAATGGTGCCATGGGGGAAAATAACAGCAATCATCATAAATGTTCATCTCTACAAGTAATAACTAGAATAAACTTAAACATGTGAATACATGCTGTATTTGGGAAGTTTTAGATCTACAACAAAAACAATAAAATAACCTTGCAAAAAAAAAAAAAAAAAAAAAAGCAATCTTCTAATGTAGTTCGGGTTTTGTATTTTAAGGTTGACTTTCTAGCCCATTATTCTTTATTTGCTTATTCATACTAAAATTCAAACAACGGTAGAAGTGTAAAAAGACTAGACATCTAAAAAATGTGGTAGAGGAAACGAAACAATTTAGATTAAAAAAAAAAAAAAAGTAAGACTATTTGTGTTTTATTTCGTGAGTCATGGCATTAATGGCTGTGGTTAGTGTTTTTTCCAGACAGTGTCTGACAAGGGGGCTGAAAGGGTATTCAAGCTGATTAAGGGGCGCCACCATATAATCTTTGGAGAAAGATTTTTTTTTACTCAACAGTAAGCGCTGGCTGTAAATATTTGCCCCATCGTGCATGAGGCGGAAGTAAGCGGTCAGGGGAAATCACTCTGACAAAAAACGACAATTGGTTAGGGGGAAGAACCATTATTTGAATTTACGCGAGTCTTTATGTCTGCACATCTGTAATTCACCGTCGCCAAAAATAAATCGACAAGATAAAAAGGAAAGGAAAAAAATCAAGGGTTAAATAGATTTATTTGTAGTGTAAAATAAATATAAAATAAAGCCAGAGCAAGGAACAAGTGCTAATGTTTATAATGACAAACGGGCGATGAATCATGAAAAATCGACATGCAACTAGTTTTTCTCCCACTTGTTAATTATTCATCTGTATGCAGAGCCGTGTTAGGCCTAAAGGTTATTTTAAAAACACCCAACTATCTCCGTGATCTGGAGCGGCAAAACGCGGATTTATTATTTATTCGTTTTATGCGGCTTTTCTCACACAACGATTAAAAACTGCCAGTTATCTGAATTTAGCTGGACAGAAAAAAACAACCCGTTTCTGTTTTCCAAGGTCGGCGTCTGATAAATTTGTCACAATAGAGAAAATTTATTGAGGAAATTCTGGCCAATAGATACAAGAAGCTTGTTAAAAACATCTTCGCACAAAGTGAGTACCCCACCCCTCCCCCCTCTATACATGTTCTGATACAAATAAATTTGTCCCAATTGAGAAGCCCATTGAGTGAAGTCTGGTCAACAGTATTGTACAGATACAAGAAGCTTGTTAACAACATTTTCGCACTAAATGAGTACCCCCCCCCCCCTTAGGTTCTGATACAATTAACTTATGGCGAAGTTTTATTTCTAGACGTGTATAGTATGTATACATGTCGCTAGTGTAAACCAGGTGATACCGATAAGAAATACCCGACAGCTTTGGGTGAGGAAATATAAGGACAGTAGGCGGCTATTTAATTAAACTGTATACTGGCGGCTTTATTTTTGTGAAAGAACGAGTTCTACGAAGAAAATATATGTAAAGGGACTAGGCCTACCTCATGCGTGAAGAATGGAAAGTCTACTGTTTAAAGAATGAGAGTATAACTTTTAGTGCGCCTCAATAAAATATTTTAAAGCAGACATGACTCTTCTCTAAACAAAACATAAAGGTTGCTGGCTTAGGTATAAGAGCATTTACATTAAGAACGCAATAATATTTTGTTGTACCCTTTTTCTTGATATTACTCAAGGATGGGGAGATTGGGCACAGGTCCAAAAGGCAACCAGTCATCAAGGTAATGAATAGCTTAGCTGACCAGGCGATGGTTCAATAAATCAATGGACCAATGAGTTGAGGAACTAATGAGTAGATAGACTAATGAGTTGAGGGACTAATGAGTTGATGGACTAATGAGTTTATGGACTAATGAGTTTATGGACTAATGAGTTGATGGACTAATGAGTTGAAGGACTAATGAGTTAAATGACTAACGAATCAATGAGCCAAATTAGTCTAAGGGTCAATGGATCGATGGATTAATGAGTTCATGGACTAATGATTCAATAGGCCAACTAGTCTAAGGGTCAATGTAAGGTAACGAATCAATGGACGAACGAATCTGAGTGCTAATGAAGCAACAGACGAATGAGTATGTGCCATTTAAAATGCGCCGGTGCCACTTGATGTCCGTTTAATATCCATAAATACCTACCTACCTATCTATATGTACATAAACATATAACTATGGTTATACGACATTTCAAATTTTCAAACTGACAGTATTGAAAGCGACACGAGGCAGCTGTCATTTTGGGGTACTTGGAATGGAAAGGGGGGGGGGGGAAAGGGCGGCTCTACCCCCTATCCCAACACCCCCCTGTCTGCGCCACTGGTTCAGACACCCGCAGCTTTCACTGTAATGAGTTGAAACATAAAACTGCGCCTCTTTATGAATATTATATGACCAACGCTGGCTTCACCCGAAACGTGTTGTGAATACAGAGTAGACCCGAAGTGCTCACCCGTCCCCCCATCCCCTCACCAATATTTCTAACGGCTTTTTTTTTCAGTAACAGCATGGTGCTACACCTCCTTACGTGAACTTTCTAACTTTTACCCCTTGTATCACCTTAAAGAAGCTCAATTATTTTGGTGTATAATATAAAGGCGCTGTTCGCAAACTAATGTGAGGTGGTGTCAGTTTAATGTGCTAGTTCACATACTACTTGAGGGTTTTTCTTCATTTTCTGGGCGTATGTTTTACTGGTGGCTTAGGACTATTATTGAGAGAAGGGAGGGGGGGGGGGGGGGGGTCTAAGCCCATGCAAACATACACCCTTAGAACCGCCTATGTTAACAACAATTTTGTTTTCTTTGGTGATTTGTTTCCACGGTGTCTAGTATGATTTGATTTATTCAAACGGTTTTAAAAATCGCGACGCCACTTACAAAAAATACAACTCAACAATGTTTGAAACTCAATAAGTTATGAAAACAGAGGGGAAAAAACACCAAAAACAAGCAAAAACAAACGGTAGACGTAGTTTATCATCAGACCAAACTGCCGGATTACCCTGGTCAACCCCACGTCTGGCCAACACTTCTAAGAAACACAAACACACAAGGGGAAAAAAATAGTGGGGGCGCATTGGGGAGTTCAAAATCTTCAGCTCGTAGGGTGCGCAGGGGGGGGGGGGGGGGGGCGTTGTCAAACGCAAAGTGTGACGATTACTCTCTTGTTGGGGGAGGGGGGGGACGACCTGCCAGGGACAGGGACAAGAAATTAAAACAGAATCCAAGTGGCCATTTATATATAAGGAACATGACTCATTAACTGAAAGTATTCTGGTAAGAAAGATTTCTAAAAATACTAGAAAAAGTATTTCATAAACATTTTATAGCAATGTAAAGTAAAAGAAAAAAAAAACAAAAAAAAAAACGTCAACCACTGTTGCCGTTTAAAACAAAATGGATTTAAAATGGACAATCCTTGCAGTATCCACATATCTGATACCCGAACAGAGAGCCGGCTACTAGTTAGATTTGCCACTGATACCCCAGTCAGGAAAGTCCTCTACACCACATTTCTACTCTATCTTCTATTTCAATCTCGGAATATCCGTGTCTTCTCGTTACCTACATTAATCCACCAGATCCCAAAACTAATGTTTTAGTTTCTGAGTTTCCAAAATTTCTTGTGTGGAAATTATAAAGATTAGAAATTAACATTAAACTTATTTTTAAAACAGCAAAGATAGTCATGTTGTATTATTCATTACTTAGGTTGACCGGAAAAATGCGCAACGCAAAAGAAAGTGCGCACAAATAAGTGCACAAGGACATTTTTATTTTCTTAAATCTTATGGACATTAACAAAGACTGACCATATTTACAGTGTAGCATAATAAAAAACTTTTCCAAGAAATATGAAACAATAAAATGTTAGTTCAATAAGTTTGTATTTGTGCATTTTTCTGTTTGCGATTTTTACTGCACCAACAATTGTACGACCAAAGATACCACAACACCAACAGTTGGACGACCAAAGATACCACAACACCAACAGTTGGACGACCAAAGATACCACAACACCAACAGTTGGACGACTAAAGATACCACAACACCAACAGTTGGACGACCAAAGATACCACAACACCAACAGTTGGACGACCAAAGATACCACAACACCAACAGTTGGACGACCAAAGATACCACAACACCAACAGTTGGACGACTAAAGATACCACAACACCAACAGTTGGACGACCAAAGATACCACAACACCAACAGTTGGACGACCAAAGATACCACAACACCAACAGTTGGACGACTAAAGATACCACAACACCAACAGTTGGACAACCAGATACCACAACACCAACAGTTGGACGACCAAAGATACAACAACACCAGCAGTTGGACGACCAAAGATACCACAACACCAACAGTTGGACGACCAAAGATACCACAACACCAACAGTTGGACGACCATATACCACAACACCAACAGTTGGACGACCAAAGATACCACAACACCAACAGTTGGACGACTAAAGATACCACAACACCAACAGTTGGACGACCAGTCGTGGCGTCCAAGGCGGGAGATCAATGGCCGAGAGTGGAGCCTTGGCGACGCGACAATCAGGGGGACATAATTTTGGGGACAAGGAGAAACAAAGAACTCCTTGGTGCCAATATGAAGATTAAGATTATTGATGAAACGTCCGAGTGTGCCCTGGGGGAAAAAATGTGTTCCCCCGCGTGTGGAGCGGTGCCTTGATCAACGGTTACAGGCGGACACAGTGATCGTGTGTGTGGGGGGGGGGGGGGGGGAAAGGGGCAACATGATTGTGTGCTTGTAAACTGATGCACGGCTAGGGGTGGGGGGGGGGGCACCATGATTGTGTGCTTGTAATTTGATGCACGGCTTGGTGGGGGGGGGGGGGCGACACCATGATTGTGTGCTTGTAAATTGTTGCACGGCTAGAGGGACCGGGGGACACCATGATTGTGTGCCTGTAAACTGATGTACGGCTAGGGGGACCCATGACTGTGTGCTTGTAAATTGTTGCACGGCTAGGGGACGTGGGACACCATGATTGTGTGCCTGTAAACTGATGTACGACTAGGGGGTGGGACACCATGATTGTGTGCCTGTAAACTGATGCACGGCTAGAGGGACCCATGACTGTGTGCTTGTCAACTGATGTACGGCTAGGGGGTGGGGCACCATGATTGTGTGCCTGTAAACTGATGCACGGCTAGAGGGACCCATGACTGTGTGCTTGTAAATAGAGAGAAAGAAAATGTCAATAAAAAGCTGAAACTGGACGACAAAATGGGATCGTTGAATAAGTAGATAAAGGAAGGTCTATAATCTGGCCAACACCTTATCTAACTATCATCTACTTCCGTCAACCCATAGCCATCTAGCTGTTTCCACCCACTTTTTGTCTGCGATACTCTTTAAACTACCGATACTTTTTTTTTCTTTTTTTTTTTAATAATTTTTTTTTTTTAATTTTTTTTATTTTTTCCGATACTTTTTAAAAGAACATAGGCCTACTACGAGCAATAAAGGCAGCGTTGTACACTGTGAACTTTCACTAATGTACTATTCTATTTTTTGTTCAGCTAAGGTTTTACTATTTAATCTAGCGCCAAATGATAATTCTAAAATTTAAGAAAAATAATGATTAGACAGTCATATACTGATTTTAATAGTCACACTTAAAAATAAAGAACAACCAATAATCCGCTTAATTTTTTTAAACTACGAATGAAATCCTCAGTACAATTGAACCTTTTTATAGACCATGGTTGTATGTTGTCTCCCCTTTTTTGTTCGAATTTATAAAGAGGTAGCTTTACCTTAAAATAATTACGTTACAAAACATGTTTCATTTAAAAGTTTGTATACCGGACACTTAAAATAAATTAATAAAGCAAGCTTTATTTTAATTTTATTATATTGACGTAATGATAAAAGTCAGTAAATGTTTTTAAACCAGACAACTTAACGTAAAGCTGTTTCCCCTTTATTTTCTAAAATAGATATATATGTAAAATTTTTATTAGTAAGTAACATGGCACATAAATGAGAAATAGTTGATTCCACCCCCAACAAGCCGAAGCTGTTGTAGAGTGGTTGTGGCAGATCAGAGGCGTAGCGACCCTTCCTGGCGCCCGGGAACAAACTTTTCGATTTGCACCCCCCCCTCAAGATTTCGATTTGCACCCCCCTCAATATTTCGATTTGCACCCCACCCCCCTCAACCTTTCAATTTATATTTCCAACCCATTTTGGCGCCCCCTAATGTCGGCGCCCGGGGACATATGTCCCCCCCCCCCCCCCGCTACGCTACTGTGGCAGATATGAACACAACAGTGACAGCTATATCTCATTGTTAAAGAAACCTCCGCACTAGGGCGTGGGCATTGTGCACACTTCAGAAAAAAACTCTTTCTAATTTATCCCCATTCTTTCTACATCAAACTGAACAAAGGGATGACCGGGTCTTTCACTAAGAAATTATCGATTTTAATGTGATTAAAAAAAAACCTCTGACATTTCTCCTAGTAATTAAAAAAAAAACGGCCATAATATCTGGGCATAAATTGTGAACGACGATTCCGTTAGCACACGAAACGTATGCAGGAACTCCTCAGGAAAAACCGTTACGTCATGGAGGTCCCCTGACGTTCGTGTATTCGATACATCAATTACTGCCTGCCTGGGTCAACGGTGTCCTTTTTCACGTGCTGGGTAGATGAGTCAATAAGTCAATAATTTCCCTCACGTCCACGGGGGGTGGGTGGGGGTGTAGGGGGACGGGATAACGACAAAGGGATGAGAGCTAACAGACAACTGTAAACCTTAGATAAACATCCAGCAATAAGGTGCAGGCGGGATTGGTCGAGGGATGTGTGTCTAGTGATGTGTGTGACGCTGTGTTGTACCTGCGACATACACACACAGAAGCAGGTCAATCAAAATAAGGTTTAAAAAAAAAAACATGACGTGGTTGAAGGCAGTGGATGACAAGACAAGTTACCCCCCCCCCCCCCCCAAAAAAAAAACAACAACAACATACATGTGGACACCGATACATGACAGAACATGTAGACATGACAACAAAGCATGTGGTGTCGCCATAGTAACGAGCCTGTTTGCTATGTGGTACGGGACAAGACATTTCGCCACAGTAAACCGTTGAAAGTCAATGGGCTGACCGTTGATGTAACCATGTTTATCTTTATCACAACTGTGTTTTTTAATCCATCTACCAAGCCAGTGTTGTACAGAAGCTATTACAATTAATTATACTGACAGGAAGAAATTGAATTCTTTGTTTCAGACTACTCGTTATATTTATCCTCTTTAACAATTTTTAAACCCACTTCCACAGCCTGCTTCATAAAGCTATAACAACCATATTGACAGGAAGAAATTGATTTCTACCCTTCCCCCGTTTTCTTAAAAGCTAGACTTTGACCGTAATGTAAATGGTGTACCATCCATCTTAACCCCAAAGACGTGCCTCAGTTCTGGTACCTAAGTTACTAAAGGGACTAACTTATATAGTCTGATACATTATGCTAGATTAGACAATCCATTCATTTAATTGTAGGCGGACACTAACTATAATTTTTTTTACAATTATTGGTATATTTTTAAAAATATTAATGGATACACTTTCTATGGTCTTGTTTTTGTTACAATCAAATCACTATATATGGCAAATATTGTAAGCCACCCATGTAAAAAAATGTGTATGGTATGTTAAACCACCCTCCCCCCTCGTAAGTTCCTTATCCAGCCACGCATCAAGCAAAGCAAGGGAACTATATGAATCGGGGTTTTTCTAAACTATACAGTTTGTGTCTGGATCGTGATGCTTACTGCTTAGACACGAGTTGATTTCACCCAATGTTACAGGCAAAGTTTATTGACTAAAATTGGGTCTTGATTATGACACCAACAGTTATAGAAAGTGTTTATTGACTGTATAAAGCTCACCTTTCAGACCTAAAAATCCATAGGTAGAGTTCATTTGTTTCCTGACCTAGACATATGATTATGAATGAATGGTGTGGTCAGCAATATGCCCAGCTGCCTTTACTTTCCCTAACTTGAGTCAGGTACCCATCAGAGTTGGGGGGTGGGTGGGGATGACGACTACAATCCCAAGTCCGGACCGAAATCCGAACTCAAGACCTTCAGATTAGTAGCCGAACGCTCTACCATTCAACCACGCCGTCCCCTTTTAGTGAATGTATGTCTTTATTTAGATTAAACCGCCCACTGTAATGTTTATTAAAGGGCCACTACATGAACTATGCATGTTCATTACTTCAACTGTTGTGTTAATTAAAGGGCCTCTACATGAGATATACATGTTCATTACTTCAACTGTTGTGTTAATTAAAGGGCCTCTACATGAGATGTACATGTTCATTACTTCAACTGTTGTGTTAATTAAAGGGCCCCTACATGATATATACATGTTCATTACTTCAACTGTTGTGTTAATTAAAGGGCCCCTACATGAGATATACATGTTCATTACTTCAACTGTTGTGTTAATTAAAGGGCCTCTACATGAGATATACATGTTCATTACTTCAACTGTTGTGTTAATTAAAGGGCCCCTACATGAGCTGTGCACGTACTGGTGAGAGAGGCAGGAAGAGACAACTAAAAACTGTACTCACCTGATCTTCGGCGTCCTGGGAATGCTGTCATCTGGAAACAACAAAGGGTGAAAGTGTTTTAGTGGTTTGGCCAGGCAGGTCCACATGGTTAGGGTTGGATTAGTCCGTGGTTAGAATAATGTAACCATTGGGTTCAGTCTTTGGTTAAACACTGGGTTAGTCCATAAGTAGAACCAGTTATTGACCTTAGTTAAAACAAATTAACCACTGGGTTAAATCTTTTGGTTAAAACCAGTTAAGCACTGGGTTAGTCCGTAATTAGGACCGGTTATCTTTGGGTTAGTCCTTTGTTAGTACACATTAACCATTAGTTAGTCCTTGGTTAGAACCACCATCCGTAATGCCCGTGGTTATAGAAAGTTAATTCTGGGTTAGAACCGGTTAAACAGTTGATTAGGATCAGTGATCTAATGTTGTAGTCTTTGGTTATGACGGTAACCACTAAGTTGGTCTAAAGTTAAGATTGAGCAGAAAATTGAAACACTCGTTGTCCATAGCTGCCGGATTAAATTAAACCATCGACTACACAACCCAAGTGAAAAACGAGCCACCATTATCGAAAGCCCCTAAAACCTAACTGCCCCTAGCTAAACGTGTAATTGGAAGTTACCAACGAGACCAGGGTCCTCTATTGACACGATGGCCTCGCCTTCTGGCACCGAGCTCTCTCGTCGGCTCCGCGGAGAAAAACACAATTATTTATTCATTAACAACACGCGGATTAACAGCACAGAACTAGTTAACTCTAACAGGCCCGTGGGTGAACGCGGGCAAATAACTAAACTGATAAAAGGAAAAAAGATTTGTTGAATAAATAATAAATTCACTAAAGCCTCAACGAACAGCTCTTGAATATACTTGCCTCTGTATTAAATTTAAAAAAAAACACACAATATCACACGCATTTAAATCTACCATATATACCTAATGTTAGACACTATCGTTCAGTCAAACAGAATACTATAGTACCCAATGTAGTCATACAAGATATTAGCATTGAGTCACGCAGATATTAATACCGCTACCGAACCTAGTCATAGCTCGTAGCGTCAAGAATCGGAAGATTCGCATCATAGCATGTAGATCGGGTATTCCCAATTATTTTTTTTTAGTAATCCCACGAGCACCATGATGGCGAGGAGTACAGATCCCGACAGAGGACAATGATTCACGAGGCATTCACGCCGTGTTCTAAATTTGTCATCGGACGGGTCGAGGCGTGCAGGTGCAGCGTGACATCCCCCCCCCCCCCCCCCTCAATCGTTCTAGCACACACAATGGTAAGTAAACAACGGTCAAACACCCAGTCTTCCCACAATACACCAGACGAATCGATGTCTCCCTACGTTCAGGGTACCGGAGCTATTTTTAGAAATCCCACTTTCCATTGAGCAGAGAAAATTTAAAAAAAAATATATTAAAACTTATCCCGACTATGTACCGAAATTTTAGGAAATACGGAAATGTGTTGTTTTTTTTTTTACCGAAATTTTAGGAAATACGGAAATGTGTTTTTTCACGGAATCAATAAAATCATACATCGGAACACACAAGAACCAGGCTTCCGTGTAATTGAATCCTGTTTTAGAGATGAAACATCATAATACTACACGCAAGCCAAAGTCTGGAACTAACTAACACACAACAAAAGCAGAAATACTTGAGGGTGGACACACGACCAACAGCACCCACACTGATTAAACCGTGTGAGAGAAATCCCCACACATTCCCTCACGTGTGCGGGAGACACTGCCACATGACGACACACAGAAAGACTTGTTACTCCTGCCTTCACTCGTCAATAACTCTCTCTGCCCCGAGAAAGAATGGACCCATTTTCTATTTCATTTTTCCCCTCTCTCTCTTCCTTTTTAAGGGGAGAGAATAAAAAAAAGGGGACACTAGTGGAGTAGCGTAACTTGTGTGGACGGAGAGTTGATAAATCAATACAACTTTCAGGAGCGGAGTGCAGGCTTAAAGCGATGCTGTTGGTTAGTGGGTGCAGGGGGGGGGGGGGGGGGGGAAGAGGCTAGTGATGCAAATTGTGAAATTGATGCGGGGTGAGGGTGGGTGAGGATGTGGATGGAGAGGGTGGCGGGATAGTCAGGGTGGGAAAGAGTTAAAAAGTAAAAATGGTTCTAAAATAAAGCCATAAAAAAAAACCCTCTTTGAAGCATAAGTGGTTAGTAGTGGGTCAATAAAACAATGTGGACCAATTCAAAGTTTAAGTATAAGTTTTGTGAGAAAAAGAAGGAAACAAAGAAGAAAGGCGAAGAGGTCTTTAATGGAAGCCCAAAAAAAAAAAAAAAACGTTTAGGAAAGTGCGTGATGTCCAATGGAGGGAAGCCGGTCACAAGGCACGTGGGACGGGAGAAGTGATTGGACTTGAAGGCAAGATCTTGGCTAGAATTTCACCAGGCTATAATGGCCTCATTTGAATATTTTAAAAAATTCAACTTTGAATTTAATTTTTTTTTGAAACAGGTTGAATTCTTATTATTTAGAATGCCAACAGAAAACTTCAGAAAATATAAATTATTTTATTATTTGTACAAATATTAATATCATTAATTGTACAAATGAGTTACTTTTAAGTTGAACCGGGTTCACTCATATTATACTAAAAAATAGTAAAACAAGTGTTAGGGCCTACATTTTTTTTCGTCAAAGAAAAGTTTTAACAGATGGCATTTAGTTTTATATCAACAAATACCAACCCTTATCAATAGAGACAAAGCTATGTATACACAAACATTTAAAAAGAAATGTCACAGAAAAAAAACCCCAGTTAGCACAGAAAAAGTACAGTAATATACTTTTTACAAAGATAAGACCTAGGCTGGATTCGAACCTGTGATCTCTAGCGGCGACCACATGACAAAGCACACACCTACATGACTGAATTTAATGTTAGATAACCACGGGCCTATCTCCAACCATGATGCAACTAAAATCGGCACGTTGAAGGGGATATTCGTAATTACTTCGTGGCGCCCCACTTTAAAAAAAAAAGAAAATGCACGTGAGGTGGAAGGGAAAGGAGGTTATGTGTGAGAAAGAGTTGGAGCTGTGTGGAGGGGGGGGGGGGGGGAGAGTTGGTGGAGGTTAGAAACAGAATGGCTTCATAGCTTTTAAACAGTGAGATTTTCAAATCGATAATTAAGACTTTAAAACCGTTTAGCTCCACCACCCTTCAAATTAAAAAAAAAATTCCCAGCCTACATCTAGGTCACGTGGTCGTTCAACTTGCGGCGTCCCCTTCAAATCGATCTCATCACAAAAAAATTTAATGCTATTTTTTTGTACCTCCCCTCCCCCCACGTTAATTCTCCGAGCCCCAAGTGAGTTGAAACTGGATTGAATGCTTGTGTTGGTGTTCCCTTATTGTTCCTTCCGCCGTGGAGTTTCCCCGCCAGCTGATATGCTTTTATTTGATCTCTGCCATACTGTGCGCATCTCGCTGGGGTGGAGGCTACGAGGCACGCGCCGCGCCGATTCAACTAAGAGGTCAAGGGAGACGACCGCGGTTTTAATCCATTGTTAGAGCCAAGGTACGGCGGACAAAAGAACACAGGGTATTCACATTTCGCTCCCTTTATTCAACCATCTATCACGGGGGAAAGCCAATTTCATTCCTAGCGGTCATAAGTCACAGGGAAAATCAAATGTACAAAATCGATGTCTTAATAGGGGGAAGGGAAACATGACTAACTGACTAACTATTGGTTATTGTAAAAAAAAAAAACACTTTAAAAAATAGAAAATTAACTAATAAAGTTTTTTTGAAAACTCGGCAGCCAATATGCAAAGTATTCAGTTTAAATATGCTTATTAAACCTGCATAATTAAAGCAAGACATCCTCCTTAGTATATATATATATATATATATATATATATATATATATATATATATATATATATATATATACATACATAAATATATAAAAAAAACTGATTTAGGCTGTCAGGCAGTGATGTAGCTTATATATGTCTGGCCACAATACCATATACATGATGACCCATAATGTAGACTAGATCACACAATATTTTACATACAACATACGGGGGTGACCACTTGCGGAGGGACAAAACACTAGCCAAACTATACACACGTTCGTGTGCGCAACGTCCACTGTCGCAGGCACTTAGCGCCTCGTGGACACACGTTGGTCTATTTACAGTAGAGTGGATCAGATAAATGTCCTGTCCTCACACGCTTAACACGAGTACCACAGCTTTCTGTGGCCTGGCATTTCAATGTTTCACAGTCCACCAGCACTAAGCAGGGGAGTAAACAGCATGGTCTATGGTGCCATGGCCAACTCACGGGCTAATTTACAGTGCATACATCGGCATCGTAGGGTCATGGCAAGCTCAAACAACGCTAGTCTTATAGAATGGATTATTTTTCTCTCAATCACCAACATACATCACTATATATGCATCAACATCACCAGATTATGGTGAGGTGAGCACTAGACTGCTGACCCGATAGTTTCGAGTTCGAATCCGGGTTCAAGTTAGAGGAACATCCCTGAGTCCACCCAACTCTGATGGGTACCTAACTCATGTTTGGGAAAGTAAAGCCGGCTGGGCATAGTGCTGACCACATTATCCCTTTATATACCGAGGTCGAGAAACATGAACTCCACGTCATCTGCCCAATGTATCGTTAGGTCTAAAGAGGAATCTTTACTTTTATGCTGAGGTCAAACAACCCTAATGTTGTAGAATGGATTCCTTTTTTTTCTCTATTGCCAACATACATCACTAGGTATGCATCAACATCACTAGATTATAGCGAGGTCAAACAACCTTAATGTTGTTTTTCTTTCTATTGCCAACATACATCACTATACATGCATCAATACCACCCGATCATGACTAAGTCAGACACCAGCCTAGGAAAATGGATCCCTCCTTTCAATAACCCCCATTAACAGGAACAAATACTATCAACTGGAGTTGGACGCTAAGCAACAGGCCGAGTGATTCTACACTGAATACAAAATGACTGGAGGGGATAGGGGT